TTCATGAGCTAGTGGTGTAATATTCTTACATGGACTCTCACACAGTAGAAGAGAACAACCCAATAGATGGGAGTATACTGGAGGCCCTAAATCAAGAACCTTCGGTCGAATGCTACTGACAGGGAATTTGTCTTTCTACATAATGTTTTTACTTCAATTTTGTTTAAGAAAATAAAGAATATATTAAAGTACAGGCAGACTGGGTATTGATAATGATTTTACTGTAGGGATATTTAATATCTGCGGCAATGCCATACTGTTTTTTGCTCTGTATAGCATAGAGGCAAGTACATCTTTCCTACCCAAATTTAGGGAAAGTACTCTCTTTATCCAACGATGATGATGCATAGCCAGTGCTGCTGATGTCAGAACCGCCACCCTTCTTGGGACTGTAGTAGTTACTTACATAATATGTATTTATGACATCACTCTCTAGCGGGATAACATTTTCAGTAGTCTCTCAGCCAAAACAGTCACATTCTCTTCAACAGCACTTTCTCTTCCAGACATTTTCTCTACATAAAATGGCTTGTGGCTCCATCTAGTGGCTGTTGAGAAACCGGAGACCATGTAATAGAAGTTCAATAGCCCAGAGACCTGGCTATAGTATGTGATTTTATAATACTCCAAATTAGCCTACATTAATGTGCAACATGTACCCTAAATTATTTCCTAAATTAAGTGTCATTTAAGGCTGTGATCTGTGCACACCTTATAAGATAAAACCTTACCAGATAAAACATTACAATTGTCTCATGATGCTTAATAACTCTTAAGTTGAACATTTTCAAAAACACAATAGGCCAACACATCTTTTTCAAAAACAAATATTTGCTGTAGGTGAAGCAGAGTAGAAAAATAAATGCTAATTTATTTATATTATTATTTATTTATTATTTTTTTGTGTGGGTATTTTACCCACTTTTTCTCCCCAATTTCGTGGTATCCAATTGGTAGTAGTTACAGTCCCTATCCCATCGCTGCAACCCCCGTACGGACACGGGAGAGGCGAAGGTCGAGAGTCGTGCGTCCTCCGAAACACAACCCAACCGAGCCGCACTGCTTCTTGACACAGTGCCCGCTTCACCCGGAAGCCAGCCGCACCAATGTGTCAGAGGAAACACCGTACACCTGGCGACCGAGTCAGCATGCACTGCGCCCGGCCCGCCACAGGGGTCGCTATAGCGCGATGGGACAAGGACATCCCTGCCGGCCAAACCCTCCCCTACCCTGGACGACGCTGGGCCAATTGTGCGCCGCCCCATGGGTCTCCCGGTCGCGGCCGGCTACGAAAAATAAACGCTATTTTAAGGTTGCCGAAATTGTGGGTTCGATTTTGCACAGCAGTGCAAAAAATCTGTTTGAAACTGCAATGACAACTGAAAGGAATTATCAAGATAAATAAATATAGAAGGGAGGGTAACTGTCAAATAACATCATACCAGGGCTTCAGCTGAAACCAGGTAGTAGGGGACTACTGATTTCTAAATCAAGTATCAATTCTGGAACGAACACGTTGCACTGCAACGCAAACGTACTTCTAAAAGCGTAATGCAAAAATCATCTACCTGCAATGATGGAATTCTGGCCTGAGTTTCAAATTGGAGGCTGCTCTACCTGACACAGGCACTGTAAAAACAGAAGACAAGACAGTGGTTGAGAAACACATCCGGAAGATCGCAATTGCATACTGCTTGAGTCCTCTCTCCTCGTCTCCTTCTCAAAACCCATTAGAGGAGAAGGTCAGAGGGGAGGAACTTCTGGCTTTCTCATCCAATGGGTTTTGAGAATGAGACGAGGAGAGAGGATTTTGCAATTGAGGTCTTCCCATACAGTACAACAAAGGCAGGGCAACAGAATCAGTTATGATAATAATATACATATCACATACCATTTGAAAAACAACAACTTTGAATTTGTATACCTGAGTTTCTCCAGTGTACATTGTGGATCCTCCAGTCCAGCAGAGAGCAGCTTCAGCCCCAGAGTCTCCTGGGTGATTGTAGCTCAGGTCCAGCTTTCTCACATGAAGGTTTGGACCGCAGCGCTTCAGCTAGAGAACCACAGCCTTCCTCTGTGACTCCACAGAATGACAAACTGCAAAAAATATGAATTTCACTCTAAGTAGTAGGTTGGAAGTAGGCTAGCTATCCCTGTTACAGTGTGATCCGTCTCAACCACGTTGAGTGAAAAGATAGTGACAAACCATTTGACTTGATGCTTAAAATGTATGTGAGTTAGTTCACTTTAGTAATTTTAATAACATCATAAACTAAACCTGAATTTACTAACCTGAGTGTCTCCAATTTGCAGTTTGGACTCTCCAGTCCAGCAGAGAGCAGCTTCACTCCTGAATTCTGCAAGTCATTGTCACTCAGATCCAGCTCTCTCAGGTATGAGGAGATTGAGCTGAGAGCTGAGGCCAGCATCTCACAGCATTGTTCCGTGAGGTTACATCCTTTCAGTCTGAAGAGGAATACATACAGTACATGATCAACACAAATATTTCCTAGTAGGTTTTTAATGCATTGGAAGGTTAAAATCAAAAAGGTACTCACAGAGCTGTTCTGGAGGCTTTGATCACTGGCAACAGCCTCAAAAGACCTTCCTCTGATTTGCAGTATTTCCTTAGGTCAATCACATCCAGCTCTTCTTCTGATATTAGCAACACGAATGCCAAAGCAGACCACTGGGCAGGTGAGAGTTTGGCCTCTGAAAGACTTCCTGAGCTCAGGTAGGTTTGGATCTCCTCCACTAGAGAATAGTCATTCAGCTCATTCAGACAGTGGAACAGATTGATGCTTCTCTCTGGAGAGGGATTCTCCCTGACTTCTCCTTGATGTACTTGACTGTTTCCTCATTGTTCTGTGACCTGCTTCTTGTTTTTGTTAGTAGGGGCCGTAAGAGAGTCTGGTTGGATTCCAGTGAGAGGCCAAGGAGGAAGCGGAGGAACAGGTCCAGGTGTCCATTCTTACTCTGCAAGGCCTTGTCCACTGCTTTCTTGTAGATGATGGTTGCAGGTATCTCTTCAGATGTCGGAAGATTTCTGCTTGTTTCCTGTTCAACCATGAGATTGACATTCTCGTTGTTGAATGTCTGAAACACATAGACAGCGGCAAGAAACTCCTGGATGCTCAAATCCACAAAGCAGTACACCTTCTCCTGGAACAACCCACACTCCTCTCTGAATACACTGACACTTCTGTAACATCAATGCCACATTCTTCCAGGTCTCCTTCATAGAAGATCAGATTGCCCTTTTCTAGTTGTTCAAAGGCCAGTTTCCGAATAATCTCTTTTGTCTTTTTTAATTTGTGAATATGTCTCAGCATTTTCTGGTCTCTTTGGATATTTCTGGTTTTTGAGTCATATGTTACAGTTCAGGAAGTGTGAATACATTTGAGTCAGGGTCTTCGGCATCTCTTGACTCTCTGTTTCACGCAACAGTCTCTCTAGAACTGTAGCTGAAATCCAACTGAAGACTGGTATGTGGCACATGATGTAGAGGCTTCTTGAAGACTTCAGGTGTGTAATGATTTTGCTGGCTAGGCTCTTGTCACTGATTTTCTTCCTGAAGTACTCCTTCTCTGTCACCTGGTCAACACACTGTGGAGGGATGTGACTGGCAGCTGCTGGTCGGGAGGTTATCCAGATGTGAGCAGAGGGAAGCAGATTCCCCTGAATGAGGTTTGTCTGCAGCACGTCCACTGAGGTTGATTTTGTAACATCACACCAGGTCTCGTTGTTCTGGAAGTCTAGGGGAAGTCGACACTCATCCAGACCATCAAAGACAAACATCACTTTGTACTTCTTGAAGTCTGAGATTCCGGACTCTTTTATTTCCATAAGAAAGTGATTGAGAAGGTCAAGCAAGCTGTGTTTTTCCCCTTCATCTAATTCAGCTCCTGAAAAGGAAGTGAAAATATCAACTGGATACCTTGATTGGCTTTTCCTTCAGCCCAGTCCAGAATGAACTTCTGCGCAGAGACTGTTTTGCCAATGCCAGCAACTCAAAGATGTCGTTGCATTTGATCTGTTGCTGATCTCCTGGATGCTGTCTCAATCTGTCTCACCTCCAGGCTCTGTCGTAGCCGGCCGCGACCGGAAGACCCATGGGGTGGCGCACAATTGGCCGAGCGTCGTCCAGGGTAGGGGAGGGAATGGCCGGCAGGGATGTAGCTCAGTTGGTAGAGCATGGCGTTTGATTCCCACGGGGGGCCAGTATGAAAAATAAATAAATAATAATAATAATAATAATAATAATGTATGCACTCTCTAACTGTAAGTCGCTCTGGATAAGAGCGTCTGCTAAATGACTAAAATGTAAAAATGTAAATGTTCATTATTGACTTACACCCTCTGTGATGTAGAGCTCTGTGTAGATCTTATTGAGAAGTGTTAGGTTTCCTTGTGTAGCCATTACTTCAAACACACATTCAAACTTCCTTTTGAAGTTGAATTTGAGTTTAGGTTGACACACAGCAAGCTCACCTAAAAGATCTGAAAATGACAAGAACAAATGTACTTTGAAGTATACTAATAAAAGTATAGTACTTTTAATACATTTATTTTTGTAAGGACAGTGACGACATCACACAGGTGGGATTTGTACATCAATCCAACTGTCTGTGAGCATATTAAATGGAACATTAAAGACTAAAGGTGAGAGATCTTACTGTTCTCCAGTGTGTCAGCGAGCTCCTTCTGGTTCATGTTCCTCAGGATGTGCAGTGTGATCTTCAGAGCCCCCTCTCTGGCACTGCTCTCCTGGTTCTCATCTTCACCGTACACCTACTTCTTCCCCTGACTGTCAGAGCATTCTGGGTGATCTGGACTCAAAATCTTCTTGAACTTCTTTCATTCACTCTTTACAAACGTGATGAATTGGTCTTCAACAAACTGGAATAGGCAAAAACTGATATTAATATGTAAAGAACAAATATTATTTATCTGAAAGTTTAATGCTGTAATCATATTTCATAATTTGTATTTTCCTGGTGGATCATTGAGCCTTGTGGGGTTTAAATAATACAGACAGTAGTCGGAGGTTAAAGGTCACAAAGATGTCACAAACAACTATCCGTTCACCTTTAACTGTAAGACATGAGTCAGATCACCTTGAATATGGAGGACACTTCTGCGTAGACCGGCCACGGGGAATGTCTGACTCTGATCTCTCTTGCTGGTCTCTGCACGCAAGACATAACACTCATCACAAGTGCTACCTTATCGATAATCATCTTCCCCCCAGAAAATATCTGGCACATGGTAGAATACAGCAATTGTCTGTCTAGGTCTAAGATCTAAAGCACTCACCTTTGATCAGTAGAAATGCCTTCCTCCCTGAATTGTGTTTTAGGATGAGCCATTGACCAGCTGGGTCCAGGGGAATCGTCTCTCTCCTGTTGGATCCTGTCAGCAGACCACTTTGACCTACAGTCAGACATAGGGGAGTCCTGATTCCATGCTTTAATGTGGAGACATAAAGACTATAAAACCGTGAGAAATTCTTACCCATGTCCAGTGTTCCCATTCCTGAAGTGTTCTTGATGTCCCATTGACTGGTCACTGTTCATGGACAGACTGCTGGGTACAGGTGAGTCTGGTCTCTGCTGCTGGGACCTGTAAAGAAACACATTCAATGTAACTCATAAAACTACAGGAAGTTGGTGATTTACTGTTTGCTTCAAAATATCTATTAGAAACAAATGAGAACAAGAGAACACAAACCAGACAAGCTGTTGATCAGTAGATATATTTTCTGTCTTGAAGTTGAACGGAGGATCAATAGACATGTCTGTTTTCATGGACAGACAGCTGGGTACAGGTGAGACTGGTCTCTCCTGCTGGATTTGGCTTCAACACAACAGAGACAGATCTTCAGTCTAATGTCTTCTGACTTAGCCTGGGTACCAATCTGTTTGTGCCATCAAGCCATGATGGCACAAACAGATTGGTACCCAGGCTACTTCTGCCTTATGATGTAATATCACTTCTGAGCTCTACAATTAATATCAATATTAGTAATAGATGTGCTGTTAGGAATCTGTGTCAGTCCCATACATGCAACTCACCTTCCAGCTTCATTGTACGTATCAACTCCATCAGAGACCCATTTTTTGGAGGCTGTTCCCCCCTCCGCTCTCTCCCCAGACTCCTTTTTCGGATGCAGTGCCCCCCTCTGCTTTCTCCCCATGAAGACTCCTTTTCGAGGCAGTGCCCCCCTCCGCTCTCTCCCCAGACTCCTTTTTCGATGCAGTGCCCCCCTCTGCTTTCTCCTAGAAAGACTCCTTTTCGAGGCAGTGCCCCCCTCCACTCTCTCCCCAGAGACTCCTTTTCGAGGCAGTGCCCCCCTCCACGCTCTCCCCAGACTCCTTTTCGAGGCAGTGCCCCCCTTTGCTTTCTCCCCAGAGAGACTCCTTTTAGAGGCAGTGTGCTCATATTGTGTAGAGAATATAATTGTGATGACAATTAAAGGCCCACTGCTTCATTTGAAAAACAACAGTGCAGCAGCCCACTACATGGTTTGCTATAGTAAATCACGTTGATATAAAAAATGAATAACAGCAGTGTAGTTATCCAAGCTAATACAGTCAACATTGTTTATGAAAACTGCTAAGAATGATAAAAGCTGTACTACATTATGATCTCTGAGTGTTGGCAAGCAGGCGGTTGTGAGTTTTCACCCATGTTGAAATGGAATTTCCACTCTGTCACACAAACTGTGTAGAACACAGTTTTCTGCAGATCGGTGATTTATCGTTTGTTTAATATCTTTATAAATACCCATGTAGTTCAGTATTATATTTAATTTGACTGCCATGTGGGATTAAGTAAATGGTATTACTATCCAGATCAGATGGTCATGAATAGTCAAAGGCATATAGCTGGCATTTAGGCTATATTTGGTTCTGACCGAAACCTACCGATAACCATTTCTATGTTTAGAGCATGTATCCCGTAGTTACATTTACAGGAAATGGCATTTTGCATTGTGTAGGCTATAGGCCTGGGCAATTTCTTTAGGTACCCATGCTCAAGTATGCATCCAGAAGAGCAAATGTGAATGAATTGTGAATAAATAAAACACCCTTTACACCACCACCTCTGATGGTTTAAGTAACTCGGACTACAAAATCAGCATGCTTTTCACAAGAACCAACCAGGAGGAAATACAGAAATTGCATCTGAACTCACAATATGGATGACTTGATCTGTGTTGATATCGTTTCCAAATAGCAGCTCAACCTACAATTATTGTGGGTACTGTATTAGATTAGCTAATGAAGTGCAGGCACCTGCACTTAACTTTGTTTGCTTCCCCCGGTTGTTTGGTTCACTTGTGTTTTGTCATTGCACCTGTTGTTTTTGTGTACTGCATATTTCATAGAAATACTAGCAGGCAGGCCTTTTATTTATTTTGAGTAAGGAAAAAGGACTAAGGCTATATTTCCTCATAAAGTTAATGATTTTGATGGGTATGCCTACAGTTTACAAAAACATATATATTTTTTTTTGATGCACCATGTTTAACAAAAATAGTAGGCCTCTTGCTGAATTAAAATAAGAGCAACAATTGTTTAAAATGTGTACATTAATTTATTACAATATAGATGTACATAAGGTTCTCACCCCCAAAAATAAATAATGAGCATTTTAAACTCAAGTTAAAAGCAGCTGGTCAGTTTGGCTGACCATCTGAAATGTTTCCAGTCCATGTTTATCATCTGCTAATAAAAATTGTACAATCACTGCAATCATTGTTCTGAAAAAGGTAGTCATAGTTGGATATGCATCACAACACCAGGAAAAGAGAATCCCAAAAATCATTAAAAAAGTAATAAAAAAGGTAAAAATAAAGATTAATCTGGTTCAGTCAGATGATGGAGAAATGTATATCATCATAGGGGTAAAAGGTGAGAGGTCATGGTAGGCCAGCGGTCAGGATGCTGCCCAGCAGGGTGCGATCCTTCAGAGCGTTCTCCACATCCCTCTCCTCAATCTTCAGAGAAACCTTGGTGAGGCGAGCCTCCTTGGCTTTTTTCAGGGCAAAGATGCCCCGGCTCTCCAGCAGACTGCAGAGGGAGAGGCACTCCCCCTGGCCCACGCTGCCCACCTGTCTCTGGGCACACAGACGGCTGTACACCTCATGGAGCTGAGGGATAGAGAGGAGAGTCAGACTTGAGAAAGAATGGTACTGACCTTCAACAACCCAATGACTTTTAGTGGTAAGCAGGTCAGTGCAAGAGAAAACGTCTAACTGTTTAATTCTGACTAGCTTTAAATTAGACTTGTGTATGATGCATGTACACAGAGTATACCAAACACCTTCCTAATATTTTGCCCTCAGAACAGACTCAATTCGTCGGGGCATGGACTCTTCAAGGTGTTGAAAGCATTCCACAGGGATGCTGGCCCATGACTCTAATGCGTCCCACCCAGCAGCGTTGCAGTTCTTGACACAAACCGGTGCGCCTGGCACCTACTACCATACCCCGTTCAAAGGCACTTCAATCTTTGGTCTTTCCCATTCACCCTCTGAATGGCACACATACACAATCCATGTCTCAATTGTCTAAAATCCATGTCTCAATTGTCTACGGCAAAAAAATCCTCTTAATGGTTTATATACTCAGTGTAGTACAAAATTAAAAGCAACAACAACAAAAATGCTAATGTTTGCTCTCAATTTACAAACGTGTGTTGTAGTATCGTGTTCGCACCAATGCAGTGGGCCCGTCTCTCTCACCTTGCCCAGTGGGATCTCCTTGTTCTTGCCGTTGCGGGTGAGCAGTAGCAGACAGCACACCAGGAGTTTCTGCTGGAGGGGGAAGCTCTCTCCCTCGGAGGAGGACATGCGGTCCCCGTACACCTCCGACAGCACCCTCGCCACCTGGGGTATGCTCACGCGAGACGCTTTAGTTTCTGCTGTGGGGCTGGCTGCCTTCTTTCGGTTGTCAGATTCCACAAGCTCTACAGCTCTCCTGTAACAGAGGAACCGGCGTCATGCTACTTTATTTTCTCATACAAAACTTCAACCAGTTAACCAACTGTTCCCCGGGCGCTGAAGACGTGGATGTCGATTAAGGCAGCCCCTCCGCACCTCTCTGATTCAGAGGGGTTGGGTTAAATGCAGAAGACACATTTCAGTTGAATGCATTCAGTTGTACAACTGACTAGGTATCCCCCTTTCCCATACCAATTTCCAAGAACACTTACAACTAGCCATAGTAAATGCACATTTTTGGTTGCTCATATTTGATCTTAATGTATTTTCATGGGCAACCCAAATGTGTCCTAAGAAGTCATCATTGCAACCAACATGTTATTTAGTATTAATACAGTGTATTTAAGATATTATTTAGTCAATTCATTCCCTTACCGGCAGATATCCAGAGCTTTGCGTGCATCTCCCGATACAGCAGACACCTTCCTGGCACAGAACTGCACGGCCGATGGGTCTAGTAGCCCTTCTCCAGACACCTGTGTGAGTCTGTCCTGTACGATGGCGGCGAGCTCCTGGCGGCTGTAGGGAGGGAAGTGTAACAGCTGGGGGCGACAGCGAGGCAGGGCCTGCAGCCTGGGGAGGATCCTGTCTGTCAAGTCCAGAGCGTTGGCGATACCTAGAATGGTACGACACCCCCATTACACACTGTCATTACACCTGCCTGCATACAGGAAGACTAAGGACAGCCCATATGAGGAAATGGCTATGAGAGTTAAAGATGGAATTTAAATAGAGAAAAGGGTAGACATGTATGGTATGAAGTTTTAGGGTGAAATCTTCAGATGAATCCTTAGATATTAATATGCCATTTAGCAGACGCTTTTATCCAAAGCGACTTACAGTCATGTGTGCATAAATTTTTACGGATGGGTGGTCCCGGGGATCGAACCCACTACCCTGGCGTTACAAGCCCCATGCTCTACCAATTGAGCTACAGAGGACCACAAATTAGAAATTGTAAAGTCCAATAAATGTATACTAGAGATGGTATATATTGTAGAACACTGTATATTTGGGGGTTCTTACCGATGAGACAGAGGCGGGACTTGGGCAGGTAGGGCCACTCAAAGATAGTGTAGAGAACGTCTTGGGCCTTGCTGTCCAACTGATCCATTTCATCCAGGACTAGAAGACTGAGGAGAAAGAGGGTTAATAGACAGAACTTATCGGTCAGCAAAATGTAATTCCTTTCTCAAATATATTTTTAAAAAATGTACAGTGTAAATTCAGAGCTGTTGGACAAAGACAACTTTAGAGATTAACTCAACTTTTTTTTTTTTGGCGAAAGGTATCGTGGATTTAGGTTTTAGTTATATACAGTAGCTAGATACTCACACAGTGGGCCCTGTGCTGGTCAGCAGTTTCTGCAGCTTGGTGTCGGTGTGGCCCCCGGAGGCCCCCAGCTTCTCTGCCAGCAGGGGGAAGATGGCGTGGGAGCTACGCAGAGCCATACAGTTGATCACCACTGTCTGAATCTCCTTCAGCTCATCCTGGATCAAGAGAGAGGAAATAGTTAAATTCATGTAACAGAAATCAACGGGGTTAAATTTACACAGGGTTCAGTGCTGTCCACAAGCAGTGGAATTAAGTGATACTGCGCCTTATGGTAGAGGTGTAAGGCCATTTTAGAGTATCGGGATCCACTCAAGATCAACGCGAGGCTAATGCTAACAATTAACCCATCATTAACAAAGCGGAGGCTAACGCTAACAACGGTGCTAACCTTCATATCCTGCAACACACAGTTGAGGCATGCCGTCTTGCCGGTGCCGGGGGCCCCAGAGATGTAGAGGCTGGCTGGGCTGGCGTTCAGGGCCTTGTCCTCCAGGAAGGAGCGGATGGAGGACCTCTCAGCCTCCCGGGATAGCAGGCGCTCTGGGACGGCCGTGTGGAGGGCCTGCTTCACACTATGGAACTTCGACTCTGGAGAGGGATGGAGAGAGGGAGAAGGGGTTAATAGTCTGCTATTAGTCTACATGAACATACAGTATGTAGATGAGGGAAGTGATCATTTCTTGAATTGTGAAGTGAACATTAGCATAATGGCCAAATCAAATAAAGGCACACATTTCTCTTTGGAGTTTTACGCTTTTCATTTGCGTTTGAGAAAAAGACAGGAGGAAGAGAACGTGAGGAAGAAGAGAAAGAGAACGTGAGGGAGACGCGTCTTACTTTCAGCAAAGAGGCGGACCACCGGGGCCTTCTTCTCTGATCGGGGACATGATGGGCTCCCACTGGGGGTCTCATGCAGTCTGCTGGGGGAGGGCCTGGGGCGGGAGGTGGGGGAGAGGGGCTGCCGTTTGGGGGACAGGAGTCTCCTCGGGGATAAAACGGGGGAGTTCTCATCAAAGCCCAGCTTGCGGGGGGAGGCCAGGTTAAGGCGGCTCTGTTTGGGAGGAGAGCCCAGTAGGTTGGCACTGAGGTTACAGCCATTTTCATCTCCTGAGAAACACACAGAAGACGCATGGTTAGGTTAGAAACAAGATGTCAGTCTTTTGGATAGCAGGTCACGTTTACATCATGGGTGGAAATAATTACTTAATTTTGAGCAGGGTGGTTTATCAGCTTAAATGTTGCACAGAATATGTAAAATCCACAAACTACCTAAAGTTCTAGACAGTGAAACATCGTTTAAAAGTTGGGTATAATAACACAATCCCATACCTGTGCGTTTGCGAGGGCTGAGGGGTATTCTTGGGGTCAGCCTTGGGCACAGAGTGATGCCTTTGAGGGCCATGGGCCCATGTGAGAGGGGCGTTAGCTGGATCCTCTCTGGAAGGGGCTGCTGTTTAGGAGCCTCCATGGGGCAGGGGGACTGGGTCTCCTTCGGCTGGAGTGTGCTCTTGGAGGGGGTGCTTTTTGAGTCAACCCTGGAGGACTTGCGTCTGGGGAACTTGAGGATGGGCTGAGCCTGGGAACGTGTGCTGGGCATCTTCGCTGTGAGCACTTAGTGTCAAGACCTGTTCCAAAAGACAGAGGGGGAAGAGAAGGTCAGTCATTGTGACAACACCCATGAATAGATAAGACAGCAAGAAAAACACTCGTCTTATGTTCAAGAGTGACTTGAAATGAGTGAATACAGAAGAGGTACATAACTGCATAATAGTAAATGACACCATCCATCCTAGCCGTCAGGCCTACCCTGATCGAAGTAGTTCCAGTATTTTCCACGCAAGTTAATGTTATTACTGCTCAGCATGACTCCCTCTCTTCACCAGTGTGTGCGGCATACGTTGTCTTTGTGCCGTCGTTGCACTGTTGTAAATCAACATTACAAAAGTAATCCCGAATGTTCGACTTGCTGTATACTAACAATGCAACAAACAACTCGCCAATTTCCGGGGCAATCAAAATGGTGTGAATTCTCAGTAGCTACTGTATCTGCAGAGACTCAATGGCTACAACAATACGTGTCCTCATTTGTGGCGCCAAAAGCACAACTATTATAAAACACTGAAATGGCGTAAAATAGAACACTCAAAGAAAACAGGACATATATATATTGGTGTATTCGACAAACGGTTTAATGTGACTAACTAGTTAAACTTGACTGACTACTTGATAAAAATCCCCCCAGTACGCTACGGCAACTCGCTAGTCAATATATCTCCCCCTAAATTCTGACAAAACATTCAACAATATATCGTCAAATCAAACTTACTGCTACAAGTTTACACATTTTAAACATGCATTGAAAGTAGTGATACCTTATTTTAGTTCTTGATTAAGACGTATTCGGGCTATTCGTCTTGATGAATTTCGTGTGAGGTGTGTCTGAGGCGACTAGAAACAAAACTTGCGCCAAATGTCTCCACAACTCCTCCCCCAGTCAGCTGGACTTCCCGCCACTAACGTCTGATTGGTCCTTCTTGTGTCATTGTGTTATTTCCCAGGCTCTCATTGGTTCACCTTCGATTGTCAGGCAACGTCAGTTGTTGTAGCACAAGACATGGTGGCGGGAGTTTCAATAATTAATATTTTTGGCGGACTGGAAATTTCCCGGGAAATTCAGCATTGTCTGGTGTAGCATTTGGCACAATATTATCTGGTGTTGTTAGTAACTTGGATGCAGTTTGAGATAATTACTATAACTACTGCATACATATTTAAATATTTTTGAAATTATGCATACATTTAATGTGTATAACTGTACAACCAATTAATTTGAGTTATTTATGTTTCTGTGTAGTCTATAATAATCTAGTGTAAAAACGTTCATTCTTGTTAACTTCCACAATAAATTACTGTAAATTGCATTTGCAAGAAGCTTAAATTGCATTGAAATAACTTGTGATAATCTCTTTAGAAATACATCAGATGGATGATAGACATGGTGATAAAGAGTCAAATACATTGGACACTAAATCTGAAAGTTAAAAACAATCATGTACCCCTTTTTCCCCCAAAAGGCATATATTTATTTCAAATGATAAAACATGGATGATTAACAGGTGAAATGACCACAGTAGGAATGAACAGGGTGAGAACCACATAGTCAATGAGTCACCTGTGTAAGAATAATCCATATCCATCAATCACATAAATTACACACGGTCAGGCATTCAGAGAAGTGCTGCAAAGAGACCCGTCTCTCTGGCCGTCAGACAAAGCCCACAACTGGACTGTTGTTACATTTTTTAATCAATTTCCTCCCTATAGTACAAGCTTTTTACAAACATTAAAATAGATCAATAACTATGATTACCATATTCCTCATACTTTCTGTAAATAGACATTAATTATTGCATTTAATAGACTGGCTCTTTTATTTGTATTTTTTAAAATCATTTTTACAAATGCACTGGTACCGATAAGTATGACAATAGAGGACTACATAAACGGAATGAAGAGAAAAGGAATCTATTCTCATGTAGCTGGTCCATGTAGTTCTTTCACTGTAGTGAAATCATAACAGAAATCACAATGCTACAATGTAATGACAGTTTAGGTATGACGCTTTTAGGAGCTCATAAGTAATACAAATTATATAAATCCACCATGATGACATTTCTGGGGCCTACTCTGCCCAAATAGTTCCCTGGTGCTCCAGGTGAAGTTTCCCCTAGGTACATATCTAGGATAAGATTCCCTCCCCCAATCCTAACCTTAACCATTAGTAGGGAAAATACAAAACTGACCCAAAATCAGCATCTAGGAGCAACTTCGCCCTACACCTTGTCTGGCACTTAGGTGTTTCCTTTTTGGTTAGTTGCTACCAACGAGAAGTGAGAATACATACAAAATCGTTCCTTGCATAGGAATGCATTAACTCAAGCATTATAGTTTCCCTCTGGCCATGATAAGGTCCATTCCAAAGGGCCACCAGCAGTAAAATCAAATATTATAGTCTCAAAAAATAGATATTTTTTGTTCCTTGAAGGATTTTATAACAAACAGTGATAAGGGGTCCCTTATAAACTCCAGAAATAGACAGGGTTGAATGACTGACACAGCCCTGCAAAGCTACCCTTGGTCCAAAGAAAGGAATGAGGGTAATAATTTAGCCATGATTGCCCCCTTGTGGCCTAGAAACAGGAACAGCATTGAATAAAGTGAACGCGGAATTTCATACAGTACTCTCAAACGCCTTCCTAGATCAATAAAGTAAAGGAGCTTTGGCAGCTAACGCCCATTAAAGAGGAGCGGCAATGTGGATCCCTGCAGCATTTCGTAGTGTTGACAAAATTAAGATTAGTAGAATTTCAGATAAACCTAAAATGCAACCGATCAGAGCAGCACTTTCTGTTCTCCTCTAGTGTAAAAACATGGCATCCACAGGTGCCACGGTTAAGCGGTTATGCTGCCACAGAGCAATGCCTTGAGGAAGAAATAAAAAACTAATCAAATTGGGAATGCCCCTCTCACAATGTAAAGACTGTCACTCACTGTCAGCAAGATTCACCCTCTCTTAACATAACATGACAAGCATTCAAGTAACGTCTCCTGTCCCCTGTTTCATTACTCAAAGTAATGAAAAACAAGATTCCAAAAAACTAAGCCATTTCTGTGTGACGCAAACGACAGCTTTTCTAAGTGTGATAGGCCCCTCTTATTCTACTCCGCCCCACTATTGGCACATCAAGGTTGGAGAGAATTCTATTCCACACTCCTTCTCCTCAGGGCACTGGTAGCACTGCATTTTAAAACATATAGAAAACACACCACGTCCTATAGATACCAATTGACACCCAACGCATTGTTGGCAACGTTGGTGTGTGTACTATATTTCCCTACTTACAGCACAGTTACCGCGGTTAACCATACAACATTTTAAAACATAATTCATAATCGCAGGAAATCATCATCAACCTCATCATTATCGTAGATTATGCGCACATTTCAAAAGATGAAATGCAGAATTCAGAAGTCTTAGTTGGTCCTGCTGCTATAAAGTATCATCAATGCAATGCCCGCCATCTTGTTGAAAGATTGACTGTGCTGTGGCCACAAGCCAAACCAGTCAGTTCCTCAGCTCAGAGTGGTTTTGTTCTATCATGCTAAGAAGACAGAAGTGTCTGAAGTGTTTGTGCAAAAGAGAGTGACTGGTAGTGTAGAGTTTTGTAAAAACATAGCGTCGAACAAGACCAGTGAATTTGCTATAGTGTTTGGGGTTGACCTGTTTCCGGCTGGTCATATAAAGTGTGTCTGTTTAGGCCTGTGTGTGTTTCGAGTGTTGTGCCACTCCCCTGAACGTCTTCTGATTAGACTGAGTGAGTTATTAAAGTCCTTGTGCTCCTGAATTCCATAGTTCACCTTGCCACCGGTGGCGCTGGAGGTACTCCCCGGAACGTGGCTACAGGAAGTAGAGGAAACAAAGGTTACATCAGGTCAGTTCCTACCTCCAAAAACAACCATGTGGCTCTTTTTTTCTATTAATCTTTTCTCAATTCCTCGCATCATTCTCAAAACGCATTGGAGAAGAAGGGGAGGGACATGGACCTTCTCCTCCAATACGATTGCGAAGGAGGCAAGTCGAAAGAATGCGAGGAATCACGGAAAGACGAATTGAAAGAGCCCATATCAATCATTTGCTTGAATTCCAAATCCCAGCTGACATTCTATATGGTAATAACATTGTGATGCAGTAGTGCAGAGGCCATTTATTGGATGTTGTGTACAGTCTGTATGTAGGCAGTGATGTTGAGAATGAATTAAGCCTGTACCTGGACCAGGTTTATTGCTTTTGCTGGGGTAGATCTTGGTGAAATTCCTATATTCCTCAGGGGGTGGGAGGTCCTCCACTGGGTGGAAGTCGAACTTGGACTCAAAATCCTCTGAGGGTTAAGAAAGGTAAAGGGTCAACACAACATTCATTGTAAATCAAGATCAATATCTCTATAACACTAAACTAGCAAAAAATGAAGGCCAACACTTCATTATAGTAATATAATTAATAAAGTACAGTAACATGTTAGCATGGCCCTGCATATAAACAAATTAGAAGTCAAGTATTTTTGACTTGTCAACCTTGCTCTAGTAATTTACATTTCCATTAACCAAGCCATGCACAATGGTCAGTTCTCCTGGAAACATTAATCTGACTGTGCAATCTATGAACGCTCTGGGTTGGTCACGATGCAACAGGAACTACAGGGGGCATTTGCATTCCTGAGATGGCATTTGAATATGAGGCTATGATACCTGACAATCTACTACCAACAACAACTAGGCTACTAGTGTCTCCAACATGTCTGTTGGTTTGAGAGCTAACAAATGGCAATAGTGTTCAAAAGTACACTGTGTTCAGGGCTGTTGGGTGGTGTTGAGGCTAATACTCAACACAAGATAGATTCTAAAGCGATGAAATGCCGGCAACAATCACATCACATTAATCAAAAGCAGTGACAGTTGTTCAAAAACTGGACTTGCATGAAAACCAGCATGTACAGGCGACACTGAGGACCAGGACTGGGAGATGGAGGAAATTAGCCTGTCCTGACTCACCTATATTGGACTTGGAGGAAGAGGATGAGGAGTGTCCATTGCGAATGGGCGGGGGAGGTGGCGGGGGTCCGGTGCGGGAGGAGAGGGAGGAAGATGAAGGGGGGGGAGGGGGCTTGGGCCCCCGGGTGTGGTGGGGTGGCTCCGAGGAGGTGGTGTTGTGGGTGACAGCGCTGTGGACCCGGTAGGGGGGCGGGGGAAGAGGGGCTTGGCCACCACCCCCATTTCGTGACCCAGGATTGGGTGCAGAAGGGGCTGCATCGGTAGCAAACAAACACACACAATAGTAAGACCATGATGATGCCTGATTCAAATAAATTAATCACATAAGCAATTAAGGAGCAAAAATATCCCTTCCAACATTTAACTTTCTGAAAAATGTATGTACTGTAAACTGAAAAAGAGGTACAGTGCATTCGGAAAGTATTCAGGCTTTTTCCACATTTTGTTACATTACAGCCTTATTCTAAAATGGATTAAATGTTTCCCCCCCAATCAATCTACACACAATAACCCATAATGACAAAGCAAAAACAGGTTTTTAGAAATGTTTGCAAATGTATATATAAAAAAAAAGAAGGTAAATATCACATTTACATATGTATTCAGACCCTTTACTCAGTACTTTGTTGAAGCACCTTTGGCAGCCTCGAGTCTTCTTGGGTTTGGCGCTACAATCTTAGCACACCTGTATTTGGGGAGTTTCTCCCATTCTTCTCTGCAGATCCTCTCAAGCTCTGTCAGGTTGGATGGGGAGCGTCACTGCACAGCTGAGCGCTCTGGAGCAGGTTTTCATCAAGGATCTCTATACTTTGCTCTGTTCATCAAAGAGTTCAGTCTTGGTTTCATCAGACCATAGAATCTTGTTTCTCATGGTCTGGGAGTCCTTTAGGTGCCTTTTGGCAAACTCCAAGCAGGCTGTAATGTGCATTTTACTGAGGAGTGTCTCTTGGTCACCTCCCTGACCAAGGCCCTTCGCCCCTGATTGCTCAGTTTGGCCGGGCGGCCAGCTCTAGGAAGAGTCTTGGTGGTAACAAACTTCTTACATTTAAGAATGATGGAGGCCACTGTGTTCTTGGGGACCTTTAATGCTGTAGAAATGTGTTGGTACCCTTCCCCAGATCTGTGCCTCGACACAATCCTGTCTCGGAGCTCTACGGACAATTCCTTCCACCTCATGGCTTGGTTTTTGCTCTGACATGCACTGTCAAGTGTGCGCCTTTCCAAATCATGTCCAATCAATTGAACTTTCCACAGGTGGACTCCAATCAAGTGTAGAAACATCTCAAGGATGATCAATGGACACAAGATGCACCTGAGTCTCATAGCAAAGGGTCTGAATACTTATGTAAATCTGTTTTTTTTATTTTTAATACATTTGCAAACATTTCTAAAAACCTGTTTTGCTTTGTCATTATGGGGTATTGTGTGTAGATTGATGAGGAAACAAATAATTTAATACATTTTAGAATAAGGCTGTAACGTAACAAAATGTGGAAAAAGTCAAAGGATCTGAATACTTTCCGAATGCACTGTATGTCCTTAAATAACAGACCATGCCCAACGGATCAGGACTGGTCAGGTTGCGAGAAAGATTAGATACTGTAGGCTGTAATGTGTGTCAGGTAGCTTAGTGGTTAAGAGCGTTGTGCCAGTAACCGAAAGGTCGCTGGTTCTAATCCCCAAGCCGACTAGGTGAAAAATCTGTCGATGTGCCCTTGAGCAAGGCACTTAACCCTAATTGCTCCTGTAAGTCACTCTGGATAAGAGCGTCTGCTAGCCCTACTTCATGTAGATCTGAAAAGGTGGAGCAATTGTCATATTGCAATTACCATTAGGGCTGTTCCCGACAACAACAACAAAAAAATCTTAGTCGACCGAGAGTCGTCTGTTCTTTCGACCAATCGATTGGGAGAAATGTTAAAATGTGTATTTTTCCATATATTTTTCAAAATCAACTATATGTAGGCTACTGAGCTTGTCTGATGCTTTAATAATAAAAAACACACAAATAACTAGTGGGAAGGAGCCAGAGATCGATATAGCCTAACCAGAAGAACAAAAACCTGTTCCCGCCCTCCTCTCTCTGCTGCCGGTAATAGGCTACACCAGCGGTCGGCAACATTTTCCAATTGGAGTGCCATGTTATCATACAATGTCTACTGATCTCCGTGCCAGTTATGATTTTCATATGTACATTTTCGTGGAACAGTTTCATTTATAATAAAGTCTTCATATCTCAAAATCAATGTTGTGGTTTTAATAAAAAAAAAATCTATCTAAATGAAAATGATACAAATCTAAAAGTAACTTCTATTGCCATTATGTAAAAATAGCCTACATAAAAGCAAACAAATAAAACATTGCAGCCCACAGGTAGAAAATATCATGATAAAAATAAATATCCTATAAATCACATTGGCTACACATGGCCTGTCTGCAAGGAACTTGAAACATTGTATCAACTATTGTATTAACTAGCAAACTTGTAACATTGTATAAAATATTCTGGGCCCTCAGAGTTTCCCACACCAGTGAGCTCCAGACAGACACACACAGCTGTAGGCTATTTGCGCAAGGGATAAGAAGTAATCATTAGGCCTATTTAATGACGTTTCCACCGGATCAGAGCATGACATCTTTCTCCCCTTTCATCAAATCAAATCACATTTTAAAGAGCGTCTGCTAAATGACTAAAATGTCAATGTAAATGTGTTTAGCAGATGTTATTGCGGGTGTAGCGAAATGCTTGTGGTAATCGAAAGTGAGAGCTGGAAAGATTGTTCAAATAGGCTACATTGAGGAACTATTGTCATTCTCAATGGATGTAAAAACAGACTTTGTTTACTTGCAGTTTGAGGTGAAGAAAAAAATACTTTGACAAGCTCCATAGTGATGGTGATTTAAGACAATCAGAAATAGTATCAGATCCCCAAATGGGCACACTTATAGGCCTACATTTGCGCACAGGCCAGGTAGATTAGTCCTACTTCTATATGCATAATCAAGTGCGTGTCCTTACTCATGATTGAAAGGAGCACTCCAAACAAAAGACAATGAATAAATTGACAACTCGTAAATGGAATGAAATAAACCAAAACTCTCACAAGTGTAGCCTAGGTTGTGCGCTCTGCACAACCTAGGCTAGGTTGACTGTAGTAATAATATATTGAATGCATTAACAGAAATTACTGTAACCAAACAAATATTGTAGATTATAAATTATGGGAATTAACGGTAAATGTACTACTAGTGTGCCATCCCTGCGGCCTCCGCAATGGATTAGTCCACTCAGACAGGCGTGAATCAGACGTGTCTCGTGTGCCATCATTTTTGTAAATATATTTGGCACTGCTCGACAAAAAATAATTGGTCGACCAACAGCCTATCGACCAAACAATCAACTAAATGGGGTCAGCCCTAATTACCACAGAGATAGATAGATGACTCTAGTGCCCAAAAGCCCGTATTAGCATGGGTCGTGCCATTGAGGACTTTCAACTGGGTGGGACTTCCTATGGTTAAGTAAGGGTCACATGATTCCATCCGGGTTATCAGGAGGGATCAGCTAATTAATTACAGTGCATTCATAAAGTATTCAGACCCCTTGATTTTTTCCACATTTTGTTACATTACAGCCTTGTTCTAAAATTGATTAAATTACATTTTCCCTCATCAATCTACACACAATACCCCATAATGACAAAGCGAAAAAAGGGTTTTAGAAATGTTTGCACATTTATTAAAAATAAAACAAAAATACCTTATTTACATAAGTATTCAGACCCTTTGCTATGAGACTCGAAATTGCGCTAAGGTGCATCCTGTTTCATTGATCATCCTTGAGATGTTTCTACAACTTGATTGGAGTCCACCTGTGGTAAATTCAATTGATTGGACATGATTTGGAAAGGCACACACCTGTCTATATAAGGTCCCACAGTTGACAGTGCATGTCAGGCCAAAAACCGAGCCATGAGGTAAAAGGAATTGTCTGTAGAGCTCGGCGATAGGATTGTGTTGAGGCACAGATCTGGGGAAGGGTACCAAAAAATGTCTGCAGTATTGAAGGTCCCAAGAACACAGTGGCCTCCATCATTCTTAAATGGAAGAAGTTTGGAACCACCAAGACTCTTCCTAGAGCTGGCCGCCCGGCCAAACTGAGCAATCGGGGGAGAAGGGCCTTGGTCAGGGAGGTGAACAACAACCCGATGGTCACTCTGACAGAGCTCTAGAGTTCCTCTGTGGAGATGGGAGAATCTTCAAGAAGGACAACCATCTCTGCAGCACTCTACCAATCAGGCCTTTATGGTAGAGTGGCCAGATGGAAGCCACTGCTCAGGAAAAGGCACATGACAGCCCGCTTGGGAGTTAGCCAAAAGGCACCTAAAGACTCTCAGACCAGGATGTACGTGGTCCTCTGTAGCTCAGCTGGTAGAGCACGGCGCTTGTAACGCCAAGGTAGTGGGTTCGATCCCCGGGACCACCCATACACAAAAAAAAAAAATGTATGCACGCATGACTAAGTCGCTTTGGATAAAAGCGTCTGCTAAATGGCCAAGATTGAACTTTTTGGCCTGAATGCCAAGTTCACGTCTGGAGGAAACCTGGCACCATACCTATGGTGAAGCATGGTGGTGGCAGCATCATAGCTGTAGGGATGTTTTTCAGCGGCAGGGACTGGGAGACTAGTCAGGATAGAGGGAAAGATGAACAGAGCAAAGTACAGAGAGATCCTTGATGAAAACCTGCTCCAGAGCCCTCAGACTGAGGCGAAGGTTCACCTTCCACCAGGACAACGACCCTAAGCACACAGCCAAGACAACGCAGGAGTGGCTTCGGGACAAGCCCCTGAATGTCATTGAGTGGCCCACCCTGAGCCTGGACTTGAACCCGATCGAACATCTCTGGAGAGACCTAAAAATAGCTGTGCAGCGACGCTCCCCATCCAAACTGACAGAGCTTGAGGATCTGCAGAGAAGAATGGGAGAAACTCCCCAAATACAGGTGTGCCAAGCTTGTAGCATCATACCCAAGAAGACTTGAGGCTGTAATCGCTGCCAAAGGTGCTTCAACAAAGTACTGAGTAAAGGGTCTGAATACTTACGTAAATGTGATTTTAGAAATGTTTATATAAATGTGCAAACATTTCTAAAAACCAGTTTCTACTTTGTCATTATGGGGTATTGTGTGTAGATTGATGAGGGAAAAAAACTATTTAATTCATTTTAGAATAAGGCTGTAACGTAACAAAATGTGTAAAAAAGTCAAGGGGTCTGAATACTTTCCGAATACACTGTATACTTGTGAGCAAGTATACAGTAACTGCAGGTGGCAGTAAATCGGCAACCTTGGCTTCATACCTGTTCAAACAACACAATACAGGTAGCAGTATGCACCCTTTCAGTTTGTTTGCCAACTCATAGAAGTAGTAGAAGAAAATGTACTACTTAAAAATGGAGATTGCCTCAATGGCGCTTCCCATGCTCTGACACCATAATGGGACATATACAATGTTGTGATGTCTAAGTCTATCGCTACTACCCATCCTTTCATTTCAGACCATGAAATTGTGTGTGGAAGAAAGGGTTGATTTGGAAAAGGGCATTACACTGTGACAGTAGTCCCTTGATATGACTAACGTCTCCCCAATATAAACATACAGCTGTGTTCTAGTACCTGATTTTCGGCCGGGGGGCTCCCTGGCGGGTGGGGGTGGTCTGCCGCCCCCTGGAGGTCCTGGAGATGGCGACGGGGGTGGAGGAGGCGCATGATTGCGTCCGCCGTGGCTGCCGCCTGAGGTCTTCTTGCGCAGTGAGTTGTGCCTCTGGGGCAGTTTCGGAGCCCCATCTCCACCATGGTGCCCCATGGGGCCATTGGAGGTTCCCCCAGAGGGGTGCCTGTAAGGCGGGGGCGGAGGGGGCGCCGAGGACCCCCCAGTGGGCGGCCGCGTGGAGGAAAGAGGCGGTCTCGATGGAGGGGGGCCAGAGCTGGGCGGAGCCGGGCCTCTTTGGGGCGGCGGGGGGAGGGGCTTCTCCCGGCTGTTGGTGGGGCCTACTGGGGCCTTTTGTTGGGGGGATGATGGGGCGTTGCCGTGGTAACCACTACGGTTAAACGGCGGGGGAGGAGCCGGGGCGGATGTGCTGGGCTTCATGCCCCCTGTCGAAGAAGGCGGAGCGGGTGGGGCTGATGAGCTGTGCTTCATGCCTGAAGAAGGGGGAGGGGGTGGAGCTGAGCCTGAAGTACTGTGCTTCATGCCCCCAGTGGAGGAGTGGGAGGAGCTGGCACTGGTTGGGGGGCGGGAGATATCGGGGAGAGAGGGGCGGTGGGAGCGCTGGGACTCCGGGGCGGAGGGTTTGTCTCCTGGGGAGGGGGAGGCAGAGTGGCCTGGGGTGGGCCGGGGGGCTGCAGGTCTGGAGCCTGGGGGATGCAGGGCTGATCTGCCCACTGAGGTGTCTGGAAGGAAGGCATTGAAACACACATTATAGAACACTATGCATAAATACACCCATTTAGATACTTTGTACCATTCACATCATGGCAAATGTAGAACTTCTAGTAGCCTGGGTGCCAGTGTTTCTGCAGTATATTTATAGTAGCATATTTACATAGGGCCCTATAAAATCCGCAGACGGAACCACGGAATCCAGAAATTAAAAAAATATACAATATTCAAAAATATATTGAACTTAGTAGGAAATAAACTAAAATGTATTGAACTTATTAGAAAATGCATTAATTTGTCCAAGTTAATCATAAGACATTTAAAAAATGCATCAGTGATTTGTATTTACAGGAATGCCCGTCTGTGTATTTGTGTGTGTGCATCTCTGGTAGAGATGGAAAGGCTTTCCCAAAAACCTTCCCAATTAAACGCTAACTACAAAGTAGCCTATGCCTACCTGGCAGAATTATATCAGGATTATTTGCATCAATCCAGTTGCCATTTGTTTTGCAAACTCTGCAATCACACGAACTTGCATTAAACTACACCCAAAAATCAAAATAAGCATTGTTGTAGACTTAGAACATCCAATTTGGTTGTTTTTCTATTAAAGCTGCAATATGTTACTTTTTGGGGGCGACACGACCAAATTAACATAGAAATGTCATTGATTGAAATCAAGTCTAAGAAGTGGTAGATATGTTCGGTGTGTGCTATTTCTATGCTTCCCGTTCTTAAGTTTCATTTTTTGCGTCTTTTACTTTCGGTTTTGTACGCCAGCTTCAAACTGCTGAAAATACAATATTTTTGGTTATGGAAAAGATTTCACAGCGATTTAGATGGTACAATGATTCTCTACACTTTACTTGCTTGAAATTAGGCAAACTATTAGAATTTTAGCAACCAGGAAATGGCGGAGTGATTTCTGCATTGTGCACCTTTAAAAACGTGGGAAAACGGAAACAAAAAAGGAAACCGAATTTAAGAAAAAACAAAACAGAATCAGGCAAAAAATAAAGCTGATTTTATAGGGCCCCACTTATATTCTATTCATATGAAGTGAATTCTGCTTACCTCCAGCTCCAACTGATCGTAGTTTTGGCATGCCCCCAGCGAACAGGCCTCCAAGGCCTCCCCCTGACCCTCCACTGCTCCCTCCTCCTCCTCTACCACCTCCACCACCTCCACCACTTTCCTTTGGTTCTGGGGAAAGCAGAGGGTCAAATATCCTTGTTACACTGTTGTGTTGATAATGCTTGCATTGACATTGTTGAAAGCTATTTGTGGCATGGAATTTTGCATATATGTATACATAAACGTACATGTATAGTCTGTGTGTGTGTCTGTGTCAGCGGGAAAAGAGGAGAGTGCAAAAGTTAATTTATACCTATATGTTTACTATGCTACTTACTCTCTATAATAGGTGCACTTCGGTCATTGACCACTCCAACCTTCTTCAGCCTGGCTCCTTTGGAGATATCAGAGAGCAACGCTCCTCTCCCCTTCGCGCCATCCCGATTCAACTTAGGTGCTGTAGTGTTCGCCTGAGGAGAGGATATGAGCAAACCACCATGTTAGTTAGGTTGACCATGCCAATGATAACATGAACTGCATAAGGTACCGTCGTTATAGCAACAGATGGCAATGCAGCATTATGCTGTAAATTGATGTAATCCCGATGGTGCCTGTGTGGGTGTGGATTTGTTTACAGGTAAAAACTGCATCAATAAATTGCAGCCTTTATAAATATGGCATATCAACCCTAGAAATCATACTATGGGAAATTTGTACATTATAATATATTAGACATAGTATCTAACACTAGCATGTGTTTTTTATTTTATTTTATCACCTTTATTTAACCAGGTAAGCCAGTTGAGAACAAGTTCTCATTTACAACTGCGACCTGGCCAAGATAAAGCAAAGCAGTGCGATAAAAACAACAACACAAAGTTACATATGGGGTAAACAAAACATAAAGTCAAAAAAAAAATACAACAGAAAATATATATACAGTGTGTGCAAATGTAGCAAGTTATGGAGGTAAGGCAATAAATAGGCTATAGTGCAAAATAATTACAATTAGTATTAACACTGGAATGCTAGAGATTATGTGCAAATAGAGATACTGGGGTGCAAAAGAGCAAAATAAATAACAATATAGGGATGAGGTAGTTGGGTGGGCTAATTTCAGATGGGCTGTGTACAGGTGCAGTGATCGGTAAGGTGATCAGTGCTTAAAGTTAGTGAGGGAGATAAGAGTCTCCAGCTTCAGAGATTTTTGCAATTAGTTCCAGTCATTGGCAGCAGAGAACTGGAAGGAATGGCGGCCAATGGAGGTGTTGGCTTTGGGGAGGACCAGTGAGATATACCTGCTGGAGCGCAGACTACGGGTGGGTGCTGCTATGGTGACCAATGAGCTAAGATAAGGCGGGGATTTGCCTAGCAGTGATTTATAGATGGCCTGGAGCCAGTGGGTTTGACGACGAACATGTAGTGAAGACCAGCCAACAAGAGCATACAGGTCACAGTGGGGGGTAGTGTATGGGGCTTTGGAGACAAAACGGATGACACTGTGATAGACTACATCCAATTTGCTGAGTAGAGTGTTGGAGGCTATTTTGTAAATGACATCGCCGAAGTCAAGGATCGGTAGGATAGTCAGTTTAACGAGGGCATGTTTGGCAGCATGAGGGAAGGAGGCTTTGTTGCGAAATAGGAAGCCGATTCTAGATTTAACTTTGGATTGGAGATTCTTAATGTGAGTCTGGAAGGAGAGTTTACAGTCTAACCAGACACCTAGGTATTTGTAGTTGTCCACATACTCTAGGTCAGACCCGTCGAGAGTAGTGATTCTAGTCGGGTGGGCGGGTGCCAGCAGCGTTCGATTGAAGAGCATGCATTTAGTTTTACTAGTGTTTAAGAGCAGTTGGAGGCTACTGAAGGAGTGTTGCATGGCATTGAAGCTCGTTTGGAGGTTTGTTAACACAGAATCCAATGAAGGGCCAGATGTATACAAAATGGTGTCGTCTGCGTAGAGGTGGATCTGAGAGTCACCAGCAGCAAGAGCGACATCATTGATATACACAGAGAAAAGAGTCGGCCCAAGAATTGAACCCTGTGGCACCCCCATAGAGACTGCCATAGGTCCAGACAACAGGCCCTCCGATTTGACACATTGAACTCTATCTGAGAAGTAGTTGGTGAACCAGGCGAGGCAGTCATTTGAGAAACCAAGGCTATTTAGTCTGCCAATAAGAATGCGGTGGTTGACAGAGTCGAAAGCCTTGGCCAGGTCGATGAAGACGGCTGCACAGTACTGTCTATTATCGATCGCGGTTATAATATCGTTTAGGACCTTGAGCGTGGCTGAAGTGCACCCATGACCAGCTTGGAAACCGGATTGCATAGCGGAGAAGGTACGGTGGGATTCGAAATGGTCGGTGATCTGTTTGTTAACTTGGCTTTCAAATACTTTCGAAAGGCAGGGCAGGATGGCTATAGGTCTGTGTTGTATCATCCTTCACAATACAACAGCAAATAATAAGTGATTTCAGTTATTTGATCATGTAATTATGATGCTCTAGAAACCCTTCAGAGGACTTTTGAGTGTTGTCATGTTTTGAACATCGGGTTAGGAGCTGGACTGACCTGGTTGAAGGTGGGGGGAGGAGGGGGTCCTGGGGGAGGAGGGGGAGGAGGAGGAATGGGCATCCTGTCCCTCTGTGGGCACCTTGGGGAGGGGGTTAGTTCACCGTCTCAGCTCTGGGTACAGCCTCAAACACCTGCAAAACAAGAGGGGAGACTCGGTTCAGTCAAATAAACACAACAGGGTGAAAATGAACACTCCTGAACTGAACTGGGGTCAGAGTAATATTGAACATCCTTGTAGTGTCATGATTGACATTGGTGGACTATATTGAACTCAGGTGAGTCAAGATATCATTGGGACATCTGTTCAAGGAACATTACAATTCACCTCAATCACACTAAAAACAGCTATCCTCTAATTCTACATGCATATACGCACTCTAGAATGATTCAGCTCAGTAGAGCTCCCCAAACCAGTTCACTGGCTGGGCTGAGCTCATTGTGGAGACAGGCATACAGCACGCTGAGCTAGGCCTCGCAGCAAACCCCACCCTCCTTCACTCACCCCTACACTCCATTCCACAGGCTGCCTATTAACAGGTGTTTGAACAGGTTTTCACAGAAGAGGAAAACAAATGGAATGTCATCGGGTGAGCTTGCCAGTAAGGCGAAAAGGAACGGAAATGAAGCAGCCGTTGTAAGTTTCTACCTCGAGAGAGACAAACCGAGAGTGGACAGCACAGCCCACCCCTTCATGATTCATCCATTGACAAGATTTGATGTTGTTTTTGTAATACCAGCACCGACCATTTATACCAATCAAAATGTCTCTAGAATCTCCCATAAATGTTCAATTGGGTTGAGATCTGGTGACTGAGGAAGCCATGACATACAGTTTACATCATTTTCATGCTCATCAAACCATTCAGTGGCCACTCGCGCTTCCACACAGGGCATTGTCATCCTATGGGGGCATAGCCATGGTAGCCAAAATAATGTCCTGCCCAGCATTTTTATACATGACCCTAAGCATGATGGGATGTGAATTGCTTAATTAACTCAGGAACCACACCTGTGTGGAAGCACTTGCTTTCAATATATTTTGCATTCCTGATTTACTGAAGTGTTTCCATTATTTTGGCAGTTATCCCCTGTACATGCGCCTACTTGGAGAATTGCCAATGGATTGAGGTTTTATGACATTCTTACAAGGTATGGGAGGTGTACAGCGCCGTCTCCAACCTCACCTGTGACCCATTGAGGAAGTTTTATGCTTTTGTGGACGGGAAAATAATTTCGAGAAAAAAAAAGTGCACAAACTAGCAACCCTAAAACGAGCAGGCCTGAGTCAGAAGTGTCACTTGAATTTCATTTTCTGATATGTAGAAAATGAGACTTCGTTTGTTACTGAACTGCCACCAATTTAAGCACAGATTTGAGAAGGAAAAATTCCAAATCAGAAATGGGCTCGAGTCGTTAGCCAATGTCTACGCACACTACAAGAGGTGCCAGGTGAGCGAGCCCAAAAACATGTAAGGAAAGTTCGAAAACAATGCAATTCCTCCCTTTTGGACTACAACTTTAACTACCTAAATGGCCATTGCTATTTGAATTAACGTAGCAATCTAAGTAAAAGGTATATAAAGTGAGTCAACTAGTTATTAGCTGGATAACATGTTGATCTAACTACTGTTAACTAGTTGGGTGGATTGGCAGTGACTTACCCTGTCTCGAAGGATTGCGAGTCTTGTCTTCAATAACAACATGAATGGAAACTGCAGTTGTGGCAAGTTTGCTAGCTAACACAATCCCAGGCAGTAGGCGGCTCTCGGTTACTTGCATAGAAAATCTAATAAAAACTGGGGGGCACTAGCATCTAAGTTAGCTTGCTAGCGACATCAACAAAATCTGAAACCCAAAGTTAGCTTACTAGCCAAGTTACTGTTTACTCGCGCCAGCTGTCAGCGGTCCAGTGTAATTTAGCTGGCGTCTGAACTATGGCGCTAAACAAGTTCTATTTAGGTGCAAGAGCTAATTCGAGGTACGCGTATCTCCAGTTTATATCCTATTGTCATGTACTTTTTATTCCGCTCTTGTAAGCAAAGCGAGACTCGCTTCACAACTGTTTCGGTCGCTTCTCGGAAACCCGGAAATGGGCCGTCCAACACAAAATGGAGGCAAGCAGGTAACAGGATCACCGCCGACAAGTTTCTCTCTCTCAACTGGGTTAAACAGCGACCTCCATGGAATGAAACCTGTAGGACACTCACGAGAAACGACCTATAGTTTTAGAAACTCTGAGAGAACACCCTTGAGTGGGTGGAGCATGGTCCTCTTCTTGCTTTTGCCTCATGTCCGATTTGTGTTCATGCAAGCATTCATGGCATGTATGGAACATGTTATGGAAAATATAAAAATATTGCTTGTAAGAGAAACCTATATGCATTTCAATGAGTCTGATACTTGTAGAGTCAAGTGAACAAACTGTGATAATCATTGCACTTGGTGAATCTGAATCCATTTCACAAAAATATTGTGGATATCCCAGACAGACATTTTGCAAAGATAATCACATCTTTATTTGAAAATCTTATAAAATGACTCCATTTGCATGAGATGTTGCATTGCCATTCACCCAAAACATGACATATCAAAAGGCACTGTTGAACATCTCTGCTCACTGGTGTACTGATATTTAGTTGTTGCATAATTCAGACCCAGGACACCAATTTAGACCTGGGTCTTGTTCATTAGGCACATATGGGAGCAAATGTTTTCAAATGGAAACGCAAAAAGTTTCAAGTAATTTGTTCCCATTTGGAACCTACTGAACAGGCCCGCTTTCACAAAAGCATCTTAAGGCTAAGTTCATCGTTAGAACCTTTGTAGGCGCATCGTTAAATCTCAGAGCTGTTTCCCAAAACCATCGTTGCACTTAAACGCTCGTAATCGAACGCCTGGCTCAGACAACTCGTAGCACAGCTAAGTGCGTCGTTAGATGCTTTTTTGCCCTGCCGCGTCACTTTATACACAGATCTCCGCTAAACATAGAATCACATGGTTTATTCGCCTCTCTGTGACTGCTGATAACTTCAGAACACAGTTTACTACAAATACAAAGTTTCCAACGTCCTTGCAATTGATACAAACAAGCGACGTATAAAAACATGCTTCAAATTAAAACCGAGACTACTGCATTAAAATATAAATAGCCTACAGTAAGTAGGCTATAGGCCTATTTCAATCATATTGAAATACATTTAATGTTCAATCAATTGAGTTCTATTTTGCTACTTGTATGATACTGTCTGTAATTTGTCTCAATATATTTCATGATGTACCAAATCTCAATTTGCCTAATATTTTCAGCCATATGTGATATCTTTCAAGGAGCTGATCCATCGTCAGTATCGTGGAATAAGTATAATGTTAAGGTAAGATTTGAATGGAGAAAGCTGATCAGAGCAGCGTTGCCTTTCTTCACTTAGTGAATGTTCTCTCTGCCTGGTGTTTTGGGAATTATACAACGGGTGGGTCTAATCCTGGATGCGTATTGGTTAAAACCGCATTCCAGCCGGTGTCTATTCCAAAAGTTAAGCTATGCCGTTGAAATGCCTATTTACTCTGTTCCATCTCACTGCGCAATCCACTGTCTCATCAGCCCAGCCAGGCAATTTATAAACTTGATCTCCACTATTGAAAAGCATCTAGACATTATCTCCCATTTCTTTTCGACTAGCATTTGATTTTCAACAACAGAGATTTGTATAAACCTTGCTGTCTGTCTCTCTGACATTTGCAACATTGTTTCAAAATTGAAATGAGATCTCCAGCTGTCCCATAGTAATGAACGTGTCAGGAGTTGGGATGAGACAGGCAGGCAGACAGCTTTTCTCAGCCAGTCGAAATCATGAATCAGCTGGCATCATTTTTATGGATATACACAAAGAAATGTCAACAGACAATAGGTAAAACGAAATGCAGCTAGTTTGCAGTCTTTCCAGCTTCAGTTTGAAGGGATTGTGTTAGCTGTGTTGTTGGCTAGCTCCTCTGAACAGTGTCCTGACGAGAAATGTAATGAGAAAACAGCTTAAACAAATGCAAATGCAGCTACTTTGCTGTTATTCTGGCTGCACTGTTTGACGTGACTAAGTTAGCCATTGTTGGCTAGCAAGCAAGGGATAAGAACGTTGCCAGCCAGTATGGCAATGGAACATTTAGAACAAACTAAAAGAGTGAATGACTGGGTCGCGTCTCTGGCAACCGAACCGATAGAACGAATAACCAGCCGGCTTGGGTAGCAACCTTAGATTTGTGTCGGGACTAGATCTCGTGGAAGGATGAAATAGTCTGAATAAATTCAAAATGTTTATGAAAATATGTCAATCATTATTTGTTTATGTTGGTAACCCATTGTATAAAAGTGCCCTCGAAGCCGGTGTTTGGAGGATATATTGGCACGGTTTGCCGGCCCGAGACGTCCGTGCCAATATATCCTCCAAACACTGGTTGCTCTGGCATTATCACTTAAATGTTACATCTTCGGCCGTTGTAGGAAAGATACATTGTTAAAACACTTGTAAGCCTAAGTTCCATTGCTATCAGGAAACCGGGCCCAGGTTGGCTAAACTCTAAACGACCTCAAGTGAACAGGCTCATTGCACGAGTTCCATGAAGAAGTGCTATGAGTCTGTCCATTGAGGCACTACCAATCAGATTAACTTCAATTGTTTGTTAGGCCATGGTATTTGCTTGGAGAGCAGTGGTCAGCACCATAACCCAGTCATTTAATCAGATGGCATAATTGATGTAGATATGCAAACACTAGTGGTTTGATTCAATATTTTTTCACAGAGGTAAGCCTCAGCCAAGAGGTTGATTGACAAGCAACATTGGCATTGCCTTTGTCATTAATCAAAAGATAATCAATCGATTTACGAAAAAAAAAATATATTCCCTTTGATTTTCCTCTTCTTCCCCCTTAGGTTAATTTCAGCCCAATGTTCAGATCACCAATGCCAGGGCCCGGTTACCCAAAAAGCATCCTATGGTTCTAAGATGAACTTAGCCTTAAGATGCTTTTGGGAAACCGGGCCCAGATAAATTAAGACATCATGCGCTCAGCTCGACTAGACCACAAGTGTCCTCATTCTAAATGCACATGACAGCGAGCAGCAGCAAACATTTCTTAGAACAAAATTTCAAGTATAATCTTCAGAATACCAATGAAAATAGTCCAGAAGATGGACTCCTCTTCCTGGAAGTCGTCCTCTGGAGCTGGGGAGTAGCTCTGCTTCCCCCGGTCCTCCTCCGAGGGGTACGACCTTTTATCGAACGGGTCCTGGAGGGAAGTCTGATCGTAAAACACCCTCACCTCAAACTCGCTCTCCTGGTATGACGGGTGGCCGTAAATGCCAATCCCCACGGGCCTCACAAAGTCCCCAGGTACTACGACCACGTCCTGGCCGCAGGTGGCCGACTGCAGCTTGTAGGTGTCGAAGCTGGGCCGCAGAGTTTTGTCCGAGACGTACAAGTCTGCGTCCCCCTTGAGGCTGCGCATGTGCAGGATGATCTTGCCGTCGTGGTTGAGCCGCAGGTAGCTGTAGTTGCCTGCCCCGATGTGGCCCTGCACCACATGGAGCAGCACCCACTCCTTAGGAAGGGCGTCCTCTTCCAAAGAGTGCAGGAACCCCCCCTGCCTGAGACAGGAGGAACGCCACAGCCAGCAGGCTGCTGCACAGCACCATAGTAGAGATGGATGGTCAGAGTCACCGACTGGACAACACCCACCTTCTACCATCTGTTGTTAACCTGAAGGGCAACACAGAAACAAATTAATTACCTACAGTACAGTATAAGCCTGTTAAAGCTTGTACAGGGCAAATCCCCAAGTGGGCAATATGGTATTCGGCCAGGACATAGTGTCAGACTGCCAGTTGACTTTTAAGGGATGTTTAGAAAACTGACACCTGCCTGTAGAGCACTGTACTGGCTACAAGCCCTGCACGATCTCTGCTCTATAAATACAGCAGCAAGCTAGCTTCTTCTAAAGATTAGCATTGTGTGACCTCTGCAACCTTGTACTATACTACACGTTTAGCAGTTACTTCTTGAGTAGCCCACCTGTAAAGGCGTTACGCCCACCCTGTCTGTCTGCCTTGCACTGACTGCTGGCTAACCGCTCACAGGCACATGTCCGTTTAAATCGCTGGCCTGTGAATTAGATATTAGAGCAGCCACAGACTATCTGGCTAATCCCATTAACAAAATAGATTATAAAGCTAAACTCAGTTATGCGCTAACGCAGAATATAGTCCTAAAGCAATTGTTTGCTTTGCCTGGCTTTGGCCAACGTTTGACAGCGCGTGGCCATGTTCACAATTTGAAACTTCGAGTATTGTACTGGTGGCTAGTTAACTATATGCAAAATAAATATCTTTAACAATACATATGCAAATACATTATTCTTGATATGAACAACATAGCTACATTTAATCAGCCATGCAAGGAGCAAGCTACTGTTGCCAGAGTTCATGCTAGCAACTCTCGCTTGCTAACAGCCAGGCTACGCTAAATTACATAGCTAGCTAGAGGTCTAGCACAAACAACTTTCCGGGGCGACGAGAAGCAACAATTACTATTATCACAATATTTAGCAGGTTTGTGGCCCAAGAACATTAGCTACTCACCTGTACATTGTTCCGAGCAGATTTAGTAATGGTTATTGTTTTGACAGTAACTAACGAACCAGTCAGTGTAAAGTTCACTTCTTCCGTTTTCCGGGCTATCTCACACTTAAACATCCACTGGCGCCGCCTATAGTACAGGGAAAGTAGCACATTCATAACTGAACAAAAACAACCAAGTAACACTGGGCCTATATTAATCACATCATCCTACAAATGTACATTTGATATGGGAAATATATAAAGACACAATGTGATCCTAACCAGTTCTCTAAGTTATTTACAGTAACCTGATCTATTTATTGTCAAATTCACACCCCTCAGAGACTTGATGGTTGTAAGCTTCACACAGCAGTAATGTAGTAGCTAAAGGAGCGCTGAACCCCCAAACCCCATTTTAGGAGCCTCCAAAGAGATATCTCCCCCCCAAAAAAATTGTGGCTACACATTGGTCGAATGACGTCAGCATTATTACTTTGTAGAATATGTTAATACATTACATCAATGTTTTGATCCCTGCTATTTCCAGCCAACAAGATCAGGTTTCTGGTATTAGTTCCAAAGCACTGTGCATAGGATTATAGAAAGGGGTCAAATATTTTTACTGGAATCAAAGACTCATCAGCATATCAATGCATCATCAGATCAAGGTACTGTAAACCAAGGTGAAAGACAATCTCTCATAGTGAAGGATATTACCACGTAACTTTATTGTACTACATCTTAATTTCTGCTTTGGCAACACTAGCGTCACAGTCGTCCTGCCAATAACGTTATAATTTTTTTATCGGAAGCAATGGGACATTCAAAACGAAGTTTGATAAATCAGATTATGAAAAACTGAGTCATTTTATCCAACCACTACCACAAAGCGTTGGACTGCAGCGTAATACTGCAATGAAAATATAACAGCATGTAAATCTCAAGACATATCAAAATCCACCACCGCAAGTTTACAGACACCTTGTGAAACAAAACGTATAGACTGATTTTACTTCCCACCATCTACATCATGCCCATTTCCTTTATTCTCATTTAGGGTCAACTTTAATTATGTACACCGTTCATTTCTATTGCAGTTTTTACTAGAACCATTTGTAATCTATTTATGATAATGTTTTTGCTTATTAGGATCATATACAAATGTATTAAATTGGATTAAGAATTGTTCAATTACATATCAAACTGGTTTCCAGGCATGCACACTCACACCTCAATCATAAAATCAACTGTACTAATTTCACATTTATTTTAAGTCTTTTTTTTTACTTTAATGAACACCAACTGTATTTTTAAACAAAAGCACAACAAATGTTCCAGGGAAAGAGTGACAATTATTTTGATGATCTTCTCCGGTAAATGTTTTCAAAGCCACATCAAATTCTATATAGATAGATATACTTGTTCAACAAGTCTATGTGTAGATCTGTCATGTTAGAAACAATATTTTGACTTTGAAGTGGAATATCACCCACTTCAGTGTAATAATTATTGCAAACCACTTTACCAATTTAAGGCTTCGGAGTTCAATAGCAGTGTTAAGTAAATCCTATCATTTCAAAGTTCAAACTGAGCCAGTACATACATCATTAAGTTTTTACACTAGAGTTTCCAGGTGTTAACTGCACTAAAGGCCCAAGTAGTGTTGTTTTACTAATTCTTTAGAATAAATGAACGTTTTTCCTCAACATTAAAATAAATCACTGCATCTATATCTTATAAAAACAGGTTTTTGAAAACAAGACGTCATTTTGTATATAATGTGGCAGATGAAGAAACAATTTAAATATGCATGTTTGTCGTTTGCCATACTATACATCATTGTGTAACTCTACAGAGGGCTGAGAATACAGGCGACTGAACAGGGGAGGGGGGGTTGATGTGGGGATGGTATGTATCAAATGCCAGAGTAGGACGATGGATGGAGGGGAAAGAGAGGGGCAGATAAGGTAACGATGAACATCGCTATTCAGATTTGTGGAACGTCTTTGCAAGAATGCTCGCATTATACAGTATACATGTAGTACCATGCTAGCGCTGCTCGCCTTTTGTCCTAACCGTTATTAGAGATGGAGATCAGTGCCATGAGTTCATTTAACTACCGCCAACAAAACATCACACGCTATATTAACCCCATTCTGCCCAGCTGTGCTCTTACCCAATCATAACGCCTGTTGGGTAAAAACCAGCAACTGCGAAACGCCGATGGCAGAAAAAAAGAAAAAGAAAATAATTTGTTTGTACAGAAAACAAACAAAGTAAACAAAAACAGCAACAGGATATATCATATAATTCATGCTTTTTTTTCTCTCCAAAGAGTAGGAGCAGGTGATGAGAAAAAGAAAAATTCACAGTTTTCAAACTACGATGCAAGGTTGTGTGTATGCGGGTGTTTATGTTTTGCGTGTCGTAACTGTACGGGAGTGTGATAGTGTGTGTGCATCTTTGGGTACATCTCAAATGGCAACCTATGCCCTATAAAAGTGCACTAATTTTGACCAGGGCCCATATGGCTCAGGTCAGAAATAGTGCACTAATATAGAGCATAGGGTGTCATTTGGGACGCACCCTGGGATAGCCATTTCACTAATCATATCTGGGGGTGTTAAACCCCAGTCACCAAACTCATGTATCATCTTCCGATGGGCAGAATGGGGGTAACTACATTCCTTGTCAGACTGAAATTAATTTGTTTTGTTATTTATGTATAATAGTCTCTTTTCTTTTTCAACGCTTGGTTAAATTCTTGGCTTGTTTGTTGACGTCGTCGTCGTTTGTATTTTTTCTTCTAGAGAAATTCAGCCTGCTTTGAGTATGCTCGCTCTCCGTCTATGGACTGCGAAGGGGGGGCAGAGGCAGCTATGATGCTGGGAGGTCCGCGCTGGAAGGGGTGGAAAAGGGGGGGTCTGGAGGGGGATTGGGTTGTTCAGACCGGGGGAGCTTTGCGCTTCAGTAGATACTGGTGAATGTCGTCAGCGTCGCGCTTGAGCCAGGCGGCATTCAGGAGAATGTTCTCGCAGCACTGCTGCACCGTGCGCTCGGCCGCTGGCGCGTGGTGGCTCTCGAAGAAACTCTGGAAGACACAAGATGGCCGCGTTTAGAATTAGAACGACTGAGAAGTTACCTATACTTATTTTAGTTAACGTTTAACAGTTTTATTGATCGAGACAACACAATATTAAAAAGGCATAAACCAATATGATGCTCACCTTCACTTCAGCAGCCATTTTGTCAATGGCGAATCCATCCACAGAGAGCTGTGAAGAGGGGTGAATATACAAATGAGTTGGCTTAGGTCATTGGGCCAAATGCAAAAACTACCAGTCTTCCAAAATACATTCCTCTTATAATATATACAGTGCCCTCTGAGGAGCTTAAATAATGAACAATGCTTCGGAGGAAAACTGCTTAATAGGAGAGTGTGTACATGTACTGTATGTTAGTGGGCGGAGCCTTTACCTTGATGAGCCGTGATATGAGGAAGCCGCCCTGGTAGCGGTTGTGAAGCTCCTCCCAGTTGTCTTTGACGAACTTCCAGGCGGCTTTCCTTCCATGCTTACTGCTTCCGGCCACGCCCCCGATTACTGACACCGTGTCCTGGGGACGCACGTCCTCCTGGGTAGGGGAGACAGAGGGGTTGGATTCATCATGCTCATCCTATAGTTAAACTCCTATGACCAAAACAACTATTAGGGCTACATTTACAAAACTAGTTAACACCAGTGTTAAAAGTTGCACCGGCTATTTTCAAGAAAGAATAACATAAAAGCAAGACCAAAACACAAGGTTAGTGTAAATACACATTTCTAGGGATTTTAGTTTTGTCTTTTATATCCTCCTGATAAAATAGCAGGAGCAAGCAACACACTCCAGTTGCCAGGGCAAGAATGGTTGTGTGTACGTACCGAGAGGGCAAAAGTTAGGACTTTCTGGATGAGGTCGGGGGCAGAGATGGCTCCCAGCACTCTCTCTATGCGGTTCTTCTCCTCCTGCATGTCAGCCTGCTTGTGAAGCTGGAGGGGAGGGATAGAGAGAGATAATGTGAGAAAAATACATTCAGATTTTACCTTTGGTGTGACATTTATGGGACGAAATCAAATAATGATATCAATTTTCATCAGTTGACTGTGATTAAAGCTTTATCTGTCACAGATTATCGGTGAGGCTCGGACAAGAGTCGAGGACATGGCGCGAGCTGGTAATCTTGTTCATCTGACTGAGGAAATGTAATAGAAATCATTCATGTTTACAATATATGACTTATGCTTATTGAGACGGATCGCCAACCAGCTGGCCTGGCTGGGGTGTATTCACTAGGAACAAAATGGAAGCAAATGGGCCGAAACAGGGAGGGACTAATCTGAATTTATCCAATAAGAAATGCTTGTTTTCGTTGCAAAACATTTTGCTACGGTGTGCACTAGTGAATGCACCATTAGCTGGTGTGACTTACCTTCAGCATTGTGTCCAACGTGGCACTGTCTCCATGCTTCAGCACTGTTAAGTACACCTAGAGAGAAACAAAGACCATTAGCATGGGCATTCAATATGGTTTCATCACTTGATTTTACAATCATTTTATGTCTGTCTCATCATAAACGGCATCTACTTCCAGTCATGATTGTACTCAATAATGTAGGACTATCATTAGCACTCAGAAATGATCTACAAAAGGAGTCACTGTTTGAAAGTGGGATCAATAACATGATTACAGGACCATTGTTGAAATGTTGACCTCAATTGATTGAAATGAATGGACAGGTGAAAGCCATACTGAAGAAGCGTCACCTAACCAACCAGAAGGCTAGATGGAGACATTATCAAATTGCTGACCAATCAACATTTTTAACATTCATGACGGAAAGTCATCAAGAGCCTAAGGTTAGAGGGCAAAGGTTGGTTTGGAATGGGGCCTTTGTTTATGTAAGTACATGTTAAGAATATATGTGTTTCTCTATGAATAAATGTGTGTGTGTGTGGCGGGGGGGCAGAACAGCTTACTGGGCTCCTGAGGTCTGCAGAGAGGATCTGCTTGCCTTCCACATGGTCTTTGAATCTCCGCCGGGCCTCCTCCAACGTGGGCTTGTGTCCCGCCTTCCCCAGCTTCCCCAGAACCAGGCCCCTTAGCAGGGCATCCAGGTGACCTGAGAGAGGGGGGAGAGGAGAGAGGGAGAGAAGTAGAAGAAGAGGGGGGGGCAGGAGGGGAAATTTAAAAAAGCACCGGTCAGTCTCAAACACAAAACACACAAACGCTTTGACACAATGAACTTCATCCAAAAGGACCACATTCATCTACTGCTAGGCAATCCAGGAGCCAGTGAATCCATACATCACCAGCTCTGGGATGATACCCCTACTACACAAAACACTTGCCTAATTCCAAACCGACAGCCCCTAACCCCTAGGCACTTGAGCAGATCTGAAAGGATCGTATAGGTGTAAGCAATATAGCAGAAATGAAATTCCACCAAGCCTATCAAGAGTGCAACGTAGACTCATTACCATCTCTCTTACACCTATCCAACCCAATCAGAGCTACATCAAGTGCCTTGGGGCTAAAGGCTGAGGATCGACTCGGAATGACTTGGCAGCTCAGTTTTTTGCTCTTACCACCAGCCCCAGGGGGCTCACCTTCGACCTGCTTGCATTCCCAGCCCAGCTTGAGGCCGATGGGGGTGAACAGGTCCCGGATGAACTCCTGGATCTCCTCGTGGAAGTCTGTGTGGGAGAGCAGGGAGGAGAGCACGCCCAGGTTGCAGCTCAGGTCACTCCACACCGTGTAGTTGGGCTCGTTGACGAAGGCCTCCATCAGCTTCAGCACCTCCACCGTGCTGATCATGCCGGCGCGCGACTGGGGGGGGGGGGGGGGGGGGGGGGGGGGGGGGGGGCAGGAGAAGAATTGGTAAGAGTTACAGTATTGTGATGTTATCGACAGTGTGTTTGTAAATGAGCACTGAATGAACGGGACAATAAAGCTTTTGGACTTTGAGGAATAGGATAAAGCAGGAAAACAAGTTGATTAGATTACACATTGTTTATCCAACGTCTACAGTAAACATCTTCATAAGAGGCTTTGGTGAGAAAAAGGCCAAAGAATCAATGCTTAACAATTCACATGACATATCTTAGTCGACGAGCTTAATACTCATGGGTACAGAGGGAGAAAGGAGAAGTACCGTTATTGAACCACAACAGTTACGTTCACATGACCACACAATACACAACAATAACATGTAACTGCCAAAATAATGGAAACCCTTGAGTAAATGAGGGATACTAAGTATATTGAAAGCAGGTGCTTCCACACAGTAGTGATGTGCGGGTTGACTCATAAGCCGCAGTCCCCGCAGTTTTATCCGCAGGGCGGGTTTAGGCTCATGAAATAGTGTAGATGAAGGGCAGGTGGGTGGCAGGTTGAATAAAGAGAAAACAATCAATTCAAAAATCCATTAATGTTTAATTAATATATCTACAGTATAGGCTACATTGAGGTTTTTCTTTCATTCTTTTTAGGCTATCTGGCATTTGTGCGTAAGCCTATAAGCTTTAGGGCCAAACTGTACTCGCGCCAAATAGCCTACACGCCAATCGCCAAATGCTTTTGGGAACGGGCAGAAAAAGTGAATGTCGATCCACTGAGGCAAAAAGGACAATGTCGGAGTTTAATTCAATAAGAGAAAAGCCGCAAAATGGAGAGTTGAAAATAAAGAGAAGGGAGGAACAGAAAGATTTGGGAAAGATTTGGTGAAGTGGTAAAAGAGGATGATAGCAGTGCCGGCTATGTTGAGTAATGATTGTGAGGCGCTATACAAATTCGACAGTCACAAGACGGGGATTTCAAATAGGCCTATGGCATGTCAAGGGAACTTTAGCCTACTGTTCAGATGGATTAAATGGAAATTGAAATCTGGACACTGACTGTAGGTCTATAACCTCTCACATAGCCTTAATATTAACTCCTGCAGAATTAAGCATTTCTTGCATATATATATATATACACACACACACACACACACACACACACAGTGGGGAGAACAAGTATTTGATACACTGCCGATTTTGCAGGTTTTCCTACTTACAAAGCATGTAGAGGTCTGTAATTTTTATCATATGTACACATCAACTGTGAGAGGCGGAATCTAAACCAAAAATCCAGAAAATCACATTGTATGATTTTTAAGTAATTAATTTGCATTTTATTGCATGACATAAGTATTTGATCACCTACCAACCAGTAAGAATTCCGTCTTTCACAGACCTGTTAGTTTTTCTTTAAGAAGCCCTCTGGTTCTCCACTCATTACCTGTATTAACTGCACCTGTTTGAACTCGTTACCTGTATAAAAGCCACCTGTCCACACACTCAATCAAACAGACTCCAACCTCTCCACAATGGCCAAGACCAGAGAGCTGTGTAAGGACATCAGGGATAAAATTGTAGACCTGCATAAGGATGGGATGGGCTACAGGACAATAGGCAAGCAGCTTGGTGAGAAGGCAACAACTGTTGCCGCAATTATTAGAAAATGGAAGAAGTTCAAGATGATGGTCAATCACCCTCGGTCTGGGGCTCCATGCAAGATCTCACCTCGTGGGGCATCAATGATCATGAGGAAGGTGAGGGATCAGCCCAGAACTACACGGCAGGACCTGGTCAATGACTTGAAGAGAGCTGGGACCACAGTCTCAAAGAAAACCATTAGTAACACACTACGCCGTCATGGATTAAAATCCTGCAGCGCATGTCCAAGCCCGTCTGAAGTTTGCCAATGACCCTCTGGATGATCCAGAGGAGGAATGGGAGAAGGTCATGTGGTCTGATGAGACAAAAATATAGCTTTTTGGTCTAAACTCCACTCGCCGTGTTTGGAGGAAGAAGAAGGATGAGTACAACCCCAAGAACACCATCCCAACCGTGAAGCATGGAGGTGGAAACATCATTCTTTGGGGATGCTTTTCTGCAAAGGGGACAGGACGACTGCCCCGTATTGAGGGGAGGATGGATGGGGCCATGTATCGCGAGATCTTGGCCACCAACCTGCTTCCCTCAGTAAGAGCATTGAAGATGGGTCATGGCTTGGTCTTCCAGCATGACAACGACCCGAAACACACAGCCAGGGCAACTAAGGAGTGGCTCCGTAAGAAGCATCTCAAGGTCCTGGAGTGGCCTAGCCAGTCTCCAGACCTGAACCCAATAGAACATCTTTGGAGGGAGCTGAAAGTCTGTATTGCCCAGTGACAGCCCTGAAACCTGAAGGATCTGGAGAAGGTCTGTATGGAGGATTGGGCCAAAATCCCTGCTGCAGTGTGTGCAAACCTGGTCAAGACCTACAGGAAACATATGACCTCTGTAATTGCAAACAAAGGTTTCTGTACCAAATATTAAGTTCTGCTTTTCTGATGTATCAAATACTTATGTAATTGATTGGGAATATGTTTTACATCTTTAAAATCATGTTGGGATCATTTTCAAGGTTCCATCTTACAACGGTCAAAATGTGTCACGAGAGTGGGACTAAAGTTCCATGCAAAAAATGTTTGAGATAATTGGCTTTAAAGTTCCAAACCTTCATTGGTATGAATGGGTCAGCAATTTTTATATTGTATAATTTTGAACTTATCAAGATGAATTGGGGTATTTATATAGGTAGAGAGACCATTGAACAAAACGATGCTAGGTCAATAACAAGATTTTGATAGAACCTTATTAGGGCTGAGCCCATTTAGTCGACTGGTCGATTGTTTGGTCGATAGGCTGTTGATCGACCGATATTTTTTTAGTTGAGCAGTCGCATATATATATATTCATGGCACACGAGAAACCTGTCTGATTCACACCTCTAAGTGGACTAATCCATTGTGGAGGCCGTGGGGATGGTACACAAGTATCAGTAGTACATTTACTGGTAATTCCCATAATTTCTCATCTACAGTGTTTGTTTGGTTACGGTCATTTCTCTTAATGTATTCAATATATTAATATTATTACTGCACTCTTACTGTTCTCATTGTAGGAGTTGACACGTTGTTTGCAGAGCGCACAACCTAGACTACACTTGTGAAAAACAAGTTTTGGTTTATTTCAATCCATTTACAAGTTGTCAATTTATTCATTGTCTTTTGTTTGAAGCGCTCCTGTCAATCTTAAGTAAGGACACACACCTGATTATGCATAGAAGTAGGTCTAGGCTACCTGGCCTGTGCGCAAATGTAGGCCTATAAATGTGCCCATTTGGGGATCTGATACTATTTCTGATTGTCTTAAATCACCATCACTGTGGCACTTCTCAAAGTAATGTCTTTGCCTCAAACAAAATCTGTTTTTACATCCATTGAGAATGACAATAATTCCTCAACATAGCCCATTTGAAAAATCTTTCCAGTTCTCTCCCTTTCGATAACCACTCAGCATGAAAGGGGAAAGAATGTAATACTCAGATCCGGTGGAAACGTCATAAAATATTCCTTCCTGATTACTTCTTATCCCTTGCGCAAATAGCCTACAGCTGTGTCTTTCCAGGTGCTCACTGGTGCAGGAAACTGAGGGCCCAGAATATTTTACACAATGTTGCAAGTTCGCTAGCACCAGCTTCAGGCTGGACCAAGTTTCAAGTTCCTTGCAGACAGGCCATGCATAGCCAATGTGATTTATAGGATATTTATTTTTAAAATCAGGATATTTTCTACCTGCAATGTTTTAATTTTTTGGCTTTATGTAGGCTCTCTTTACATATTGGCAATGGCAATAGAAGTTACTTTTAGATTTGTATATTTTTCATTTAGATAGAATTTTGATTAACCACATGACATTGATTGAGATACGAATACTTTATTAGAAATTAAATGAAAAGGTTTAACGAAAATGTGCATATGAAAATCATAACTGGCACGGAGATCAGTAGAAATGGTAGATCAATTGGCACTCTAAATGGATAAGGTTGCTGATCGCTGGTGTAGCCTATTACCGGCAACTCCAGGAGCATAATGGCAGAATCTGAGAAGGCCAGCAGCAGTGGGCAGCGGGGGGACAAGAACAGGTTTTTTCTGGTCAAGCTATATTGATCTCTGGCTCCCTCAAGTAAATTGTGTGTCTTCATTTTTAATCACAGTGCTTAAAGCATCAGACAAGCTCAGTAACCTACATATAGTTGATTTTAGTAAAACATATGAGAAATTACTTACTCTTTTTTTTTTTACCAATCAATTGGTCGAAAGAACAGACGACTCTCGTTTGACCAATATTTTTTTTTGTCGGGGACAGCCTAAATCTGATAATCCCAAACTATCAAAATAGCCTACCAAAATGTTAGAAATGTGAATGTATCCAACCAGTTGCCGTGATACGTTTTTTGTTGTTGTGCACTCTCCTCAAACAATAGCATGGTATTTTGTCACTGTAATAGCTACTGTAAATTGGACAGAGCAGTTAGATTAACAAGAATGATTAACAAGAAAGAATGATTAACAAGAAAGTTTGATGTTACTTACAACAGTCATGCTAATCACAATAGTGCACGTTAGCTCAACCATTCCATAAACGGGACACCGATCCCGTAAAGGTTAATTAAGCAATTCACATCCCATCATGCTTAGGGTAATGTCTAAAAATGCTGGGTAGGCCATTATTTTGTCTACAGACAGGTTGGCTGACAACGTCATGAAAATGATATGAGCGCATCTATGTGTCTGGAAGGTGTGCGTTGTTATGATTCTGAACAGTCAGATAGCTAGCAACAATGACAAGAAGCTGCCATGTGGGGAATCGTAGGTGGTTTGTTTCAGCTAGTTGTATCTTGTTTTGACTGATGTCATGTCTATGCTAATATGGCACAAATTCACTAGCTATCTAACCAACAACTGTATTTGAGACACAGCAAGTTTTCATTGTGCAAATTTATTTGTTTTCAATAAACATTTGGAGACTAAATATAGTTTACACGTCAGTCTAAACCAACCCGGTCTGTTTTGCCCCATTGTTACGCACGAGTCGGTTTTGTTAACAATGCCCCCAGCCACAGGGAATGAGTCGTCACTGAATGGTTTGATGAGTATGAAAACTATGTAAACCAGGGCTGTCCAACCCTGTTCCTGGAGAGCTACAGTCCTGTAGGTTCACTCCAATCCTAATCTAGTCAACCTGATTCTAATAATTAGCTGGTTGATACGATGAATCAGGTTAGTTACAACTGGGGTTGGAGGGAAAACCTACAGGAGGGTAGCTCTCCAGGAACAGGGTTGGGGAGCCCTGATGTAAACGATATGCCATGGCTGTCTGTCACCAGATCTCAACCCAATTGCACACCTAGATTCTGGAGCGGCGCCTGAGACAGTGTTTTCCACGACCTTCAACAAAACACAAAATGATGGAATTTCGGTGTCGCATTCCTCCAATAGAGTTCAATAAACTTGTAGAATCTATGAAAAGATGCACTGACGCTGTTCTGGCTTGTGGTGGCCCAATGCCCTATTAAGACACTTTATGTTGGGGGTTTCCTTTATTTTGGCAGTTACATGTATCTGTGTGGATTCCACACTTACAACATTGAGCAGTTAATTTGATTTGATTAGAGTTTATTTTAGGGGAAGCTTTGACCCTGGGCTTCCTCAAAAAGGATCAGTTTATACACTAAAGGTTATGTGTCTTTGCCACTGTAGTGCTCGGCTAGACAGATTGGGCCTTGCTATATGGAATGGCGCAGTGCTAGCTGTGCCACTAGAGATCCTGGTTCGAATCCAGGCTCTGTCGTAGCCGGCCACGACCGGGAGACCCATGGGGCGGCGCACAATTGGCCCAGCGTCGTCCAGGGTAGGGGAGGGAATGGCCGGCAGGGATGTACCTCAGTTGGTAGAGCATGGCGTTTGCAACGCCAGGGTTGTGGGTTCGATTCCCACGGGGGGCCAGTACGAAAAAAAAATAGAAAAAAAAATGTATGCACTCACTAACTGTAAGTCGCTCTGGATAAGAGCGTCTGCTAAATGACTAAAATGTAAATGGAAAGGGAAAGGACGTAAGGCTTTTGTGGCAGAAACCCCCCCAAAACAAAGTGACTTTCAATCCATTCCCTGAACATGATTGTGTTACAGGAACTGGCCCTTTCTCTGTCCATGACTGACTTTATATACAAGCACCAATACCATACATATCCAATTTATTCTTGAGCGTCGAGCTAAAGGGCATGTTGGTGTAGTGTTGACAGTAGTCTGTGCGTCTCACCAGGGAGAAAAGGTCGTTCTGCAGGCCCAGACGGTCGACAGGCAGCAGGGTGAGGTCTCTGATACCAGGCAGCAGGCTCTCCAACATGGCTGAGCTGTACTGGATCCTGTAGAAGCCCACTGTTCCCGGGTTGATCTATAGGGGGGGAGGAGGACAGTTGAACAGCAGCCAAAGACTATAGCCTTGTTGCCAATCTGTTTTCTTCCACTCCTTTGTCGGTGTGTCACGCCAAACAATTTGCTGTTCCAAACTTGTTAGCTAAAGCATAAATAAATCTGCCTAACAAGCAAGTGTGGAAGAAAGCCCTTATATGCTTGAATGACCCACCCAACAAATTAACAAAATAGCCATAAAAAGTGCCGTTTAGCATTAAGGAAACAGGAAGAGATATTTTCTAACCTTTTGATAATCTCAGTACATGGATAATTGTCCGTTCTGAATGGCACACACATAAGTAGTTTCACTCTCCCCACCATAGCCATGTGCAGTGGTTCCCAACCTTTTTTGGTTACTGTACCACCAACTGAATATTGCTCTGCCCGGAGTACCCCTGAAGTACCCCCTCGTGCATTTTACCAGTAAGCCTATGGTCTAAATTAGTCTTCTCAAGTACCCCTTGTGGATATGGCCAAGTACCCCAACCAACCAACTGGGGAACCACTGGCCTTGTGGAGCTTCTTTAGCATTGCTAACTAGATAGTGGCTAGCCAGGTTATGATCCCGCTCAAGCAAGTGGTTATTTTTGATTGATTCTCAGTTTCCTGAACTTTCTATGACATCACTAATGATGTCCTTTCAGTGAACAGCAATTTCTATAGTCCATTCACAAATCCTGACCCTCTAGCCTCTCAGCGACCACTCTCAATAGCCATCTGTGTGACCTTTTGACCCCTTTCAAATACCTTCAAGGGTCATGGTTGGCTTAACCTCTCGTTGACCCCTTTGGTCAGGTGATTGGTTTACTGAACTCCCAATGATCTCCCACCCGTTAGTAAATACTAAACAGTCTCAGACTTAAAATGTCACTGCCCATTCCCAGACGTTTATATTCTCCAAGCAAGCAGACCTTCGTCAAGCATTTTTGTATCCATTACTCTTTTATTAGACAGATTTCTATTTCCCTAAACATACAGTCTACATACCACTCTGTATAAGGGTTATATATCTTGGAACTTCAACTTGGTTCATGCTTTTCAACCAAGCCCTGAGACCATGCATTTTAAGGTCTCAGGGCTTGGTTTTCAACTCAATTCTATATTAGACAGATGTAATAGGTAGAATTTGGTTGTCCTCACCTTGACCCACTGGTCAGGGCTGACGTTGTTGATCGTGATGGTGGTCTCTGGGCTGTCCAGCAGCACCTTGAGCTTGGTACAGCCGGGGTCCTCACCCGTACAGATACTGATGGGGACCATCCAGTTAGGGCAGTCCTCACCTGGGGGATGATTGACACAAGCAAGACCCAATGAGATGGAGCACAGTAGGGGGAGGATCTTGGTCTTCTTAAGCACATTCTCATGTAGCTAATAAGTGATAAGTAGTGAACCAGCGATTTGTACTTGGCTTTTTTGTGTTGAGTTATTGGAAAATATTATCTTACCATTATGTGGTCCACTGGCACAGAATTTCTTCTGAGATATCTTGAGGATGCGGTCATCCCCTTGCTAGAAAAATAAAATGTATTTGATTATTTAATACACAAACAGTTATATCCACAATAGAGAGATCTCTTCTCACAGGATATAAAACAGTACATTCATATTGTCCAAAGACAATTTCCATTGGGCTATTTACCTGCTCCTGGTCCACTACAATTATAGGGAAGCCCATCTGCTTAGTCCAGGAGCTCATCACCAGGGCAATGGGTTTCCCGCTAGCCTGTTCCAGACAATCCCATAGGTCCTCTGGGAAAGGTGGTGGTGGGGAGAGAGGTGGTCACCAACCAATTACAATGCTCAAATAATGATCTTGTTATAAATGGACCAGGCATGGGCCTGCCAGGGTCTCATTATAAATTCATGAGAAATTATAGGAGACTTGACTGGGTTACCTGTTGCTGCATTTTTATGTTGGAACTTCAACAAATAGGAATGCATTCCTTTCCTAAAATCCTAGAGATGGGAGAAACAAATTGGTTTACAAAGAAAGCCAGAAAATCAAGAAAAACGTCTGAGATGCAAATATACAAATAGTTAACAGAGACACTTGTTCACGCAATAGCCTTTTGCTCTAGTACTTCTAACTAGTATATGAAATAGAGCTTGACTAATTAGCGGACAATATGGCAGTGTGCCTGGGCAGCTCCTCCTCACCTCGTCTCCTATGTAGTTGTGCAGCATGCGGATCACAGACGCTCCTTTGCTGTAGGATATGGCATCAAAGATTTCATCCACCTCCGACGGGTGGCCCACATTCACCTGCAGTCCAGGGGATCAGTCAGTTCATGCTTTCAAACGCAGTACGAGGGTTGCTTTCATCTGATAGATACCTCACATCCATTCACATCCATTGAAAAACGGTGGTCCAGTACATACAGGATAAGGCACAAACGTGCCATTATCTAACTCATTTTAAAGCCAACACACACCTCGATGGGATGACTGTTGTCCAACGCGTCCAGGTCCAGGGCGCGGGTGTAATCGGCAGACACAAACTGTGTCCAGATGTCGTAGTCAGGGAAACAGTGGTCCACACAGAGGTATTCGATCCATGATGCAAAGCCCTCGTTAAGCCACAGATGGGTCCACCATTCCTACAAGGCATCATATTGACTAAAACTAATTCAGGACAACAATGTATACCCCAATGCAATTGAAGAATGTTGTTTATATAATTGAATTCAATGTAATCTTCAATGATGTAATATCTTCTTATGACCATGTCTTTCTGTCATTGACCAGCAGTGCTTTTTTGTTGCTACATAAGCAGTAAAGAGTGCAGTGGTTGTTTACCATGGTGACCAGGTTTCCGAACCACTGGTGGGCCAGCTCGTGTCCCACCACTAGGGCCACCCACTGCCGTGAGGACGAGCACGAGTTCTTCGGGTCAATCAGCAGCGCCGTCTCCCTGGGAAACGAGGTCAAACAGCAAGGTCAAGTCGAAGAAAACAAGCGCAAAAAAGCAATTCACTTCACACTCCCCCTAGTGGTAAATTAACACAAAAACATAAGTTGCATATAAAATCACATCAATTTCCCCCTAGACGTAATCAAATAATCTTTGTATGGAATAACATCATGATTGGCAGGCTAACTGTGCATCCTCTCATTAGTTGCAAACGTAGCAACGTTACTTTAGATTTACCTGTAGGTTACAAGGCCCCAGTTTTCCATGGCACCTGGAGGGGCAGCACCAAGCGTGTTAGATCTTGACTATATCATTCTTCTTTTTCATCACAATATAATAATTGATATACAGTCATTGACTTGTACTTACCAGCAGCAAAGTCAGCGATAGCTATTAGATCAATTTTAGGCAATGGGTAAGGAACATTGAAGTAGTCGTTGTAGAAAGGTAAGGTCTTTACTGCAACCTGTGAGAAAAGTGGAGAGAAAAAACGAGATATAGTTTAGATTTTACATTTGGTGCCAATATATAGTTGCTGCTAGCACAACAGTCATTCATCAACATGTACATCTATACCTTTCAACTCCTTTATTCTAGAGACAGCTCTCATAAACAGTCATAGTTATACATGACTAATGTTTAGTACTGGTCTAACCAGTATCCAAGTTAAAATAGGTAAAAAACAACTCACCTCTAGTGCAAATTTCCCTTGTTCCGCCTTTCCGGTAGGCGTGTAGACACGTACGGTCACGCCGTCCGACGATTGGCCTTCTACAAAGTCGTATTCGCCGATGACGAAAGCTACAAGGTACGTGGACATGATGGGGGTGGTGGCGAACTTCACTTCCAAAAGGCTGTCATCTTCTGGATATGGCTTTCGATCGATGACATTCTGTGTCGATGAGGACAAGGGCATATTAGTACGGACAGAAAATTTACTCAGAAAGTAATATCCGTGTCAGCAATGCTTTTTAAGAATGAGTTCATAGCCTTTAACAGTCCGCAGGGCAGACATCTTGGGGAAAAAAATACTAATTCAGTTGCCTTTTGAATGCCAGTAGACTTACCCTTGTAGCTAGATGGGGGGGGAAATGCAGTGACCCAACAAGACCATCTTATGTTACATAAACCAATGTTAGCAGAGCGCAAACAACAGAGTGGCGAAATGTGACTCAAGCTGTTTGGGGTCTGGCGTCTCCAGGGGGAAGAGTTAGAGTGTGACACGTACCATATTTGACAAGGCTACTCGGTCCTTGGGAACTATCAGAGAGATGTCAAAGGTGGCTTTGATAGCTGGCTCGTCCCAACAGGGGAAGGCCCGGCGAGCGTCCGTGGCCTGAGGAGAGAATAGAGGGGGGAAGACCATGGGAGGTTAGGCGAGAGAGCGGACAACACATGTTTCACAGCATGTTACGTCAGGCAAACATCCTGGAGGGTGTCAGAGGGTTGCTTTTTAAATAAAGCTACTCCAATGACCTCTAGTGAAAGTGGAAAATAAAAAACATGGGTGTATATAGCAGCTGGGCATGTCGTTTCCCCCCCCCCAAAAAAACTAAAGATAAGAGATGACAATGTTGCATTATCAAGAATCTCCAACAATGGTTGCTAAAACATTCAGCCTGTAGCCTGGGTGTGACAATCCTCAAACATTGTGGTCAAATTCCTTTTACACTATTGCAACATGGGTTAAGCAATCAACTCTGCTGCCGAGAGAAACTGTACTCATTATGGTAACAGAAGTGATGCAGGACAGGAAGAGCGTCTAGTTACTGTACCTCGAACTGCGTGACAGCAGCATAGCGGATTTCTCCTGCAGGAGTTGCATATTTACTTCTGTAGAAACCTTTCATTTTGTCATTCAGCTCCCCAACAAAGTCAATCTTCAACGTACCGGATCCTGGGAAACAGGTGCAAAAACCAACGTGTGTTTATTCAGCCTTTACTACAATAAGAGGTTTGTTTTTTTGTCAACTACAAACAAAAAGATATGGCATCATGTCAAACAAGAGGAAGAATAATGAATGGCAGAGAGTTAAGGTTTTATTATATAAACTTAAAAAGCCCTGTAGCCATTCTGGTTAATGTCCTTTGACTTACCTGTCTGTAGAGCACTAGGGAATGACAGAGTTACTTTCTCGTCCTCATTTTGATAGTTGAATCCTGTAGCGTTAATTTCTAAAGAGAAAGACAAAATGCAAGGCTGATATTCGCTGCCATAACATACCAATTAAAATAATATCCAAATGTGCCTAACAAGCCTGAAAAAGCAGGTCTAATCAGGTGAAAAATCCTTAGAATCATAAAAATATATAATTATGTCTATATTTAAGAGAAATGTGAAAAGACAATTTCAACAGAATCTCACCCTCACCTTCCCCTCCCTCTGGTACAAAGGATGCTGTGATGATGTCAATGTCAGCACAGTTCATCACAATCTGATTAGTGGCCAGGTTAACCTAGAAAAAAACGACAGAAACACAACTACTAAGTAAAATCGGGGATTAGTATTCCCCTGTATAAATCCCTGGGATGACATAAGAATGCCAAATGTTTTATTTGTGTAAAAAAATATATATATTTTGGCAGTCATTCTAGAGTCCCTCTACGATAATACTCCCTCGATATAATACCTGTAAACTAGGATTTGTTTGGTTTTTCTGCCATAAGCAAATCCACCATTAAGGGTAAATCTAATCTGAACTGTGTCAGATAGTGGTGATAGGGATCAAACAATTTATTGTAGGCCAAGCAGGCTAAACCTAGTGGTTCAGTATCACTGTGAAAATAATTGAGAGGGAGAGCGGAATGGGAGCGAAAGATGGTTTGGAGAGAGGGAAAGAAAGAGACAGTCTATAGGGCTTCTGACTATAACGCAATGTGATAGCGGCTCATGTGACAGTCCACCGTCCAACTTATTGAGGGCGGAACACAGTGGCACACTCAGATGCGGCTTTCTGAGAGAGTAGGCTAGTCCCATTTATTGACGGTTGGGTGCTGCCGTAGTTTATTTTGATACTCAAATAGAGAGCTGGGAGGTTGTAACCGAGAAGGCAGGGATGTAATTATAGAGCGCGCTAGGTGATTGCGCAGTGCCACATCGGTTATGTGTCTCGTAGGCTATTGTGCAGTTATCTGACAACTTTTAAATCATGGGCTGGCATTGTCATTAACTTGGCTAATGAAATCATAGAATATGCATGCAAATAACACATAGCCCATGTATTGCAGTTAAAATTGCCCTACTTGACAACTGTATTTGTCAGTTAAATGCAAAGAGTAGCCTAATCTTTTCATCTAGCCTCATTTCCTTGGCAAATGCTGTTTACCAACTACGTAAACAATGTGCCATCCCCCTATGGATAGGCTACCAAACATAGATCAGCGGCACATAGATAACCCATACAGTAATCTTTTAGATTTAGACAATGCTTGTACTAAAATAGTTTAGCCTGGTGTTTTAAGTGTCATTGAAACACAGCCAGTGTTATGTCCCCATGATAACTTGTGTTCCTAGCCTGTGTTCTGAGATGCAGATGTTGTATGCTAACATCTGAGGGCAATATATGCACCATATTTGGCACCAAATATGACACCCATTAGAAACTAAATCGAATGAAGCAAGTAAGTCTGTAATACACGTGGTGTATTATTAGGGATGGGCATTTGACATTTTTTGACTGTTCCAGTACCTGCATGATTTTCTTTCCAATATTCGAGTGGGGAGAAAAAAATCTATTTTTAGGCCGCACTGGGAAAATATATATGCCAACAGATCGCAACAATGCCTAATTGATCATAACCATTACAGATAACAAATCCTAATTGCCCCATACACACTGTGTACAAAACATTAAGAGCACCTTCCTAATATTGAGTTAACCCCCCCCTTTGCCCTCAGAACAGCCCCAATTTGTCAGGAAATGGACTCTACAAGGTGTCAAAAGTGTACCATAGGGATGCTGGCCCATGTTGACCCCAATGCTTCCCACAAACCGGTGCGCCTGGCACCTACTACTATACCCTGTTCAAAAGGCACTTAAATCTTTCTTGCCCATTCACCCTCTGAATGGCACACATACACAATCCATACCTCAATGGTCTCAAGGCTTAAAAATCCTTATTTAACCTGTCTCCTCCACTTCAGCTACACTGATTGAAGTGGATTTAACAAGTGACATCAATAATGGATCATAGCTTTCACCTGGATTCACCTGGTCAGTCTGTGTCATGGAAAGAGCAGGCGTCCTTAATGTTTTGTACACTCAGTGTATATATATATTCAGTCAATAAAAAATAAAGTGCCATTTAAGATTAATTTACTGAAACGTAATATCAACTGGTTATATTATATTGTGGAACACAATCCTTAAAAAGGCAGTAACCTGTGAGAGATTTATTATTTTTATAATTGATGGGATGACTAACTTAGAAAGAATGCATTCTTGACTGGGCTAGTGTAGGTTGTGTCACTTGGCAGGCTGTGATTGATGTGAAGAGCTGTTTTGGGGGGTAAGATGAGATAGGGATTTGTGTCTCCAGATACTGGAATATACTGGTTCTTTGTGATCTGTGAACCTTCCTTGGACGTAGGAATGGTGTCTAAGGGAGCTGCTCTTCTCACTATGGCCTGGTAACAGAAGAGGCGGGGAACAGCCGGTGCGCCAACGGATAGGCTGAGTAAGTCTAAACCACGCTCAAGTCTCTGCTCTGATTGGCCAGCAGAGAGGTGGGAAACTCTCTGTCAGAGTATTTGAGCAAGAACCTAGAACAATGGATTAGTTCTCTGAAGTGCCCTGCGAGGTATTTCAAAGAGCCCGTATATACGAAACATCATATTTACCATTGAAGGTTTTTGCATTAATTAAAATAACTAGTATATCTTAGAAGTCGTGTTGACCTCTTTTGTTCCTAATACCAGATTTGAATTGACGCAACTTTGACAAACCTCAGCAGTGGCACTTGCTTGTAGAAGCCTATGGCTGTGCAATGGCATAGCCTTGTGCAATGGCATATTTTCAGTGTGGAACCTGTCTATGTTTAGGGGGGTAACAAACCCTTAAGAGACACCATGGAAAAATATTTAACAGGGATGAAAGAATGGCGGAAAGCGGAGATAATGAGACAAACGTAAGTCTCCCGAAAGCTAAGACGAGGAAATATGATGAAGCGTATGTAGCGCTTGGCTTCACTGTGACTACGGTGGGAGACGAGGAAAGACCGGTATGTTTACTGTGTCTAAAAATGTTGGCAGCGGACAGCATGAAGCCAAATAAATTAAGGCGTCACTTAAAGACATTACACCCCAATCAACAGACCACTAAAAACAAGAGTCTTCTCTGCTATCTGTGAGGAGATGGGAGCTGAACATCAAGCTGTGCTGTTTCACAGTGAAGCAAGGTGGCTGTCACGAGGAAAAGTATTGTCCCGAGTTTTTGAGCTCAGAGAGCAGATAAGAATGTTTTCGGAGCAGGAGCACAAGTATGACCTCGCAGAAAAATGTAGTGATGAGAACTTCCTGGCAAAACTGGCCTACCTGAGTGACATATTTGGAAAGCTAAATTAACTAAATCTACAGCTTCAAGGGAAAGATAAACACCTCCCTCAGGTCACAGACAAGATCAGCTCTTTCACTCGAAAGCTTGCAATGTGGGGCAGGCGACTTGATGAAGGAAATACTGATTCATTCGAGAACCTGCATGAATTTGTTGACACTACTGACTCTGATGCCACCTCAGTGATTCCATATATTAAGGAGCATATTCATCACTGGGATTCTTTAAAGTACTTCCCTGAAACAGTTCCCAATGACTGGGTGAGAGATCCTTCAAGCACCAGCTCAACTGGTTTCTGCTCTGCAGAGGAGGACAAGTTCATTGATATGACGTCTGACTCCACATTGAGACTGTGGTTCACATCACAGACACTGAGTGTAGAGAGGCAGTATCCACTCTTAGGGCAGAGGGCCATGGGCATTCTTCTTCCTTTTGCAACATCTTATCTTTGTGAGACTGGCTTCTCTGCTGTTGCTGCACTGATGACCAAGTACAGGTCCCAGCTAAACATTGAGCAGGAGCTGAGAGTTGCAGTATCATGCTTCAAACCCTGCTTCAAAAAGCTGTGCACTGCAAAACGTGCTCATTGTAGCCATTAATCCTGACTTCCTCATTTAGATTTTTTTTTTAAATCAGCACATTGTTTTATTCATTTTTGTTTTATAGGTCAAAGTGTTTCATATATTGTGCTCCTGAGTTCATGTTGCTGATCAATTTGAATGTATGATTATTTATTCATTATATATTTTATTTTTCAGTATCAAATGGTCAAAAAATGTTTACAGTTTAAATAAGTTTTGAAATTTGTTTTTTTTCAGGCAAATTGATGCACTTTAAGTATTTTCTGTTACAGACTAAAACATTTTTTTAATAAAGTTATTCTTTGTTGTAAGTTGATCTATATTTCTTTCTTTTTTCTTTTTTAAAATGTTAATAAGGATACAATGTTATGCAGAGGTGTACTTATAACAATTTTATAGACAAATGATACTATTTCCTAGGCTAACCAATTCTAAATGGCACTAGCAGTTCGCAAAGTAGCTTAAGCAGAAAATAGGCTGGACACAATTATTCCAAAACGGCTGCTCGTTGTCGGAACACATTTTCCTACTTCAACCAGTCCATTTATAATTTGCGATAGAACTGTCATCATTTGGCAAGGAATGTAGTTTGTGTATCGCATCAGTTAAATGCCTATAAAAACGTAGCTCTTTCTGTAGGCCTAACGGGAGCTTGTGATGCGCACTCTGCACGCCTGTGTGTAGGGAGCGGTCAGAACGCAATTGAGTGAATGAGACATGGACGGGAAAGGGAATTTCGGGAGAAAAACTGATGTTTGGCTTGGTTTCTTTTTTGTTGTGCCCCGCAAATGCAAATGTAAAAAATTGAACATTAGAGTCATAGCAAGTTACAACATGTAACATGCCTGTTCGAGCAGCCACAAAGCACACACCAAATAGTTTTACAGTATTTGGGGGAAAATAAAAGTAATCTCTGGTTAAAGATCGAGCTTTGACGTCCGTTTGAGTACTCATGCCCATCCCTATGTAGTATTTGGTTTACAACATCAACATACCAACAGGCAATGGGAAGTATGCAAGGTGGTACAACCACTTTTCCAATCACTGACATTAGGAAACATATAGCTAAATTCAACTACATTTGTGTAAGTGTCGTGCATTATCATCAAACAAGATCAGTTCTGAATGTTATACAAATACATGTGAATAGTCAGTTCTTGTTGAGTGCATTACGGGTGTTGTGAATGTCTAGTGTTTTGTCATTTCATGGTCTGCTAGCAACACACTTGTAAAATAGGTTAACAGAGGCGGAAGCTGGGAGGTCTTCTCTAGGAAGACATTTGCTAGCTATGATTTAGCAAACATTAGCTCAGTTAGCATGCGCGCTAGTGCTACCTTGCTAACTGTAGAGTGCGCTGGCAGGCAACTAACGTTAGCATTTAAACTAAATCCACATATTTGCATTGACCATAATATGCATGAATTTCAAGTGATAAGTATGTAGTAGTGACTCTACTAGCCAGTGAACGATTTGCAAAACATGACAGCGAGCTAACGTTAATGTGCCTAGCTATCTAACTAACTAGCATTAGCAGTTAACTAGCTAATGACAATTCAACTAGCTAGCTAGTTAGCTACTCGGGTACAGAACCATTCAGGCCAGTTAAGGTGTTAATACAAATATATTATTTTCTACATTAAATACATATATATTCTCAACCTAGCTAAAGTTAGCTAGGCTAGCTGTTTGCCACTACTGTACTATAATGTGCTAGTAGCTAACGTTAGATAGGGGTTAGCTAGCTGGCAAGTTAGCTGGCTAACGTTAGACGACTAGCTAGTTAGCATTTTTGCCGTTAGCCATTCGAACGTTGTAATAGGCTAGATAGATTACATAACGGAGTCCCCGCCATGCACCAAGTACGATACAAATTATTGTTCAATTACTTCACCTACCTCCACAATCGCCTCTAGCTTGCCATTGAAAGTAAAGTCGATGAGGTCGGGCTTCAAGCACAACCCGTAGTTGACGGGGTAGACGTCAGTGGGCAACCTTACGAAGGGCCTCCTTTCAGGCATGGTGTCTGTATTTTGTCTGGTAGCGCTTGCGAAGACGATGCTGCTGTGTATTAATCCGAATTTGATAGTTCTGAAGTTGTGCAAGATGGGCTTCGAGAACAAAACTGGATCGTGGGTAATGACTCGTTTTACGAATGACAGCGAAACCCGACGGCCGAGAACCAGCAACATAAAATCCTTAGCTAGAAATGTTGCCAGCTAGGGTCCTCCCCTCTCACTTCAAATATGCCGAAACAACGTGTGTAGGAGCGCAGTACGACGAGCAAATAGCGTCATCGCGTTGAAGCGGAGGAACACTGGAACAAGGGGGTCAATATTATTTGTTTTTAATTAGTTTGTTGGTTCAATAAGGTTTGCCAATTGCAGTGCACCTGTTTCCCCCAAAATATAGCTATATGTTATGTACAATATTTGACATAAATCAACATTTACAATTACATGCTTTCTGTTTGTGGCATTCCTTATTAGTAGTAGTAGATAGTAGCAGAAATAACAACAATGCATGAAGTCATCTGCACTCTGAAAATAAGTAAGAATTTGCATCAACAACACAGGTTGTTTACCTTTTTATGTTGAGAAAGTTTGTATGGTTGTCTATGTTGTTGCCTAATAGTGAGTGTGTGTAAATCACTTATGGAAACCAGTAGTCAGAGGGCTTAGCTACTCACATGACTCATGTAGGTCATTGCAGACACCTCTCTATCAACTATATTTTGTTTGCTTAAGAATCCTCCTGCCAAGAAGATGTGCACAGCCACTGCAGGTGCTCGAAGTAGCCGTTGCTCGTCTTCAGATCATGTCATGAAAAAGCAACCAATGTAAGAGGCAATTCCCCCATCTAAACCCATGTAACTCTTTATTATATGTGTCCAACAGCTAAGTAACTGGCGCTGTAGCCTGCATCCATAAGAGCCTATTTATGCTTGATCCAAAAATGGAGGCGTATGGATGGTGTGATGCAATTGCGAAGCCTCCAGAGTCACGCAGAGGCCAAATTGAGCTCCGTCCTGCATCGCTGTGCACCTCAAACTTTGTAACAATGAGGAGGGCTCCATATAGCTCCGCATTGACTTCTTTCACAACAGCTCTGTGATGCTTGGGGAAGCGCAAAAAGTATGAATGACCTGACTTCTGCACTGCAGAGGCCATATCAAAGGCTCTGCATGGTCATTCTGAAGTCTGCATTGGCAGTGCAGCACTTATGGTCAGCATTTACGGCCTCTGCAGAAGTCAGGGCATTCATACTTCTTGCGCTTTGCGGAGCGCAGAGCTGTTGTGAAGGAAGTTGTCAAGGAAGTGAGTTTGTGTTCATACAGGACCTCCCGCCCTCACCTACCGTCAACCAATCATGTCAATGCAGAGCCCTCTGCATTGTTACAAAATTTGAGAGGTGCAAGCTCAATTTGGGCTCTGCGTGCCCCCGTAGTTGCGTCACACCATCCATATGGCGCCTCCGACCACATTTTCGGATCAAGCATAAATTGGCTCTCACCATAAATGCTGCATGGTCAATGCAGACGTTGGAATGACCATGCTGCACAGAGTCAAACATTGGGCCACACCTTGTAGATACATCTTTGATTTTTTGTCTTCTGATCTATCAATATTTGACCTATAAACCAACAATAACTGAAAGCAGATTTTCATTATTTAAAAAAAAACTAAACAAGTAATCGTTTATTCTAAAATGCTGAGCAAGGTGGAATAGCCAAAGTGACCCCCAAAACGTTTCAATAAGAATTCGTAACAATGCGCAGCACAGTGCAGATATATTGTTCTTGAACACACCCCAAACTGAGTGTTATAGCAAATATGGCGATGTCCATGAGGAGGGCATTACTGCCTCTGCATCGAATGAGATGCAGCAATTTGAAGGTATTATTTGAGAGAATATTGATTGCTATAGCTATAATTTACACATAATTCATTGAAATGTTGACTGCCCTGCTCCAGAAAACACCACCGAAAAAAGCTGTAGGTTTATAGTCAGCAGTAGCTAGCCTAGCTAGCTGGCTAGCTAGCTAACCTAGCTTAACCCAGCAAGCAGATCTTTTTGGAAGGCAACTCTTGCTAAAACAGTCAATTTGTCAACTGACGAAGTTTTAAACCAGTTTAGCTATCTAGCTAGTCTATACTCATTAATCAATGACCGTAGCCTACCTAAAATACATTAAACTTAATAAGATCTCATAATTGCATTTTATGACACTGTTTTCTACAGTCTCTTTGACTAGCATCATCAGTTTTTTGTATTTATTTCCAAAACCAAGTTGTTTGTTCAACTAAATGCATAAACGACAATTTTCTCAAATGTACCATCATATTACTATATTAACCATACAATAATAACCAATTGATAATGATGTTCAATTCTCTTATCTCCATGATTGCAAACCATATGAACAAATTGTGCTATAACCATTGCATATACTGGTACTCCATGATTTCTTATCTAATCCACCAGCTTTTCCCTCATGCAGAATGCAGAGGCTTCACTGGAGGTACGGTATCCCCTGCCCTTTGTTGTCCCGGTAAGGACCAAGAAGCGCTACTTCATTCCCCCTGCAGTGGGGTTAAAAGGGAAGGCAGCAGCGTCGGCAGACCAGGAGGCCAAAGCCAGAGCGGCAGGTGTTGTCCTGAGGCAGGAGTACATGGAGAGAGCCATCAACATCGCCTGCACTGGTACAGACCTGTTTATGTGCATTAATACAGGTTTCAAAATGTCAGACAGTCTGACACTACTGTTGATGACTGCATATCAGCAGTAGTGTAAGACTGGCAGCCATTTTGAGAACATATGTTCTAGACTTGTTCTCAAAGCGAGCTAGACCAGTACAGTATCAGCATATAAATTATGGTCATCTTCAAGTTCAAACCTTGAGTTTGTTGTACACAGAATCAAAGTTAGGCGGGTTGCCACTGTTACAGTGAAGCTTATAGTATACATAGTCACAATAACCAATATCTCTCTCCTTTCCCCTACCACAGCGGGAGTGTTTGACCCCTATATCCCCCCAGAAGGTGATGCTCGTCTCTCCAGTCTGTCCAAAGAGGGTCTGAAACAGCGCACAGAGCAGATCAAACAGGGTGCTGCCTCCCAGCTAGCGTAAGACTGTCTTCCTGTGTTACACTCTAACATTGACCCCCGCCCCATTGTTTATCTTTTTGTAGGATATTGAGGGATCGTTCCTTATCTTTCACACACACTCAAATACTCCCAGCTAGCAAAGACTGTCTGTCATGTACTCCTTAGATATTCTTACTCTCAATTAGTATTAGACTTAGACTGAGTACCTATGTGTAACTTATATTGCAAGAACGCCTTTGGCATTGAAACAAACCCGGTCACACTTTAAACGAACTTAGAAAGGCTTTATAGTACATTCATGAAGGCCTTATAAAGGGTCTATGAAGGCTTAAAAGTTGTGGTTCATTTAAAGTGGGAACACAAACCTCATCTCCCCTGCAGGATACGCAAGATCAAAGACCATGACGCTGAGTTCACCACAAAGGCATTCCCAGTGAAGGCTCAGGAGATCTTCATTGAAGCTCACAATGCTCTCACACAGTAAGAGATACACTCACTCTCATATGACCCATGTAAACTTCTCCCTATCCTGCTTACACTCTTGGCTACCAGGCAAAGATGATCTGTGAAAGGGGTGGGTGGTGTCCCCAGTTATTCCAGTGAGGCATTTCTAATGGAAGTGAGATAGTGACTCACTGTGGTCATGATGGATATATTGCTTTCACTGATATAGCTTGCTGTTAAAGTCTGTTTAGGCTAATCTTGTTTGTCAATCTGAACTACCTGATTTGGTCTGGTCATTAAGAAAATGCAGCGGCCATGACTGAATGCAAACAAGAGTTGTCTTGGGGGGGGGGGGGGTTAATGTGGGTGTCTCGTGTGTGTGTGTTCGCACATGGCAAGCGTTTGTACATTCACTCTGCCAAAACAGTACACAGTTAGTCACTCAGCCTTCTAATCAACTTGAAACAGTCTAACCAGGTCTTTTCTTGAAGTCGCCTAGGCTAGCTAGTGCTAGCCAACTTCTTTCTCCAATTAGCTTCAGCCTGCTGGGTGTGTGACCGTGGTGAAGTTGGTTTGACATTGGATAGCCCATCTCTGGGGCTAGTTAGGGTCCGTCAATAAATTACACAATGTAAATGGAACAATATTTTCATATTGTGCATCTTTTAGTTGTCTCATTAAATGCTTTAAATATTTCTATATCAATTTCTACAATTGATAGTTTGTTTTGAGGTTTTTAAGTAATTGAAATAAGGAGCTATTGACATTTTAAAATATTGTCCCATGTACATTGTGTATTTTACCGATGGTCCCTAACTAGCCCCATAGGTATATCGAATGTCAAACCAAATTGACCATGGGCATTACAATCTGGTTGTGCAGCTGCGCTCCGAATTGATGATTACTTGGGTGCTGCCAGCTTTGGGCATGTGGCCAGGATTGAAATAAACACAACCCTAGGAAAACTGTTACGGTACCCTTCATTCCATGACATACCATTTTTTCCCCTATCATCTTGCAAATCTCAGTTTTGGATGAGACTGACTTTATTACCAAAATTATCCTATTTACACTTTATAGTACATTTTGACACCAGAATAAATGTTTCTGGCTCATCGATGCCACATAGGCCGCTATCAAAATGAGAAGTTGGTGTTTAGGGGCAGTCGCTCTTTAAGCGTATCACCCTTCTTCTGTCTGTGTGTTTCAGGTTTAACAAGGAGAAACTTCACTCCCTTGTGACAGAAAGATGTTACCCTGTAAGTTCTCCCTCCTTCAGGCAGTTATTGTCACCATCACTAGGACACTTGCTTTAACTGTTACTGTTTATACAATACACAGGCTATTTATTTCAGCATGTATATTTATCTTCAGTTCTATTTGCACTGATACAATCCCAGTGTTATCATGATGTCATGAAAATTGCTGCTGCTGCAAATAGTGTGTGTGTGGTTGCACTTTAGGGTTGGGCGGTATCCAGATTGTCATACTGTCATGTCATACCTTTTCTGTGCCATACTGGTGTATGCGGTATTACCAGAAGTGCACACAAGGGGCGCTGTTTTTAAACGCTCAAAACAATTTAGAAACCGGGCTCTTGATCCAGTAGGGGATTGAATGTCTCTGCTGTAACCAAGAAGCTTGATCTTGATGACATCTAGCCAGTTAGCAAACCAAATGCATAGCTGGAGCCCTGAGTTGGTATAATTTATTTGACACATCTTAGATTTCTTATAGTTATACTTAACTTACAGTTATAAGCAGTGGGGTAGCACGGAGACCACGTGAGTTAGGGTGCCCCCAACGGTATATCACCCAAGCCTATTGCACTTCATTTTACGGTACAGAAATAACCAAATATTTTCCTAAGAAATAGTATGATAAAACGTTAATTACACTTATAACCTATGTTATAACCTAGAAGTTACTTGTTGTGTTTGTCTTTAGGATGCTCTTTTAGCTTAGATGACATTAGCTCACTGTCTGTCCATCCTGTGCAGGAGATGGTTAGGGGGAACCGCTACAAGACACTGCGGTGGCATTTCGTGGAGTCCCTGGAGCCGCCCAAGGTGGTGCATGCCCGCTGCCCAGACATGGTCAGCAAAGGCAACATGTATGGGCAGGTTACGGTGCGCATGCACTCCAGACAGGTGAGACGGACAGTCTCAAACACACAGTCTGTCACTCTGAAAAGGGTTGTCATCATTTTGGAATACTGTCATGATAAACCACACAGGTTGGGTACTATGGAATCCCACATTTTGAAATGTTAAAAGGAGACAATGGTGCTTTGCTTAGCTTTAACTATAAGGGTCAGCATTTATTTATAGACTGAAACATTCACATTGCAATAGCATTAGCATAGTAGTAATGAGTGAACCAATTAGTAATGGACCAATTAGTAATGAGTGAACCAATTCTCTCTTAACTCACTCATTCTCTTTTCTCCTTTCCCCCTACCTTCTCCTGCCCCCTGAATCTGTCCCACTCTTATGGCTGAACGTAACCACCCTAATGGCTACATCATCGTTTCACCATAATCATCAATAAGGGTTGTCTTACCTTGTTGCGTTACCTGAATTAACATAATTCCTAAATTGTTAACTCGTGCCTGTTCTGGTGGTTAGACCCTGGCTGTCTACGACCGCTTCGGCAGACTGATGATGGGGAGCGAAGAGGAGCCCAGGGATGTGCTGGAGTACCTGGTTCTGGAGAGGCACCTCATCAACCCATACGGCATGTGGAGGTTACATGGCAAGATAGTACCAGCCTGGGCCCCAGTCAAGGAACCCGTCGTCAAGGTGACCTTTCATAGGAGTCTATAGCAAGTTTTCTGATTAAAGGGGCACTTCACAAATTAATGAGGTTAAAAAGTGGTGATGTGCCCCTTTAACTCTGTTTACCAAAAGGGTTGATTAGAAAGTTATTAGATGACTTAATGAAATTCCTGAATACATTTTCTGTTCATTATTGGAATGGACTTTAATGATTTGTAATGTACTGCAACTCTGTTTACCATATGTGTTTTGTCTCGGACAGTTTTAGAACTGGCCTTAGATTTCCTCATTCAGTGTTCTCAGTAACTTGTATGGTACTTAAAAGCTAATATGAGCGCCCATTTGTCTGTGGTTTTAATTTCTGCTTACTGGCTTTATTTCCTCTGTTTCAGACCGTTATGATCCCTGGCCCGGACCTCAAGCCAGGCGAGGAATTTGAGGAGCTCAACTATGAAGTGCCCAAGCCTAAGGCTGTGCAGTGGCACAAATAGACCACAGGTGGGAGCTGCAATTCTGGGCCATCACATACAGACTCAAAATCAAATGTTAAAATGAACATTCTAGTTTTTTAAAGAAAACATAATGAAGCTACATTTAGTTTTCTGCCTTTTTTATGTAAAAATACACTGTTGTTCGTCACACCTTACACGTGTATATCTAAAACACTTAAAATAATCCATATTGTCCAGATCTGTAGAGATTGTATGGTTTATTTCAATGGTGAATATATTACATGTTAATTTAAAGAATACAAAAATAAAATGTCCCATCTCTTTTTTCATACCTTTTTGATTTCAGTGAATGTACATTTATATCAGAATAATCTGTACTTTTCATAGGCAATACATACAAAAATAACTGAAATCTCAACCGAAATAATTTAACATACATACAAAAAGGATGCATTGTGTAATGATGATATTTGATTCTACTTAACAAAAAGACATAGCACACCCATTCAAAAAACACATTACATGCATCAAAAAACATTTACAAAACTAAGTTGGTCCATTGCGAATAACATGAGGCAGCGCATGAAGATGATATCACCACCACACAAACTTTAATTGTCACTGAATGAGGAGATGTGGCAAATTTGGATGGATTACATTTGGTAAATAAAGCATGGAAATGGTGAATAAAGCAATCACAAGGGCCATATGTACAGTTTTAGGAGGACTATACTGAGGTGCAGTTATTTTAGGGCAACTGTTTCCAAATTGAGTTGTTGCTTAAAAAAAAAAAGTTGAAAAAGGTTCGGTTTTGCATCCTCCTCAAAGTGTAGGTATACCTTTTTAAATATATTAATTAATTAATTCTGCTAATAAAATTGGTATTATCAGTATTGTAAATTATTCAAAAGAACAGATTATAGCTAGTTCTTCACAAGTCAGTATTGAATTAGTACGATTTAAGTTCTCTGTTAAAGTTAGATGTATTATATTATTAATAATAGCACTGTGTCTGTGGGGACATGATTATGTTGTTCATCTACATTACTGACATTACATTTTATATCCTTGTAGCCACGACTGTGTAATTGACACAATTGACTTTGAAAAAACACACATTAATATTACAGCTGGAAAGCTGTCCTTAAATTGTATGGAATGTGTTTATAGCAGGCAACACAAGGACATGCATCACCACTATTATAATCAGTGATTTCCAAAATCCTGGCTGTGCTTACAAGTTAACCTGAAGGAACACTGGTCTAGTGTAGATTATTTCCCTGTGTGTCTATAAGGAGTTATCACCAGCTTCATAAAGCTCAGGCTGTTATTTTTGAAACACATTGTCAACCTTTTACAGTCATGGCAATCGGGTTTTAACTGTGTGATACAGAAGAGCACATTGTCACTTATAAACACACAAAGACACAGAAAACAATATACATCTCTAAAAGGGGTCAAAGTGGGAAGAAGAAGAGCGACTGCATCCAGACGCTTTCTCTGATTGAGAACCTGGGGGGGTAAATGTACCTCTGGTGGACAGAGCCGTTGCAGATCCTGGCCCAGGGGCATATTGCTTGTGTAGCAGTGTCTGTTGGGGAGTGTTATGGATGGACAGTCCAGGGGCCTTTGCTACATTCAGGTTTGCAGAGATCATGTCCGATTCATTACCCCCCTGCTATGGGACAGCTTTGCACAGTGACCCAGACAGTGAATCATGTGCAACAACCCACTGAGACCATTCTTGTTCTAGCCAGTAACTGACAGGCCTGGCGTTTACAAGTCGGATGGGAAGACGAAGGCTTCTGCAGCACTCTCGGCATCGTCTTCCTCCTCTTCCTCTTGGAATGTTTTCAGGCTCCCATGTAAAAACGTCAGAGTTATTGTCGTGTTCTGTGATGGATGAGGGGGAGGCGGGTGGTTTGGTTCCCTTCCATCTCCCAAGGGCACATAGCATCACGCCGAGCCAGGGGCATGTTAGCTTTGGCCGCCTCTGCCGCCTGCGTGCTGCCGGCTGCAGGTTCTTCAGCGTCACCCTCTTCCATAGAGAGTGCACCCTGGGTCTCTGTGACGTCCTCTCTGCCACTGGCAAGGATAGTTTCCTCTTTCTCTGCAGACTTTTCTGGTTCATCAGTTTCCCATGGGCAAATGTCTGCTCGAACACTTTCTTGCTTTTTTATCTTCTCTGGTTCTATAGGATCCCTGGTCTCCCATGGACAAATGTCTGCCTTGGTGCTGTCCTGCCTTTTAGTCTTTTCTGACTTTTCAGCTGGACCAGTTTCCCATACACAAACATCTGCCTGAACACTGTCTTGCTTTTTCATCTTTTCTGGTTCTTTGGGGGCATCAGTTTCCCAAGGACAAATATTAACTTGAACACTGTCTCGTCTTTTCTCTTTATGTGTTTCCTTGGAGATATCTGCTTTAGTACTGTCTTGTCGATTTGTCTTGTCAGTCTCTCCAGTTTCCCAAGGACAAACATCATCTTTCTCCTCTGTCTTTTTTGGCTCCTCAGTTTCCCATGGACAAACGTCTGGTCGAGTGCCATCTCGTCTTTTTGTCTTGTCTGGCTCATCAGTTGCCCCAGCTTCCCAAGGACAAACATCTTCCAGAACACTGTCTTGTCTTTTAGTCTTTCCTGTTTCTATGGAGACAATAGGCAGAGTGATGTCTTGCTGCTCTGTATTTTCTGGTTTCTCAGTCTCCCAAGGACAAATATTTACTTGAACGCTGTCAGTCTTTTTTGGATCAGCTTGAGTGCTGCCTTGACAAACATTTGTACAAGGGCCGTCTTTTCCTTCTGTCTTTTCTTGGTCTCCAATGTCCCATGGACAAATGTCTGTTTTTGCGACTGTGGTCTCCTGGGAAAATGATCCTTTGGTGATATTTATGGTTATGGGTGGTGTTGGACTCTCCTCCTCTTCCCAAGGACAAAGTACTGTCAAGTCTTTCGGTGGGTCAGGGAATTCCCATGGACATGCTTTCGCTAAGGGGACACTTAGTTTTTCAGGGGCAGATTTAGCTTGCTCTGTGCTTTTTGTTTGTACATCTTGTTTCCCAATGCTTGGCGTGTCCATTGATTCCCAAGGACAGACATTCTCCCGTACACCGTCTTGGGATGTTGGGGTTTCTTCAGATTCCCATGGACAGACTTTGGCATGTATTGTCTCCTGACGTTTTGCTGGCGCCTTACGCAATCCCTTGTCCTCCTGTGGATTAACATTTTCATAAATAATCGCTACCTTTACTTTTTCAGGGAAGGAATCCCCCACATCCCAAGGGCAGACATCAACCCGTACACTCTCTTGGGGTTTCAGGCCGTGAGAAGTCTGTGGGGTTTCATCGGTTTCCCAAGGACATACATCTGTTGGTTTCTTGTTTCGACCCTCTGGTTTCTTCTCAGACTGGTTGGACGCTGAGGTAATTGGGTTGGCAGAAACATCAGCTTCCCAAGGGCATACATCTCCCCGGACACTCTCCTTTCTTTTCATTACTTCTTCCAATACTTCTTCTGATTCCCAAGGACATACACTGACACATGCAGGCGCCTTTGGATCCTCCTCTGGTTCCTCCACCTCCCATGGGCAGATGTCTGCTATGGTGCTCTGTTGTCTCTGTGGGGCCTGCATGGAGGAAGCAGGAACATCCCTTGGGCAAATATCTGATTGGTCAACACTCAAAGCAGGCCTAATTTGGCTACCTCTTCTGTGAGTGGAAGGAGTCTTAGCTGTGTTATGTGCACTGTTTTCCCTTGAGATGAACACATTTTCATACATACTGTCCTTTTGCATGTCCTCTGAGTCCCAGGGATAGACAGTGGACTGTACAACCACTATTCTCCTAGGACTTCTTTCAGAGGAATCACTTGAGGACACCCTGATTGCAGCCTGTTTCACGAGGGCAGGTTTCACACCTACTGTTGTCATACTTCTTTTCTGCTGTGTCCTCTTGTCTACGCTTGAAACACTATATTTCTTCTCCAAATTTGAAACACTTGGTGATTTCGTTTTTGCGCTTGAAATGCTTGGAGTTTTTAATTTTAATGCTGCGACGACAGCGATGGCGGCTACACTCCCCTGGCTTTTTTGTGAAATTGAGTCCTGTTTCTTTACCGTATCTGCTGCTGTCTCCTTTTTGGCTTTTTCCTTGATGCTTGCATCCACAGATCCTACAAAAGATTTCACAGAGAGCCATTTCTGGGTGGAAGTGCGGAAGGAGAAGGCCCGCATGTCCTTTGCGGCCTTTATGGACCCAGGTACACTAGCGGAGATGGGAGCCTGGGGTCTCAGGGACTCGCATTCTGCCTCTCCCCCTTGTGAATCCCCAGCAGGACTTTCTGCTGGGGTAGGAACTGGTATATGGTCCCAGGGGCAAATATGTTTCAGTATTGGTGATAATAAACTCTCTGGACTCTGTGGTTCTTCCTCAGAGGGAGCAAAGGTAACGTGTGGCTGGTTCTTGTTGGCAGGGCGTTCCTCCTCCAGCTCCCAGGGACACACTTCGGCCTTGTCATAGGACTGGGATTGCACAAGGGCACTTGAGGTCTGATCCTTGATAGCAACATCCTGTTGGGACTGCCCTTGCTCGCCTGGGGTATCTCTGCCTACCCGGGAGGTGTCTTCCAGACTGTGGGCTTTACTGGACGCTAAACTCAGTGACTTGTGTAGCTTGGTAGGTCCAGGAAGCAGGAGATTGTTATTGACTGTAAGGTTTTGGGCACTGGCCGACTTACAGACCAATGGTGCGATATACAGCGAGTCTGTCTCAGAGCGCTGTGAGCACCTCTTAGCTAGATTCGCCCTTAACATGGAGTCGTGCAAGGAGGGGTCCTTATCTGTTACATAGTCATAGTCACTTTGAGATTTACGCAGCACTGGTGAAGGCTGCTTTACTGGTTCATCTTTGTAATTTACGTTAAAAGTATCTGGCGCTCTCTTACAGGACTCAGAGTGCGTAACATCCCTGCTGCCCAGGTTGACCTCTTTGCCCTCACGGCTGCACTGTCGGCTCATGGACTCTGGGATCTCAGTGATACGCTTTATGAAGGACCGGCCCAGCCCGCGCCGAGAGCTGCGCTTCTTCTGCAGGTGGGGGTTGTTTGCTGTCATCTTCTTGGTCTTGTGGACCTCCAATTGACCATACAATTTCTTCAGCTCTTCCTGGTGCAGGTAAAAAGGAAGAGAGAAGGAAGGATAAAGGGAATTAGGGAGGGTATTGGTATGTGAGCAGAGGAAAAACCACAGGGAACAGTTAGTTGGGGAAGAGTTATTGTTAAGGACAAGGAGAGCAAGTTTAGGGAGAAGAGAACGGTCAGGCGGAGGAGAAAACACAGGTCAGGTCTATGCCAGGCCACATATTGTGAAATACACACAGGGTTTTTTATGTCTACGTTTTATAATGAAAATTAGAGTTGGTTTTAAATTAGTTTAAAGTGATCCTACAAATGGTTATAGCAGTAATTCGATGTTTATAATTGTTTTATTTTACTAAAGTTTAAATTCGATTTAATAATTTCTCCCCCTCTTGGCCTAGACAGTGCCTGAATACAAATGGTCACTTAGTAAGGGTCCAGGGCAGAAAGGGAGTTTACCCGAATGTCATCGGGGTCCAAGCTGTGGTCACTCCAAACTGCTGAGGTAAAACTGCTGTTGAGGTACGAGCCGGATCGCCGCAAGTCCACCTCATCCTCATACACCTCCTTTGCAATCTCCTCTCTCCCTGCCCTCGACACATGGAGGAACTACAGAACACACACACACAGAGTAGTTATGTGTCAGAGACAGATTTATACTTGCATTGATTGTGGAAGAAAATTGCCATGTACCTTGGGTATGAAGAGCAGGGCAAGTGTCACAGTGATAGTGACATGCGTGTGGGTGAAGAACAGCAACAGCATCCAATCAGGATGCAGAGAGGGCATGACAAACCTAAGGAAAATATAGAACAGAAAGACATGTTATATGTCCCTATACAATATGCGTTTTTCCTGGTGAATATGCATGTTTTATCCAATGATGTACAGTGCCTTGCAAAAGTATTCATCCCCCCTTGGCGTTTTTCCTATTTTGTTGCATTACAACCTGTAATTTAAATGGATTCTTATTTGGATTTCCTGTAATGGACATACACAAAATAGTCCGAATTGGTGAAGTGAAATGAAAAAAAGTATAAAAAATAAATAACGGAAAAGTGGTGCGTGCATATGTATTCACCCCCTTTGCTATGAAGCCCCTAAATAAGATCTGGTGCAACCACTTACCTTCAGAAGTCACATAATTAGTTAAATAAAGTCCACCTGTGTGCAATTTAAGTGTCACATGATCGGTCACATAATCTCAGTATAAATAAACCTGTTCTGAAAGGCCCCAGAGTCTGCAACACCACTAAGCAAGGGGCACCACCAAGCTAGCGGCACCATGAAGACCAAGGAGCTCTCCAAACAGGTCAGGGACAAAGTTGTGGAGAAGTACAGATCAGGGTTAGGTTATAAAAAAATATCCAAAACGTTGAACATCCCACAGAGCACCATTAAATCCATTATTAAACAATGGAAAGAATATGGCACCACAACCAACCTGCCAAGAGAGGGCCGCCCACCAAAACGGGCCGCCCACCAAAACTCACAGACCAAGCAAGGAGGGCATTAATCAGAGAGGCAACAAAGAGACCAAAGATAACCCTGAAGGAGCTGCAAAGCTCCACAGCGGAGATTGGAGTATCTGTCCATAGGTTCACTTTAAGCCGTACACTCCACAGAGCTGGGTTTTACGGAAGAGTGGCCAGAAAAAAGCCATTGCTTAAAGAGAAAATAAGCAAACACATTTGGTGTTTGCCAAAAGGCATGTGGGAGACTCCCCAAACATATGGAAAAAGGTACTCTGGTCAGATGAGACTAAAATTTAGCTTTTTGGCCATCAAGGAAAACGCTATGTCTGGCGCAAACCCAACAACTCTCATCAACCAGAGAACACCATCCCCACAATGAAGCATGGTGGTGGCAGCATCATGATGTGGGGATGTTTTTCATCGGCAGGGACTGGGAAACTGGTCAGAATTGAAGGAATGATGGATGGCGCTAAATACAGGGAAATTCTTGAGGGAAACCTGTTTCAGTCTTCCAGAGATTTGAGACTGGGACGGAGGTTCACCCTCCAGCAGGACAATGACCCTAAGCATACTGCTAAAGCAACACTTGAGTGGTTTAAGGAGAAACATTTAAATGTCTTAGAATGGCCTAATCAAAGCCCAGACCTCAATCCAATTGAGAATCTGTGGTAAGACTTAAAATTGCTGTACACCAGCGGAACCCATCCAACTTGAAGGAGCTGGAGCAGTTTTGCCTTGAAGAATGGGCAAAAATCCCAGTGGCTAGATGTGCCAAGCTTATAGAGACATACCCCAAGAGACTTGCAGCTGTAATTGCTGCAAAAGGTGGCTCTACAAAGTATTGACTTTAGGGGGGTGAATAGTTATGCACGCTCAAGTTTTCTGTTTTTTTGTCTTACTTCTTGTTTGTTTCACAAGAAAAAATATTTTGCATCTTCAAAGTGGTAAGCATGTTGTGTAAATCAAATGATACAAACCCCCCAAAAATCAATTTTTAATTCTAGGTTGTAAGGCAACAAAATAGGAAAAATGCCAAGGGGGGTGAATACTTTCGCAAGCCACTGTATATAAACCCTGGATTGCTGATGCTATGTATTGGCCAATGAGAGGCTTTGAAGCCACCGGTCGGCCATATTGACACTCCCCAGAAGAAGCAGTCCTCCATAGGAATTAAATGTTTCAAGGACAAAATTACATTAATTTAGTTTTTTTTTTTGTACTGGGCACAGTAACAGAACTTCAAATAATTATACTTTAAGAAACATGCTATTTTTATTTCTTATGTTTAGCTCACAATATAATTTTAAGTATGCATTGTGTCTGTAATAAAATGAACTTATTGTATAAAAAACATGTAGACAGTAATAAATGCATTGCTACAGCTTAAAGAATATTTTCCACAATGGTGGGGGAGTGCCAAGATGGAGGTGCGGTGGCTTCAAAACAGCGGCCCCTGTCAGTCATCTAGTGTAGGCCTATATACTATAAATCAATAGCTTTATCCCGGTGTACTGCCTCTGTTTAGAGCCGAGTATCATGTACGCTGGTTACCGTAGCAGGTGGAACATGGAGGAGAGCAGCAGCTCGTTGTGTATGGCGATACCTATGTAGCGAGGCTCGTGGAAGGCTGAGGGCACTGGCTTCACAGCACTGCACAGGAAACTGCCCCAGCACAGAAACAGCAGCTCGGCTGAGACAGTCAAAGAGACAGACATAACGTTTATACTCTTCTCATACACAAGTAGTGTCAGGCAGAGTTCAATAATGTGTTGTTTTGTCTGGGTTTTTGAGCTCAAAATCATGTTTGTAAATTGATTTGACCTCTGACCTCAATCAGGAATGTGGTTTGTAGCTCTGTGTTATTTATTTGAAACCAAACAGAAAAAGCAGAATCGATAACAGTAGCATTCACTAGATTTTTGGTTTTGGTCAATAGCTCTACACAAGAATGCCTGTGTGCTGGAGTTTCGTTTTTCAATATAGATTTTTTTCTCTGTTCACCTGGAAAACACGATCAAACAACCCTCTTTTTCAATTATCCACTCACCCACGGCCATCATGTAGTCCCAGCGGTCCAGGTCACAGAGGCTGAAGCCCTGACCATCCGATGTGGTCGATATGATCATTAACGGAACGTTCCGGTCACGGTTCTGTAGAACGCCCGCGGTCCACGCACACAGGAACCAGCTGACAGTCACAACCATGACTCCCAGCATCCTCAGCAGGTGTATGCTGGACATGTAGGGCACTCTCTGGGCTGTGCGTGACAGGAACACCTTGAGAACCCTTCATGTGTGGGAAGTTGACTTGATGTTACTCATTCCTCAGAGAGAAACATATACAGACACATTTTGAATTACATTACAGCATACAAACTGATCTGAGTTCAGAGAGAGACCTCACAACATATTGTTCTACCTGACTATAACGAGGGGATACACATGCAGTGATACTGACGATACAAGAAATGCAATAGTGAGAGAGTGCAGTAGTACAGACCTATATATCTTCAGTGTTACCGTTCCATAGACGATGACAAAGCCCAGAAGTCGCACCCAGCGAAGCAGGATGCACCGGAAGGTGCTGGGCTTGAAGTACATGATGAAAACCTGAGGGGGGAGACAGACAGAGGCATTAGCAGATGATCTATCACACAGAATCACTCCCGATGAGTTTAGCTTACCTTGTCTTTGTGGATACAATAGGTAACAGGCTTTGTGGAATCAAATAGTACAGAACCATAATTTATTGTTCAAATAGAACATTTCTACCTACCTCAGAGGAGACACACAGTATGCACTTAGTAATCACAACTGTATACAACTGTACAGAATGTATACAGAAATGCAGTGTACAGGACTGTTTGTGTACATGAGTGGAATTGTATGTGTGCTCTATGTTGGTGACCACAGCACCAGTAGATCAAATGGCTGGAGGGCTAAAGAGGGCGAGTGTCACCACCCAAGGTGATGCCCTACAGAGATGAGAGAGTCTGTCCCTCTGTTGCCCTTTCGTCTGGGCCAACGCTCCAAAGTTACAGTAGGGGATGCAGCAGACTGAAAGGAATTTCACCTTTGTATCGGCCTTTTAGCGTCTGAATCCCCCATAGGTGTTTCTTTAGTGCATCTGTGATACTGTAGTAAAGTTGGAATAGAGCAAAGCTCCACCATTTTGAACTGAGCAAGGGAACACATTATATGTGTATATATCGCACATATGTTACTCAACCTTGTGTTCTAGCGAGCGAAGTTATATGATCAATGATCTACAAGGGCACTGCATGCCCCCATCACTTACCATTGGCTTGAACGGGATACTTTGATCAATGGTTCAGGGTCAATAGATACATGTATGAGTGAGTTGTGCAACAACTACTTAATTGAGATAATGAATCACACAAGTGATCGATAATCTATCGGCAGCCATTGAGTAAGGCCGAGTTATGCAACGAACACATCGTTGCGTCCCAAATGGCACCCTATTCCCTATATAGTGCACTACTTTTGACCAGGGTCCATAGGGGTGCCATTTGGGACGCAACCATCACCTTCCTCCCCACCACCAATCTAAATTGTCCATTACGATATAATCCCCAGCCCAACGCAATGATCTGAAAAGAGCGCTCTTATCTCCACACTCACTCACTCATATACTCTCTCACTCACCGGGAAGTACAGGAGCAGAGAGCCAAACAGGATGGTCTCCAACAGCAGGAGACCCGATGCCCGGATCCTCTATAGGGGGAGGTGAGATAGACAGAGACAAGGGGGGAGAGGCGGGATGGAGGGATGGATGCGGGAGAGAGGGAAGGTGAAGGGGAGAGATGGGGGGGAAGGATGTAGGAGAGGGAAGGGGTGAGGGAGGGCAGAGAAGAGGGAAGGTAGAGGTTGATGGAGAGAAGGATGAGGTTGATGAGGCGGAGAGAGGGAAGGGGTGGATGAGGGAGAGAGAAGTGGAAGGGGTGATGGAAAGTGAGGGGAGGGGGAGTGAGAGGAATTGAGGAGAAAGATTGGTTCAGTATGATGTGCTTATCTCACAGTGCTTTGATTTCCGATGTCTCTGTGGACCACCGCTGCTCCATGTTTAACCATTTAACTCTAGATGTGTTGATGTATGCAGGTTTCCTTTATTTTGGCAGTTACCTGTATGTTGGCCATACTTTATGCATACAGTGGGGGAAACAAGTATTTAGTCAGCCACCAATTGTGCAAGTTCTCCCACTTAAAAAGATGAGAGACGCCTGTAATTTTCATCATAGGTACACGTCAACTATGACAGACAAATTGAGAAAAAAAAATTCCAAAAAATCACATTGTAGGATTTTTTATGAATTTATTTGCAAATTATGGTGGAAAATAAGTATTTGGTCACCTACAAACAAGCAAGATTTCTGGCTCTCACAGACCTGTAACTTCTTCTTTAAGAGGCTCCTCTCTCCTCCACTCGTTACCTGTATTAATGGCACCTGTTTGAACTTGTTATCAGTATAAAAGACACCTGTCCACAACCTCAAACAGTCACACTCCAAACTCCACTATGGCCAAGACCAAAGAGCTGTCAAAGGACACCAGAAACAAAATGGTAGACCTGCACCAGGCTGGGAAGACTGAATATGCAATTGGTAAGCAGCTTGGTTTGAAGAAATCAACTGTGGGAGCAATTATTAGGAAATGGAAGACATACAAGACCACTGATAATCTCCCTCGATCTGGGGCTCCACGCAAGATCTCACCCCGTGGGGTCAAAATGATCACAAGAACGGTGAGCAAAAATCCCAGAACCACACGGGGGGACCTAGTGAATGACCTGCAGAGAGCTGGGACCAAAGTAACAAAGCCTACCATCAGTAACACACTACGCCGCCAGGGACTCAAATCCTGCAGTGCTAGACGTGTCCCCCTGCTTAAGCCAGTACATGTCCAGGCCCGTCTGAAGTTTGCTAGAGTGCATTTGGATGATCCAGAAGAGGATTGGGAGAATGTCATATGGTCAGATGAAACCAAAATATAACTTTTTGGTAAAAACTCAACTCGTCGTGTTTGGAGGACAAAGAATGCTGAGTTGCATCCAAAGAACACCATACCTACTGTGAAGCATGGGGGTGGAAACATCATGCTTTGGGGCTGTTTTTCTGCAAAGGGACCAGGACGACTGATCCGTGTAAAGGAAAGAATGAATGGGGCCATGTATCGTGAGATTTTGAGTGAAAACCTCCTTCCATCAGCAAGGACATTGAAGATGAAACGTGGCTGGGTCTTTCAGCATGACAATGATCCCAAACACACCTCCGGGCAATGAAGGAGTGGCTTCGTAAGAAGCATTTCAAGGTCCTGGAGTGGCCTAGCCAGTCTCCAGATCTCAACCCCATAGAAAATCTTTGGAGGGAGTTGAAAGTCTGTGTTGCCCAGTGACAGCCCCAAAACATCACTGCTCTAGAGGAGATCTGCATGGAGGAATGGGCCAAAATACCAGCAACAGTGTGTGAAAACCTTGTGAAGACTTACAGAAAACGTTTGACCTGTGTCATTGCCAACAAAGGGTATATAACAAAGTATTGAGAAACTTTTGTTATTGACCAAATACTTATTTTCCACCATAATTTGCAAATAAATTCATTAAAAATCCTACAATGTGATTTTCTGGAGAAAAAAATTCTCATTTTGTCTGTCATAGTTAACGTGTACCTATGATGAAAATTCCAGGCCTCTCTCATCTTTTTAAGTGGGAGAACTTGCACAATTGGTGGCTGACTAAATACTTTTTTTCCCCCACTGTACATCTGATATTGGATAAATGTATTAATTCACAAGGTGTTACATAGAACATGGCTTAAGATATTCAATTCATGTTAACACTCAGGGCTCATATTCAGAAGGAGTCTTAGAGTAGTGCTGATATAGGATCAGTTTTGCCTAATAGATCATAGTGAATAATATAATGTGGACAGGGAGGACCTGATCCTAGATCAGCACTCCTACTTTGAGACACTTTTTAAATTTGGGCTCAGAGCCCAGAGTTAAGTATTTCCACATTTCTTATGTGACAACGACTATGATGAGTAATGACAGAAGATGTCAAGATGACTAGATTAGCTATGATAGAGCCACAGAGCAGAGTTTCAGATTATGCTATATACAAGGAAGCAATATTCTAGCACTGACAAAATAATGTGTTTCAAAAGAATGAGGGAACAACTTCATTGTTACTTTTAACAGAGCTTGATATACATTTCCTTCTAATGACAGACTAAGGTAGCACTGCGAATAAACTTTTAAACTTGAAGACTAGTGACAACTTGTGGTTGAAGTTGTCTCTAACCACAGATCTAGGATCGTATTGCTCTACCATTAACCTTAACCGTTAGAGGAGCTACTCCAGAGGTGTATTCATTAGGCACCACATGGAAGAAAACAGACTGCAACAGGGAGGGACTACCTGAACTTGTCCAACAAGAAGCACTCATTTTCATTTAACGTTGCAATACGTTTTACTACAGTGTACCCTAATGAATATGACCTTCTCACTCACTAGAACTTACTCACCCTGCTGCGTCTGAACTGGTAGGCTACCAGCATTATGATGAACACCAGCAGCATGAAGAAGCCCTGGACGGCCAGCACCCCGGCTCTGAGGAACCAGTCCTCCTCTACCCAACAGGGGGCACCGTCCTCGCAGCGCCTGCAGCCCGGCCAACAGGGGAGACAGATAGGCAGGGCCGGGTAACACACGCCACCCCCGTCGCCACCGCTGCCGTTCAGAGCACCACCTTCTGTATTAGACACGCACGGGCACGCACACACCGGGGACAGAAACAGAGACAGCTGGACAGTGACGACAATAAATCTTTAAGTATTGTCTTAAAGCTGTTTTTGGCAAACAAGTCAAACGATTACATCATCTTGACCAGGGTCTTATATCAAGTAAAGTTCTTTGACAAACATTGAATAGAAATTTTGATTATCTGGATGCTTCCCAAATGGCACCATATTCCCTACATGGTGCACTACCCAGTGGTCCTTGGTAAAAAGTAGTGCACTATAAAGGGAATAGGGTGCCATTTGGGAAGCAGACTATAAAGGGAATAGGGTGCCATTTGGGAAGCAGACTGTATGTCTTCTTTACCGTCCATTGGGGGGCTGTAGTATCCCTCTTTGCATCGACAGCAGTACTGGCCCAATCTGAATCCCTGGCCTGTGATTGGCTCACACTGGAGGGTAGTAAAAGCAGTGGGGATTAGAGTTCACATCACAGTACAAGGACAGGGGTGTAAATATCCCCCTGAGGCTAGTAGTTTGGGCTTTGATCAATCAATGTCCCTGATTGGCTGGAACCTGATTGGCTAGACGGAGTCCACGCACATGATTACCAAGGATGAATAGGGTCCTTGAGGGGACGAGTTTAGGAGGACTTTATCATTATTGCAATAGCCCCCCTCCACACCTGAAGGTGGAGCTCCTAGAGGAATAAACAACTATTTCATTAAATGCAAGCAATACTTTTTCGTTGGCATGTCTGCATCCATTGCAATGTTTCTAGCTGTGAACAGCTGTGGACGTCAGAAAAACCAATGCAAACAAGGCATCATCTCTGCTGCTGCTGTAATATCAGCATTTCTGGGTGAAAATGGCCGAAAAACCAATGTTCTCTTGTTACAGTTAGGTGACTGTATAGCCTATGCCTGTTTGGACTGACATGCTTGGCCGTTCCTGAGTTAATGGAGATGAAGTGTGTTCCACATGTTCTCTCAGCCAGCCTGGTGTTAGTTTCTCCACCATGATGGTTCCCAGCACAGCAGCACTCAGTCAAGGAAACACCCATTTGGACTCTCGCCTCTCGCCTCCATGTTAATCTAAGTTAAAACCTAAATGGATATGTAATGCCTCGCTACCAAGAGCATTATCCCTTTTCTACCAGTGAAATCCCATATGCACATGCACGCATACACACACACACACACACACACACACACACACACACACACACACACACACACACACACACACACACACAAGCACGTAGGCAGACACACACACACAAACACACACACATGCATGCATGTAACACACACGCCCACACTCAAGTACATGTGCACCCCCACATCAGGTAGTGACAGACCTAATGGCTTGCTTAAAGTAGCAACGGTCATCGGAATTGTTAAAAGGTTTTAAAAACTATTCTAATAAATGCAACAGTTGGAAAATGGATGAAGATACTCCAAACTTTTTTAATTTTTATAACTCGTGAGATATTGACTGAATTATAGCACATAAAACATTTTACTGGCATGGACAAATAATGTTCAGGGATTTTGTTGGGAATTCAGGTATTCCATTTATTGTAAAATGTCCCTTATTTTTTCTTAGAATGCACTCATATATACATTTAAATTAGATGTACCTAATTTGCATAAATACACCAGATGTATTTGCATATATGGATAAATTAACACAAAGGAAGGTACAGGGCCGCAACCACCAGACACTTGCTCTGTCTACCCTACCTGCAGGGCTTGCACTTACGCGCTTTCGTCATACGTAACATACCCATGAACGTAACTAAGAAAAGAGCGGGTAGCAGCGTCAATCAATTCACGTACTACTGTCAAGATGGCTAGCGTTCAGTGCAACTCGATTGTCTCTTTGAAAGAAGTTCCTTTTTGTCGGCGAACAAATCAAGATAAATTGGCAACGAAACAATTAGGACCTCCCAGACCAAATTTAATAATTCAACAGGTTTCTACTAAAGGGGGAAAGTCCTACACCCGAGGATTTTCCAAAAATTGGTACGAACGAAAAACCTGGCTAGCAGGCTGCGATGTAGCTAATGCAGTCTTCTGCTACCCCTGCTTACTCTTTCACCCTGAAGGCGGCACGGCAGACAGCACCGCTTGGACAGCGACTGGTGTAACGGACATGCACCATCTTTCAGAAAAGATTAAGAAACATGAGCTGTCAAAGACCCACATGGATAGCTGTTTGAGATTGTCTGCTTTGGGGAGAGTGAACATTGCCACTCAACTGGATGAGGGATACAGGCTAGCTTTTCCGCGCCACAACGATGAGGTTAGCAAGAACCGCCACATCCTCAGCCGGCTAATCCAGTGTGTGAAGTTTTTGCGGAGTGTTTGAGTTAGCTTTGCGAGGCAAAGATGAAACTGAGGCTCCACCAACCCTGGTATTTTTCTTGGACTTTTTCAACTTTGTGGCACAATTAGATGAGGTTTTTTATGGAAATGCTATTGTTTATGCAGTGTTGAGGAATGTGAAAGAACACCCTTGATTATTTTTACTGTGATAACTTATTTTGCTTTTGTAAGCCAACACTTTTGAGATCAGTCAATAAATGCTTCTGGTATTGACTTATATGCTGCCCTGTCTTCAATGTTGTTGCTGGACATATCTTTTTTTAAATGTGTGTAGGTCACCTAAATCATCAGAAAAAATTTCCCCCCCTGATAATTTTTTCAGGAGCCGCCACTTTCTGTCTAGACTGCCTCATTAATTACTGTTGTTGTCACGTTCTCTTGCATAATTCAACAAGTGTGTCAATAGCAGGATACCCTCTGATTAAAAAGCAACACGCTTGGCTCTAGACTACACCTACAGTATCTAAACATACTTTACATTGTTTGCGAGCTCAAACATAATATCACTATAATTCGAGTCTTCATTTTCTGAAGTTGGTTTCATTTCAGCGCATCTAATTTGTAAACATTTCAACTGTATTAAATTATAACTTTTTTCAATTCCACAAAAAATGAACACCCATCAAAATAAGGTTATCTTTCTTCTCTTTCTTGTGATGTAAGTGTCGAGACGGTGTTTTAAATCCCTGACGAAGCTTTAGCGTTCGTATAGATTCAACAGAAAGCAAATGTATCCCATTGAGGCCATTACAGCCATTACCAGGGTGTGTTTGCCAGGTCATAACAAACGGTCGTAACGTTAACGGGAAAAAACGACAGGCACAAGCAAGGGTATGAAAGCGTCTGAGGATTAAAATGAAAGCTATCAATGCAGCAAGTTTTAAGTGACAAGTGGATTTTGCATCCCTCAAACTCAGGAAATAGATGGCTGAAAAAGACAGCTCTTCAGGTGGGCGGGGTGTGCGTTCCTACTTTATATATATTTGTATGTGCCATGGATTAAACTGAACACCGGCATGAAGGCAATTTAATTATCTCAGATGGAGATGGAATACATAGCAAGTCATTGAGAAGTCAGCTGGTTGGTAAACATAGCATGGACCTGCACTTTAAAGCCTCATATCAAGCTCACTCCAGAGGCATATTTGCTCTATGGCTTGACTTATTTACTGAGTGTCTATCTAATGTGGTCCATTGTGTGATTTTTTTATTGCATTATGTAATTTTGATTGAGAGAGGTGGTTTTTAATTTTTGCTTAGTTGACTGTTATATGGATTTAAAATTGAGTTGGTGAGTAATTTGTATGTAACACACACATACACACACAAGTGAAAGTGAAAGACATCTGTTGCCTTTTGAAAAAACCTGATAAAGGTATCAAATCACGAGATTTAAGTTTAGCTAGATCATATAGTTTAAATACAGTATTACATTTTTTTTTTTTTTTTATGGTTTCAGCATGCAAGTTATCTCTTCCCCTTGAGGCCTTAGCCCGCAATTAGACATTAATCAATTAACTCCCTTTCTAGGAAATGAAATAATCTCTAATAAAACATCCCATTCTACCTGGAACTCAATCTCTCTTGTTCCACCTCTGACCTGTCACTGGATGTTCCATGAGGGGACAGCATGAGACAAGAGGGGGGATGATGCTGATGAGATTGGGATATGGGTGTGCTCCTGTGTTCTGTTTCTGTCTGTCAGATGAGCGATGGGTGCATGGGGATAGGGGGGAAGGATGTCGTTCATGGCTGGATTATCATCTTAATCCTGCAGATCATCCCTCTGCCACCCAACACATATATCTTTAAATAGAAGGGGGGGGGGGGGGGGTGAGAGGGAGAGGATTGTGTCGGAAAGGACAGATGATGATCAAACAAGAGAAGGAGAATAGACTGGGGATGAAGGTAAAGGAGGTGCAGAGGAGGACAAGTATGGATGGATAAAGGGATGAACGGAGGATAAATATTGAAATGAAGTAACACGTGAAGGATGGAGATGGAGAGAGAGTGAAGCTATTTTAAGCGATTAGGGTTGATGAGTGTGTCCCCATTCATTTTCATTGAGGGCATGCAGAGAAATGTGCGGGGGCTTGTGAGAAGGTGAGTGGCGAGAACCCTGCTAGCAGAGCGGTAGAAAAAGTTGAGCTCTGCTCTACTTTATACAAATTTCAAGCAAAGCGAAGCGTTGTCAAGAGGAGGCGTTGCCTCTGGTCAAAACCCACTGTAATGCGAGTGGGATGGGTGTGGCAGCTCCAATGCTATCGCCGGTTAACGCTTGATCTGATTGAATCTAGGCCTTGGTCCGAGATAACTCTTCAACAACAACTTGGGGTTCAATTACAGGGCTTAAATGTTTTGAGAACTTTACCTCCATGGTGGTGCGGTTGCACTGGTGTGTGTTGGCAAACCAAGCGTCCCCCGTGGCACACTGGTTCACATCAAAGCCCTGTACGTTTACATCCACACGGATTACACCCCTGGCACAAGAGCGCACACACACGCAAAGAGAAACATCCATTTCAGTAAAGGAGAATATCCCAGAAACTAACTGGACACAAACAAATAGCAAATAGCAAGATAAACAACAGGACCTTTTATGGGAACAAATATATTACTATTGTAATTTAATCCATTTCAACTCTGTCCCCTGAAGCTTGACATTTTCTCTAGATAAACTTCTTTGGCCTTTAAAAGTGCCTTACTTTCAAATGTCAGATGGTATCCAGCAATGGGTAATTCAATCATATCTGCTATTTCAAATGCTTATCAAAGTATCTCCAGTGTGGCTCTCTGGCTACTACTATACGCCCTTCTACTGCTGGGGCCAGATATTTTTAGAGCCAGGCACTAAAGGTGAATTATAGCCTACTGGGGGCAGGAGTAGTGGGTTGGGGCCATCATACGCCTTCATGATGGTACTAAATCTATCTACCTCAAATCATGTCATCAGTATGAGACACAGAGAGAGACATGGCTTTGTCCAAATGGCACCCTATTCCCTATATAGTACACTACTTTTGACCAGGGCCCTCGCCCAACTAGCCCTGGTCAAAAGTAGTGTACTATATAGGGAATAGGGTGCCACCTGGTCAAAACCTAGTGCACTATATAAGCAATCGAGTGCCATTTTAGACGCAGCCAGGGTCCTGACTGACCTGAACTCAGGGCTGAGGTCAGGCTTCAGGCCGTAGAAGGAAGTGGATAGGGTGAGCAGCCAACCCGGCAGGAAGCGGCCGTCCTCACACTCTAGGAATGGCCCATTGGCCCAGCGCACCCCGCTGCGATTGGTCACGTAGCTATCACCCCTGCCCCCATTTGGGCGTGTCCAGGGTGCTGAGGTCATTGAGGAGGACTCTTTTAGATAGGGCCGAGGTGGGCTTGTTCGAGGAGGCGGGAAACTTGAAACTGCTGAACCAGGTGTCGTCGGGTGCGGGGGCTGGGAGGTGCAGACTCTCCCATTGGCTAGAGAGGTCCTGGAGGAGGATGTTCTGGTACCTGGGAGGGGCGGGGTTCCGGGAGGCGCGGAGCACGAGTTGGGGGGCGGTGGCGGCTGGGTCGGCATCAAAGGTGAGGAGGGCCTGTCGGATGAGGGGGTCGGCCTCCAGAAGGGCGCGCACCATGGCGTGGTACCACTCCATGTCCTCTCGCACACTGCTCTCCCGCAGGTCGCTAGCCTGGAAGATCATGTTGAGGAAGTTGGCCGTGTTGGCCAGTGCGTCCATGGATGGCCGGAGGGGGCCATAGAACCCTCGCGGCAGAGGGCCATTCTGACCCGTGAGACTGTACGCCCGGTCGCACTCCACTATCTCCAAGACAGAGTAGTTCCCGCTGTAGAGAAAGACCTCTGCCGGCGTCCAGTCCTCCTCTGGGGCTTCCGAGGGGTTTGTGACCGACCCCGAGGGATCGGGGCTGGAGGGGGTGCCCAACGCACCTGTAGCACTCACAACGGACGCCGTGGGGTCCTCTGACTCGGCTGTAGTCCCCAATTCAGAAACGATGCTAACCTGTGCTGAAAGGAGGGGCGTGAGCAGCAACAGGAGGAGCCAAACAGGGCCCATCCTCAAATCCACTCCCGTTGGGGGGGGGGGGCACACACTAATACCCCCCTCTTTAATAATCTCTAGTCTTGACCTTTTTCAAAATCCTCAAATAAATGTCACATTTTGGCCAAGGCTTGGAAAGCCTCATAAGCCTCTTCTCTCTTTATGTCTCTAATCCTTCTCACCAGTTGTAGTCATACAGACAGAGGTGCACCAGCAGGTGTCTGCTGTAACGACAAGGGGGAGTCGATCATCTGTAGCACTGTCTCAGACACACAACACACCGTGTTCATTTGTGCCTCATAATCACACACTCCTCACACACACACACGGATAAAAATCATACTCTCTACCTCCGATGGGAATTCGGGGAATCCAACTGGTGTTCCTGGTTAATCCTGCATCTCGGTGGGAGGGAGAGGGAATTGTTGGGGGAAATCCAGTGGCGTTCCCGCTCAATCCCACTACCATTCCCAGCATGTCCGCAGTCAATCTGCCTGTCACTCCCATGTTTTTTATTCTGTTTCCCGGCGACGAGTCCCCTGAGAGCAGCAGCAGAGCAGCGAGAGACAAAACCAACCGAGATTAGAGAGAGGTGCGACACACTCCCAGACCAAAGCAAGCGCTAGCGTGTACGACAGGAGGAGGCAGAAAGGGAGGGGGGAGGGAGGGAGGGAACAGCCCATAATTGAGGGAGTCTGAGGCAAGGTGGGGAGAGAGAGAGCAGGTAGTAGTGTGTGGAAAGGGGAAAGAAAAATAGCAGCTTTCCTCGTCTCTCTCTCTCTCTTCTGCGCTCCTGTTACATTCTCGCTCGCTCCACAGCTCCTCTGCAAAGCATCTCTCGCTCTCACTTTCCACTCTCTCCGTCTCTCGCTCCCCCTCTCTCTCTGATTGACGGTGATTACTCCGGCCCCTCAACCTCTACCCCCTCTCTCTCTTTCTGTGATTCCCCCTCAGTATGCTGCTGGAGATGCTAATGAAACTGTTGTGCCTGTGGAGTGATGAGAGTGCACATTTGCTGGCGGCAGGGACTGCGGTGTATGTCTGTGTGTGTCTTTGTGTGTGTTTTAGTGTGTGTGTGTGTGTGTGTGTGTCTGCAGCGCAAAGAGGAGAGAGGATGATGCAGGATGAGGGTTAATCCGCCTGTATTTGGGCATCCATCAAAATCCTGCGCTCGATGGATTAACCCCTGGCGTTCCAGCGGGGTCAGCCAGGAGAGTGGATGAGGGACAAGGTTGCTCTTTGATCATCCAGGAATGTATACACACTGTCAGGGAAGCCAGGGATGCTATAGATATGATTATGCTTTCAGCTGTATGATGTGTGTTGACACAAATATATTACCAGTATGTATCTAGTGAACAGGTGGAGATTGATTCATATTGAGTGTCATTATGTGTGGCTATAAAATGGGAATCTCCCTTATCATACGATTCAGTATTCATCATCACTTAGAATAAGGAGGGAGGGTGGGAGAGAAGGAGAGAGAGCGAGTGTGTGAGTGTGTGAGAGGGAACGAGAGCGATTGTGATATATATAGAGAGAGAGAGAGAGAGGAGAGAGAGATAGAGAGAGAGAGCGAGAGAGAGAGAGAGAGAGAGAGAGAGACCTCCCACCCCTTCCTATATCTCAGTGATGGAGCAGGGAATTCCAGGCTCTGGGTGATGCAGGCGAATCCTTGTTTTGGTGCCATGGCAACCGGTTTCTGAGAATTCTCATCCATTCCTGTGGGCCTCCTACCCCCACCCAGGACTGCAGAGCAGAGGAGGTGCTGCAGTGGAGTGTGGGAAAGACAATGAGGCTACACAGATGTGTGTTTTTGTGTGTGTGTGTGTGTGTGTGTGTGTGTGTGTGTGTGTGTGTGTGTGTGTGTGTGTATGTGCGTAGGTGTGTATGTCACAGTACATTGATTGCAGGTGTATGAATGTATGTGTAGAGTTTATCAAGGTGTTTGTGTATGTGTGTATGTGTGTGTCCATGCATATGGCATGTGTGTGTGAGTGCGTACGTGTGTGTTTGTTTGTGTGTGTGTGTGTGTATGTGTGTGTTTGTGTAATTAAGTGTGCATAATCTGTGTGTTTCTGTGTGTTCACATGTGCCTGTGCTTTTACTGTATGTAGTTGGGAGTTTGTTCATAGTCATACAGAATTAAGTCTGCTTGTAAATGTTTAGATACCAAATTATCAGTGCATAGTCTGTGTTTATGTATACATCCATTTAAATCTCACAATCAGGACTCAATGGCAATGCAATACGTTTCTGTTTAAAATTACTCTAGAAAAGCAAGCAATTTTATAGTTGTGCATATGTGCATTTTCAGCCCCTTCTGTTGCCAGCCCTGCCCAACATTACCTGTATGAGCAGCTTTTGAATTAAACATGATCTGTGATCATGATGATGCATTAGCCTGCACCATCTCATTGACTTAAATATTTGTGTTTACATACCAGCTAGCACTCAACAAGGATTAAACGTCTGTCCATCCATTCTACGATGATCAATTGTATTCAACTGGGCTTCAGTGGGTTTACCATCATTGGTGGCCTGTAGCACCACCTTCTGGTTGAGAGATGTAAATAAAATATATGTTTTTTTACAATGGATTGAACGAGTCATGATTTATGGGTGAAAACATTTGTCATCCTTTGTCTGCAAGGTGGTGTGTTTTTGTATATGACAGGTGGAGGAAATTGATAGCATCCTGAAATCTGAAATAGGGTACCTAACAAGGGGAGATAGGCCTTGCCCAGCTGAGGGGATGTAGCTCAGTTGGTAGAGCATGGCGTTTGCAACGCCAGGGTTGTGGGTTCGATAAAATAATGTATGCGCTAACTGTAAGTCGCTCTGGATAAGAGCGTCTGCTAAATGACGTAAATGTAAATGTAAATGTAGATAGTCAAACTCAGGACAGTGCTGCTTGCTCTGATGGAAGGCTCTAGAATTCCCCAATCATGTCTTATCACTTTAATTTGGAACGGAGTGCAGTCTAGGAGGCCACTCATCTGGACCTAGCAGGCTAAAAGTCAAATGGTTATGATATGAGAGGTCTAATTATAAATGCCCATGCATTGATGATTTGTCTTTTGCAAATGGATTGGTGGAATTTATATTATATCCTGTTCTATTCTATGACATTACATTTTATGAGTGACACATGGATTGCTGAATCACCACATTTATCTTTTTAAGTGCAGTTACATCAAGTGCCAGAGACAGAGTGTGAGGCACAGTCTGGAATCGAATAGAATCTGAATCTTTATTTCTTATTTATTTTCTCCCCTAATTTCCATTGGTCACTTTAATAGCACAATGTTAGATTGTTTCTTTCTGAGTCAAATTGAATTGAAATTGACACAGCTTTTAAGTTGGCGAAGACTGGGCGGTGAGATGCCAAGAACAGACTGAGTAGAGCAGGTGCCCAGCACTGCCCACAGCCATTGGCACAAGTGGTCCGATTTTTATTCTGTGCACTGGAGAAGATAATGGACTAATTTGTTGAAGTCATGCAATAATTTGCAGTGAAATCAAAATAGGCCTTGCATACTAAATAATTATTATAGCCTAAGCTATTAGGGATTTTATTACCATGCTGATTCTTGCAATAATCAATCAGATACAGACATCAATCAATCAAATTCAGCAACAACAAATATAGTCCTACATTGAATTAATTTCCTCAATCAATGTCAATAATAGGAACAATTTTAATGTTGGAATATTTAGGCTACTATGCAAGTCACTAATTGCAACGTAGCCTAGCATTCTGAAATGATTAATTATTGGTTTTATTTTGATTTTTGGGGGGGGGGCGGATTATGTGTGTATTGTTTTGTATTGCTAGATATTACTGCACTGTTGGCGCTAGAAAACACAAGCATTTCGCTGCACCTGCGATAACATCTGCAAATCTGTGTACGCGACCAATACACTTTTATTTGATTTCTCTCTCTCATCACTTCACACTATAGGGAGAGAGAAACGGGGGGATGGAGAGGGAAACAAGGGACACACTGAACGCAGAACGCATAGGATTTGCGGAAGTGAGGGAGCGGGTGGGGCTTCGCTGGGAACCGGAGAGAGAGAGCGAGAGAGAGAGCGAGAGAGAGAGCGAGAGAGAGAGAGTGGTCAGACTTGCGAGGCTTTTATTCTAGCAAATGAGACCGTATGTTTGACCCCGGGGTTCGCCTGCTTACAACAGCAAGCTGGATATATTTATGCGTGCACTCGCTTGGTCTTCGTTAGAATATAAATGGATGTCGTTTTTTTGTAGGCGTTTATCTGTGCGATAATGAAAGAACGCTTCAAATAGTTTATTCGCTCGTAGCCTATTTATGGTAGATAGCGGTTTGGCCCTTCTTTATTATAAGACAACGGGGATCCATCAAACGGCGGTAGCTATGTGAGGTGCATAAATCTTTATTCCCTTTCGTGAATTGAGGAATAATTATGAACAACGCGCAAGATATGTCTCCCGATTTTGTCTTGATGCGCCTGGTTTCCGCGGCCGAGGATGACCGCTTGGACGAGGAGAATGGGAATCTGTCCTCGGGTGGAGTGGTGGCAGGACTCGGTAAAGAGGTCTTGGCTCATAGTAACATGAAAGGGGGCTTGGAATTCGCCCGAGATCCTACGACAGGCCTCGCGCATTCCGGCCATCTCTCTTCGCTGAACAATGCACAGCAGAGCGGCGGAACGGCGGCACCTGACACGGGAGTGATGGCGACTAGACCGTCGGTGTCTATTCCTCCTCCTCCACAGAGCGCCATGGAGGCCAAGGGCTTTGAGTTCGCCCACAGAGGCGGCTTACGGCCTCAACTCCTGGTGTTTCCTAACATATTGAGGGATGGTGAGGTGATTTTAGACCGTGAATCCGACCATCGGAATCAGTCGAGGGAACATATTGGTTTGGACAAGACCTCCGGCTCTGGCTCCGACCTAAGCGGAGGCATCAATAACAATACGCTCAGCGCCGGCGACGCGCAACAGCAGAACCATCTGTCCCAGAGCTGGGGTCTGCATCCCCGGGCAGCATTATCCACGGTTGCTGCCGATATCGAGGGAGGTGAGCTATGCCACCGGCACCGTTTGATCACCAACCCATCAGACTGGCCTCCATTATCGGATAAATCCAATCCTCTCACCATAATAGAATCGAAATGGGGGTGCACACCCGGGGAGCTCCCCGACGGCCCGGTGTTCGACCTGGCCAGAAGGTTCGGGGAGCTGGGGCTCGGCGCAGTACCCAAGATATTATTCAAGGACGGGGAGATGCCCCAGTGCTCGTGTCAGGGCGCACATGGGCCGGCACCGGCGGGGATGGGGCATGGGGATGACCCGACTGAGACTAGCGATGCTTTGTTAGTGCTGGAGGGGCCTGGGGACTGGGGACGTGGCCAGCCTGGGTATCACAGGCTGCCCCGAGGACGATTCAGATGAAAGTCGAGCACGTCGAGTTCAGAAGATGTCCGGTGCATTTTCTCTCAGTAGCTTTCAAGCAGAGTTGACAAGACAGATGGAAGGGGCGGCTGGAGAGCCTTGTCCGTCGGCGCACGGTGATGCACAAGGATGTAGCCTGCATGGAAACGTACCCAACCCAACTCAACCGAGCCCTGGAGATACAGAACAGAATCCGGAGGTGTCGACATTACCTGGGGCCTCTGCGACTACACCGAGGTCGGACCGACTTGTCAGTCCAAACCCTAGCCAGGCATCGACACCCCGGAAGCGGGCGGACAAGTGCGTCAGTGCGCCCCGGACTCCAACCGGTCGGGGAAGCGCTGGAGAGAAAACACTAAAAGTTCCAGGGAAGTCCAGAAAGGGCTCACTTAAAATACGCCTGAGTAAACTTTTCAGAACTAAAAGCTGTAGTGGTTCCAATAGCCTTCTGGATAAGAGGCCATCAGTGGCCTATTCAATCTCCTCTGCTGGAAGTCTGATAGATATGGCCAGTGCAAGTGGTGGGGAGCATGACGTGGACAGGTAAGGACTTCCACACTTTTAAGCATTGTGAGTAATTACTGACTGTATGCCTATAATTTATAATAGGCTATAGAGGTCAACTCATTTATTGATTGATCACAGTGCCAGGTAATATTGTAGGACCTATCCTAAAATATAACATTTTCTATCAGGATATTATAGGCCCATAACTGTCAGAATCTTTTCTAAATTTGTGCTTTTCTAAATCTAGGCTAGATAACTCTAACATCTATTTTTCACCCTATCACTTCTATATTCCATCCCTTTAGAACTTATTTCATTCCTATTTTGCTGTCTTTCTCTTGCCACAGCCAACCCCGAATGACCAGGGCCCAAAGTGCCTTCTCTTCTGCTTCCTTTGTTCCTTTCACTGGTAAGGGGCTCTACTGTTTCTTGGCTGAGGAGGCAAACTCTGGTCCAAGAACTGACGTTTCTTTACTAGCATCACTCTCTTCCTCTGTCATTTCCTTTCTCATTTGTGGCACTTGGTCTTTCCCTCTCTCTCTTTCTCTTTCCTTCTTTCCATTGCTGGGTGTAGGTGAGACTGTTTCATTGGTGGATGTGGATATTTCGAGGAGAGGGGCGAACACTCCGCACCCTCCCACGCCTCCACCTCCGCCACGCAGAAGTCTCAGTCTATTAGGTACTTTACCTCCTCTCTTTCTCTCTGTTCTTTCTCTCTTTCTCTCTGTTCTTTCTCTCTTTCTCTCTGTTCTTTCTCTATTTCTCTCTGTTCTTTCTCTCTTTCTCTCTATGTGTGTCTCTCTGTATAGTAGCCTATTTTTCTCTGTGTGCTTCCTTGTGTCCCTCCCTTTCTTGCACGCATCTCTTTTGCCTATGTTTCTACCTGTAGGCACACACAAACACTAAAAAGGATTCCTGCATACCCTCACTCACCCTACTCTCCGATACCCATCTTATTACCCTCTCCTGAAAGCTATATCACAGTAATATCACAGTATATAAACATGCCCATTCTGTTCTATGGTGATGGAGAGCCTAATAGCTTTACTCCATCTCTGACCCCCACGGCAACACTCACATCAACAGCCATAAGTCTGAGGGACTGTTGTATTGTGGCCTTATAGACCAGTGTTTCTCAACGTTGATCCTGGGGACCCACCCTCTCGACCTATCATAATTGAATGTTCAGCCAAGCAGTGGTACAAGGACAAACCAATTTACTGAATGTCACGTTGAATCACACATTTCTCTCAACCTAGAAATATAACCATACATTAGATGTTGTTTTGATTTGTTAGTTACCCTAGAATACTTCAAGGAGTACATTTTTATCCGAAAAACGAACACTACAAATAAGTCTTGTTAATTGGTCGAGACGAAAACTTCACATCACAGTGGGTCCAGAGGAGCGGAGTTGAGAAAGCCTGTGATATAGACCCCTCCCTGGTCTGAAACCTCCCCTTCCCCTCCCTGCTCTGTTCCAGATGACATAGGTGGGCCGCAGCCTGGTCCTTTCCTAGTGAGTGTTATGGGGGCCTCCCTACAGTCCCTCCCCCTGCCTCTTCCTCCTCCTCATCCCTCCCATGCCACCATCCAGCATAGTATCAGCCTCAATGGTAAGACACCAGAGAGCAGAGAGCTGGGAGCTGTGCATGGGGCAAACAGGGGGAGGGTGTCGTCGGGGGATAGAGCACGTAATGGCCAGAGCTAAGACTCTGAAAAGACCATAATACAAAACAGTACCAATATGATATGTTTATAATGCTGTATTTATAAACGTGTGGATATATCAGTAATCATAAACATGTATAATATCTGCAGTTATGAATATATATGTAACATAAAACCTATATGCCTGTCGGCCAATGTCTAAGGTCGTAGAGTGGGTAACATAAATAGAGTGATATGTTGTGACACTTGCGTGTTGTGGTGAAGGTTGCATAATTGCCATCAGGTCAAATACTGTAAGTGCTTGTAGTCAGGAAAGACTATACAGACCAATCAGCGTGGAAATGAATCGTGAAGGTGCATGGTGTGCGGTCGCAACCAATGCTTGTCTAATCTTTTTATTATAAATATGCCTTGAGAATTAGTATTTGTGGCACTTGGTCTGTCTAAGCAGTCTTGCTCAAATAGAACATTCATATCACTGTGTCTAACTGAATATTTCTCTATTTGTTACAGATGCATTCCTCCGGGCCCTGCCTCACTCCACCTCTTCACAGCTCCTCTCAGCCCCTCCCCCTTCCAGGTTGGCCCCACCCCCAAGGCTCTGTCCTCTGAGGAGGCCTGAGGCCAGCAACTTCACCGCTAGTCTGAGAGAGCTGGAAAAGGTAATTGCGACACACTCAACGACACTCGCAAGTACACATAAATATTGACTGAATATAGACCCACTACTAATCGATTGGGTTACATACGAACAAATATGTACAAACCTTTCATTGATGATAACTGCCTTTTTTACATTTACATTTACATTATTTAGCAGACGCTCTTATCCAGAGCGACTTACAGGAGCAATTAGGGTTAAGTGCCTTGCTGAAGGGCAAATCGACAGATTTTTCACCTAGTTGGCTCGGGGATTAGAACCAGCGACCTTTCGGTTACTGGCACAACGCTCTTAACCACTAAGCTACCTGCCGCCCCGGTGTGTGTGTGTGTGATAACAAACCTTTAATCGATGATAACTGCCTCCTTGGTGTGTGTGTGTGATAACAAACCTTTAATTGATGATAACTGCCTCATGACATTCATTCAGTTCTGTGTTTGTATTTTATTCTATGGATGATGTGTGTGTGTGTGTGTGTGTGTGTGTGTGTGTGCGTTTGTATGTGTGTGTGTGTGTGCATTTGTGTGTGTGTGTATGTTTCTATGATATTAGTTCCTAATCACCTACATGTCTATCCCCAGTGTGGCTGGTACTGGGGTCCTATGAACTGGGAGGATGCAGAGATGAAGTTGAAGGGGAAGCCTGACGGGGCGTTCCTGGTGAGGGACAGCTCTGACCCCCGCTACATCCTCAGCCTCAGCTTCCGCTCCCAGGGAGTCACACACCACACGCGCATGGAGCACTACAGAGGTGAGTCGTGTGTACTGTAAATAATCATAAACACACACAGGCACACACACACAGTCAGTCAATCACACAAATATAAATGTTGTAGCTATATAATCACTCAGTCATTGTGTTCATTAACCCACACACACACACACAGGCACTCACAAGGAAGCACACACACAGAGCAAAGTGGTGAGTCACCCACATACAAAGTGAGTGAAACATACATGACATATGGATAATGTACTTCTAACATGACTCACAGACACACTCATCATGCAGTGTACATACATGACAGACAGAAAGCATGCAGTTAATTATATTTATGTTTTACACATACTGCACATATCAGCCACCTAACCCACGGGGTAGCTGAGAAAAACAAGTTTGATACATGACATATTATATAATATGTGCTTATAACAAGTAATAATGCATTATACCTGCACACTTTAAATAAAGTGGTACCCCAAGGTTCTATTTCATTCCCCTTTAAATGGTATTTGGTTCTGTTTCATTCCCCTTTAAATGGTATGTACGTGTGAGTGTTCGGTGTAACCTCAAGTGGTGTGTCCCTTCCATGTCTCCGCCTATAGGGACATTCAGCTTGTGGTGTCACCCCAAGTTTGAGGACCGATGTCATTCTGTGGTGGAGTTTATCGAGCGAGCCATCATGCACTCCAAGAACGGAAAATTCCTCTACTTCCTGCGATCACGTGTGCCGGGTAAAAAACTGACCCCATTCCTACACAGCCTAACTAATTAGATGTTTATGTGAACTACCACTTAGTGTGGTGGTTGGAATGACAGTAAGCATAGCATACAAGGTTGCTGAGAGGTTACGAGCATCTGTATTGGTTGTTTGTGCTCACTCGTGTGTGTGTGTGTGCACGTGGAATGTGTGTGTGTGTTCCAGGGCTCCCCCCTACCCCGGTGCAGCTGCTCTACCCAGTGTCCCGGTTCAGCAACGTCAAGTCCCTGCAGCACCTCTGTCGCTTCTGCATCCGACAGATGGTCCGCATCGACCACATCCAGGAGCTGCCGCTGCCCAAGTACTGCCATACTCAATTTATCAAAACATTTATTTGGCCATTAATTTTAGTAGCATTCTCTCCTGAGCTTTGACAGAAACGCCTCAGCATATTCTTTTACTCTAAATAAAGAAATCTAATCCTTGATTGCCAACAAAATAAACATGGATGATGTGCTTTGAGACCAAGTGAAAAGTGCTATATATAGCAGCTGTACTTTAATGCAATCCATCATCATCCTCATCTTCATCAGTTTCCTTTCTTTTATGGAGAGTGTTATACACAGAGAGAATACTACTTCACATGCTAAACATAATGTAAAGGTATCTTTCTGCATAAGGGGTTACTCATTTGACCTCTCTCTCTACAGACCGCTGATCATGTACCTGAGGAAGTTCTACTACTATGATGCAGAGGAAGAGATGTACCTGTCAATCAAGAGCATTCGACCAGGGGCTGGAGTAGAGCAAGAGGCGGAGTCTCAGACGTAACTGGAAGAGGTGTCTACTGGTCTGCCAGTCTTCCAGCATCAGCCAATCGAAGTCCTCGGCACCCACTGTATCCAATCGGCTGCAGTCAAAGGGATCCAGATGACCCCGCCCCTCTCTTGACTTTAACCAATGAAGGTAGAAAGGGACAGTAGTGGAATGCTGGAAAATTGTCCATATGGAGTGCACACATGGGGCAGGGACAAAAAAGGACACAGCCTCATTGAGAATGGACTGGAGAACGGACTCTTCTAGCCTGTAACAACCTAAAAACTAAAAAACAACTTAAATCTAGACTTTGAATCAATCCCTAGACAGATATTCACTGTACCTATGAACTGAAGTTGATGGACTGGTCCATTTGTACTACTATTGTTTTCCATTATCATCATTTCCTTGTGTTCTTCCCTCCTGTTGCTATGAGGGTTGTTGTGGACTCCAATTGGCCCACAGGAGGCCATGGTTGATCTTTATTTGTTGGTTTTAATCGTCAGAAAATCCCTGATTGTAACTTGCTCATCATTCTGTTCCTCCGTACCCCAAGCTGGCCACAGGCTCAGCATTTTCAGTAAAAGAGAAAAACATGTGTCTTCCCTCTTTTGCACAATCTTTTAAATTGACTGAAGTAAAGCAGAGAAAACAAGTGGTGGTGTGGCTGTTGGGTACATGAAGAGTCTGGTGTGTGTGTGTGTGTGTGTGTGTGTGTGTGTGTGTGTGTGTGTGTGTGTGTGTGTGGGTAGATGGGGGAGTTGAGTCATCAGTGAGTGCATCCCTCCCTGTATGTTTGTAAATAATACATGTACACTGGGTGTACAAAACTCTTTCCATGACATAGACTGACCAGGTGAATCCAGGGGAAAGCTATGATCCCTTATTGATGTCACTTGTTAAATCCACTTCAATCAGTGTAGATGAAGGGGAGGAGACAGGTTAAAGAAGGATTTTTAAGCCTTGAGACAATCAAGGCGCACTGGTTTGAGTGTGTCAAGAACTGCAACGCTGCTGGGTTTTTCACGCTCAACAGTTTCCTGTGTGTATCAAGAATGGTCCACCACCCAAAGGACATCCAGCCAACTTAACACAACTGTGGGAAGCATTGGAGTAAACATGGGCCAGCATCCCTGTGGAACACTTTTCACACCTTGTAGAGTCAATGCCCCGACGAATTGAGGCTGTTCTGAGGGTAAAGGGGGGCGGGGGGAGGGGGGAGGGGGGGTGCAACTCAATATCAGGAAGTGTCCTTAATGTTTTGTACACTCAGTGTATATTGTACATGAGATAAATTGTACCTCAATCCACACATACATACTGGCACATGACCACTGACACACACATGCAGGCCTTCATGGGAAGGTGATCCTAATGTTTTGTACACTCAGTCAGTTCCATGTATGGGTGTTTTTGTGGTAATGATGAACATGGCCCTTTCAAGCCATACAGACTGATGTAATAATGGAGGTAGTAGTGTAAAAAGCATCAAGGTCAAATGTTTTTACTCTATCATACACTCTTGATAACTAAACCACCAATGACAACACACACCCTGTTGTGTAGTCGTGGGGACAAGAGGCATGCAAAGCATAAAGGCAATGTCAATCTTAACACAGAATAGGTTTTAACACTTGCAATTGACAAAAACAACAACTCATCCTGTCATTTTGACTGCTTTGCTTTTTAGTCCCCCCCCCCCTACCAAACGTATGTTTATTTCATAGCACCCTTTTTAAATTGTTATCCTATTCATGCATGCACACACACACACACACACACACACACACACTCACTCACACACACAGGAAGGATGATCTTAGGAGAACAAGGACTGCTGATACACACATGCTCCTATGTTGGGGGCCAACTCAATGGATGGCCAACAGATTCATTTGACAGATAACTATGCCAGTAGTATTGGTGACTTGCCTCTATAGAGAGAATCCAGTTGGGTAAATGGGTTTGTGATTATACATTGAAATTAGGCAGAATGCCCATTCTTAAAGATAAGAAGGCCCAGCATGTCTACACTAAGGGTTTAATAATGAGATATTTTCAATTCTGAGCAGAATATTTACAAGATTTGTTTTACTGATTGTGTTGAAATGGAAATGACCCTAACCACAAACTGGTATCTTGCTGTTGACTGGTTGCTCATACTCTATACCCATCAAACTCAACTCTGGACCTTGAAGCCAGTTCCACTGCATGTTTTCATTGTTCCCCTCTAATCAGGGACTGATTTAGACCTGGCACACCAGGTGGGTGAAATGAATGATCAGGTAGAACAGAACACATGCAGGCGCCGGACCTTGTAGGGTAAGAGTTGAATATCCCTGCTCTATAGGCTTATTATCCATGTCATAAATCAAATCAGCCTAAAAAGGGTAGGCCACTAGGTACTAGTGTAAAGTGGTACTATAATGATTTAATAAGCAGAAATGCAAGGCTGATCGTTCCCCTAAACATGATTTTGCAAGCTTGATCATCATGCATAATAAGCCTATTTTGCATGCACTCAATGATTGCACTACTACCCCTGCAATAGATTACTAATGACTGGGATATAGACATAGGTGTAGGTGAGTATTTAGAAAACATGCACATGTTATTTCTATAGATAATTACCTGAGGACCTACATCACTAATTTAGTTTGAGTGACAGAAACAAGTTTGTAACAGCTTGCCTTGTGTCCTTATCAGCACTGCCTTTCTACCTCGTTATCCGTAAGCCTTATTGTGTGTTGACTATGACAGACTGAGTATAGCCTATCCATTCCAATAACATACTGTATCTGATTCAAACGGTTTAAAACAAGCTCATTGATCAAAATGGATGTCATTCTGAGTTTGACCGATTTGTCCCATAGAGCTCTTATTGGACATTATAGACGTCATTTAAATGAAATTCCATTATAATTGGCCCTTTGCCTGGTCCATCTTTTCCCTTAAAACCCGCCCTATTGACCCTAATCTATATACTCCATTGGTTAAAATGGCGTCCATCGACAGTTGTGAGAGGTTTCAGGTTTTTTATTGGCTAAATTGAATTTCAATCACACCGAGAGCTCGTGTCGATTGGCTGGCCTGGGCATCCTTCATTGAACAATAGCGCGTGGATTGGTCCATGAGCGCGGGCGGAATCTTCCAGGGGCTTGCTCTTGAAGGCTCACGGAGAGCGAATGTCGTCATGAGCGGTGGGTAGGAATTAATACATTGGTGTTTATATTACATTGTACTTCGTAAAACAATTTGGTCTGTGTTAAACAATACACATCGAACAGTTTGTGTTGGAAATTCCTTATGTTTGAGGTTGAGTAGGACCATTGTGCAAGCCAGCTATGTACTTCCGGAAAAGGGCTGCCTTTTTTCCAGTATCAAAGAGTTTGACTTGCTACGCGTAGCTAGCCAGTAAAGCTGAATCCTGTTTGTAATTCCAGCTACCGTTAGCTATACATTGATGCTAATCCTTTTCGATATTTCACATTAAAACAAATTCCACATGCACGTATCGCCATGGGCTCCCTGTTCCACTCAGTTTGAAAGAAAAGTCAGCTGCACGATAAAGTATTTGCAACGCTAGCTAGTCGTTTCATTTCTGACTGCCAGTTAGCCAGCAAACCATTTAGCTAGCAAGAAGCTATCTGAGTACGTTTGATGGCGGCGCTATTTTCAGGCCGCGCTTAAATATTTTTTTCTAAGCATTAAATATTAGATTTTAAAGAGACAGTCACATTAGACATGATTGCAACTGACTCCAATAATACACACAGTGCATATTATTTGTACAGTCCAATTTTGTCCTGATGCTCTCGCGATACATTATCATGCTCGAGCTATTTGTGAGATTGCGTGAGAAGTCAGCCAGGTACGGTAGTCACCAACTCACTGTACCCAAGTCGTAACCCTCTACTGTGCCCATTTGCTAGTTAGCATACTGTACTTTTGTTTAGGGCCTTTTAATTCTTTACTTAGTAGACGAGTATTTGTAGTTGGCAATGCATGTGTCTGACTATCTTTTTTTTGGCATAGACCCGCCCTTTTAGTACGGATTAAAGGTCACACAATTTACACCAAAGTCTGTTGAGACTGGCATTCACGGGGTGGTAGCTAGCCAGCCACAACTCATCTATTAGAGTTGCAGTGCACATTTTCCTTTGTGTACTATAATTTGAATGCCTTTGCATGCGTTTAGGGCAAAACAGCTCCCTCGTATTTAATAATTTCCTGAACTATTGACAGTGACCCTCATTATTTTTGGTACTTGAAATGCGTTACGACTATTTACAGTACATGCAATGTGTGTTTCCATGTGTGTTGCAGATCAACAGGACAGTATGGCCACCACTGTTGCTGTCAGTCCCAGCGAGTATCTCCAGCCCTCTGCCACTTCCTCTCAAGTGAGTCACAGCCAGACTACTTCCTGCTTGTCCTCGGTAGTTCTCGGATGTGTAAATATCACCCAGTGGTGTCTTAAAAGTAACCATGGGGTTCATTATTTGACCTTAGTTTGAATACTGAGTCCAGCAACGCCATCCTATTGTGAATCATGAAGTTTGTAGTTTATGTATTTTATTGGTAGCCTATGGTGAGATGTAGCTTAACCTCCTGTATGTAAACTGTGTTCCACCTAGGGCTGGGTGAAAATCATGATATACATCTCTTTTTTTATTTTGTACTTCTTTTTTGAATTTTTCTCTAAGCTTTGCTGCACAAGAGTCATTCCACTTCAAAAAGGATTTCGACAACACCATCTCAGATTGTTCAGAAATCATTTCTGTAGTTAGAAACGGATAAGATTAGCATTCCTGAAATCTTTAAAAAATATATAATTTGATATCTGAGAAATTAAGCTAATTGATTGCACCCAAATTGGCCATTTTAATTTATAGGATTCATATAATCTTCAATAATTATAGTACCTAACATCTGATTTGGACCATCATTCTTCCTAACAATGAGTAAGACATGAGGAATCCAATAAAATGATCAAAAGTCACCCACGGACCCCCCACACCCCAAGCCCAACCCAACAACCAGTATACAATATCAGTTCTCTATCTCTGACAAGTAGTATGGAGCTGCTGCTTGGAGTATTGTTTCTTCAACGTTTCTAATATATTCCCTGTGAATCTGGTGATGTTTTTTTCCGATGTTCAGAGAAATTAGCCAATGAAGTCGCTTACATTCTTGACCATAAATGAGTGTGAAAGTACCACGTTTTTCGCTGTTCCTGCTACCACACCCTTTTATCAATTTTGCTGGTCTCTTGTGTTTATTAAATGCATCAACATTTTCTTTGCAAGTTTGGGTAGAAAACCAACAGCTTTTGCTCATGATGAAAATAAATAGTGTGGTCAAGCTAGACCTCCATGAAAGCAATTCAGTGTGACCTTCTCTTAGCAACCTAATGTTTCAACCCAACTCTCCTTGAATAGTCCAAAAGATTGCAGCTCTCTGAGAGGGCTGTCTGTATGGTGAAGACTTTTCTACAAGCCGTAAACTTTGATTGGAGAAATGTGCTAAATGTTGTGACAACCCTAATAAAATTATAAACATTGCATGGCAGTCGTATGTTTTTAAAAATAAAATAATTAGAAAACATCTCTATGTAGTGTGATTAGTGACATTTACCATTAAACCCAACCCAATACCATTACAAAACACTATACAGTGTGTGTTTGGGAGTTTTGTTATTGGATACCATAGCATTGAAACCATTAGAACTGCTGTAGCCTAATGGTTTGCTTGTTCGCCAATCACCAGGAATGGACTAACTAATCCAGACCTTTTTTAAGGGAATAAACCAGACACAGCGGGGCTGTTTCCTGGACACAAATTAAGCCTAAGAGAAGGAAAAACTGAATTGCTTTCATGGAGGACTAGCTTGAATTGTGAGGATGACTGCACAATTTATTTTTATCATGAGCAATAGCTATTGGTTTTCTACCCAAAGTTGCAAAAACAATTTTGTGATCCATTTAATGAACACGAGACCAACATGGATAAAGGGTGGGGTGGCAGTAGCATCTAGTGGGCAAAACTGGGTACTTTCACATTAATTTATGGTAAAGGACGCAAGCGACTTCAATGCCTAATTTCTCAGAATGTGGGGGGGAGACATCACCAGATTCACCAGGAATACATTACAAAGGATGAAGAAGCAATACTCCAAGCAGCAGTTCCATACTACTGTCAGACAGAGAACTGATACTGGTTGGGGTGGGATTAGTGTGGGAGATCCGTGGGTGGCTTTTGATCATTTTATTAGATTCCTCATGTCTTGCTCATTGTTAGCAGACTTATGGTCCAAATAGGATGTTAGGTACTATATTCATTGAATATGATATGAATCCTATACATTTTAAATTGCCAATTTGGGTGCAATCAATTAGCTTAATTTCTCAGATCAAATTATATTTCAACAAAATAATGTTTCAGGAATGCCAATCATATCTGTTTCTAACTACAGAAACGATTTCAGAACAATCTGAGATGGTGTGTGTCATGGCTTGCTGAAATGACATGGAATGACTCACAATTAAAGGTCAATGCACTGCATTTCAAACAGTCAGGAATAATCTAATGAATTCAAGGCTTGTAAAAGAATACCTAGGCTAAATATAAGCCTTCTACCTCCATAAGACCCACTCATTTAATCAAAATAGTTTAACCTGCTTTTTTGTAATCACTGATCTGGCTTTCAAGTCTGTCTATGAAAATGCCCTTTTTTGTATAAAAAAATTACTAGAACCATGCACAATGCAAGGGAAATTGACCGATTCTGTTGGACCAAACCTCAAATGCAAATAGCAAGTTGAAATTGGTTGTTGTCAGAGAGGGAGAAGTGATCTTGTTGTGAGTGGCAGGGGGAGGGGCATGGTGTCTGTGCGAGGGGGAAGGTGCACACAGCACAGGAGTGAAGGAGACAAGACCAAAAAGACACAAACGCTCATAAAAACGGAAACAAATCCAACATAGATTCTTGTGATACAGGCATTTGGAACATCGCGCTAAAACATGAATTCTAATTAATCTAATTTGATATATCGCCCAGCTTTAGTTGCACCCCAATACAATTCCATCCCTGGTTCAAAAAAAAGGAAAAAGAAATGTTATTTGTCACATGCGTCGACTACAACAGGTGCATCTTACCGTGAAATGCTTACTTACAAGCCCTTAACCATCAATTTAGTTTAAAGAAAAATAAGAGTTAAGAAAATATTTACTAAATAAACTAAAGTAAAAAAATTAAAAGAGCAACAAAATAACAATAAGGCTATATACAGGGGGTACTGGTACCGAGTCAATGTGCGGGGGTACTGGTTAGTAGAGATAATTGAGGTAATATGTACATGTAGGTAGGGGTAAAGTGACTATGCATAGATGATAATAAACAGCAAGTAGCAGCAGCGTAAAAGGGGGGGTCAATGCAAATAGTCCAGGTAGCCATTTGATTAGCTGTTCAGCAGTCTTGAGGGTAGAAGCTGTTAAGAAGCCTTTTGGACCTAGACTTGGCGCTCTGGTACCGCTTGCCATGCGGTAGCAGAGAGAACAGTCTATGACTAGGGTGGCTGGAGTCTTTGGCCATTTTAGGGCCTTCCTCCGACACCTACTGGTATAGAGGTCCTGGATGACAGGAAGCTTGGCCCCTGTGATGTACTAGGCCATACGCACTACCCTCTGTAGCGCCTTGCGGTCGGAGGCCGAGCTGTTGCCATACCAGGCGTGATGCAACCAGTCAGGATGCTCTCGATGGTGCTGCTCTATAACCTTTTGAGGATCTGAGGACCCATGCCAAATCTTTTCAGTCTCCTGAGGGGGAATAGGCATTGTCATGCCCTCTTCACGACTGTCTTGGTGTGTTTGGACCATGATAGTTTGTTGGTGATGTGGACACCAAGGAACTTGAAGCTCTCAACCTGCTCCACTACAGCCCCGTCGATGAGAATGGGGGCGTGCTCGGCCCTCCTTTTCCTGTAGTCCACAATCATCTCCTTTTGTCTTGATTACGTTGAGGGATAGGTTGTTGTTCTGGCACCACACTGCCAGGTCTTTGACCTCCTCCCTATAGGCTGTCTCATCGTTGTTAGTGATCAGGCCTACCACCGTTGTGTCGTCCGCAAACTTAATGATGGTGTTGGAGTCATGCTTGGCCACGCAGTCGTGGGTGTACAGGGAGTACAGGAGGGGACTAAGCACGCACCCCTGAGGGGCCCCCGTGTTGAGGATCAGTGTGGCAGATGTGTTGTTGCCTACCCTTACCAACTGGGGGCGGCCCATCAGGAAGTCCAGGATCCAGTTGCAGAGGGAGGAGTTTAGTCCCAGGGTCTTTAGCTTAGTGATGAGCTTTGAGGGAACTATGGTGTTGAACGCTGAGCTGTAGTCAATGAACAGCATTCTCACGTAGGTGTTCCTTTTGTCCAGGTGGGAAAGGGCAGTGTGGAGTGCAATAGAATTGGAACAGCTGGTGTTCTCATGCAGGCTCGTGTCAATTGGCAGCTCACAGCTGGGCTTCACTTTGTAGTCCGTAATAGTTTGAAAGCCCTGCCACGTCCGACAAGCGTCAGAGCCGGCTTAGTACGATTCAATCTTAGTCCTGTATTGACGCTTTGCCTGTTGATGGTTTGTCGGAGGGCATAGCGGGATTTCTTATAAGCGTCCGGGTTAGAGTCAATGGTTTGTCGGAGGGCATAGCAGGATTTCATATAAGCGTCCGGGTTAGAGTCCCGCTCCTTTTAAAGCGGTAGCTCTACCCTTTAGCTCAGTGCGGATGTTGCCTGTAATCCATGGAATCAGGAGGATATAATTATGATCAGATTTTCCAAATGGAGGGCGAGGGAGAGTTTTGTGCACGTCTCTGTGTGTGGAGTAAAGGTGGTCTAGAGTATTTTTTTCCTTTGGTTGCACATGTAACATGCTGGTAGAAATCAGTTTCTCTGCATTAAAGTCCCCGGGCACTAGGAGCGCCGCCTCTGGATGAGCATTTTCTTGTGTGCTTATGGCCTTATACAGCTCGTTGATTGCGGTCTTAGTACCAGCATTTGTTTGTGGTGGTAAATAGACATCTACGAAAAATTGGTATATAGTGTGGTCTACAGCTTATAATGAGATACTCTACCTCAGGCGAGCAAAACCTTGAGACTTCCTTAATATTAGATTTCACGCACCAGCTGTTATTGACAAATGGACACAGACCACCACCCCTTGTCTTACCGGAGGCAGCTGTTCTGTCTTGCCGATGCACGGAAAACCCAGCCAACTGTATATTATCCATGTCGTCGTTCAGCCGTTGGCTAGGTTCAGCCACAACTAGGTGAAACATAAGATATTACAGTTTTTAATGTCCCGTTGGTAGGATAGTCTTGAACGGAGCTCATGCAGTTTATTCTCCAATTATTACACGTTGGCCAATAGGACGGCTGGTAGAGGCAAGTTACCCACTCGCCAACAAATTCTCACAAGGCACCTGGACCTGCGTCCCCTGTATCGGTGTCTCCTCTTCATGCGAATGACGGGGATTTGGGCCTGGTCCGGTATCAGCAGTAAATAATTTGTGTCTGACTCGTTCCCCCCCCCCCTAACCATTTGTCTCGCTCTCTCTGGTCCTGTCTACAGGACTCCCAGCCCTCCCCACTGGCCCTCCTGGCCGCCACCTGCAGTAAGATCGGCCCCCCTGCCGCTCAGGCCCCCGTCAGTGCCCCTCCTGCCCAACCCCAACCTCGGCGTCTCCTCCCCATCAAGCCCGCCCCCATCGCCCCCGCCCCTCCCAAAAACCTGGGCTTCCTGTCCGCTAAAGGAAATGTGATCCAGCTGCCAGCGGGCCTGGGCTCCAATAGCCCCGGCAGCCCCATCGTCCTCACCATCCAGCAGAGCCCTGGCCGCTCGAATCAAACATCCAACATCCAGTACCAGGTGGTGCCGCAGCTGGGAGGCACACAGACCATCCAGATGATGCAGCAGGGTGGACAGATCCAGCTCATCCCGGGTACCAACCAGGCCATCATCACCACGCCCATGACGGTCCCCCAGCCGCAGCCCGCTGCCGCGCCCATCACCCCGCAGAAGACGGTGGCCATCAAGCCGTCCCCCAGGGGGCGGAAACCAAATGCAGCCAACGTGGTGCGGCTGCCCAGCGGGCTCACGCTGCCCCTCAACGTAGCCACCGGAGAGGAGCCAGCGGCAGCTCCTCCCCCGCCAACGAAGGGCAGACGAGGCAGGAAGAAGCTGGTGGCAGCAGCCCCTCCACCACAGCCCACCTCCCCGCCCCCCGAGCAGATGGAGACGATATTGATAGAGGCCGGGGAGAATATTATTCAGGTATATTTGTTGTTCTGCTGCATTTGGTGTGGGGTCAACCATGACTTGTTGACTAGTTCACTTGCTTGAGTGGGCTACGAATGGGTACTAATTACTAAATGTGTCTACAATGCTTGTGAGTGTGTAAATGAGTAATGTTTTCATCTGTATTTCTCAAACTCAAAATGCTATGCTTTACATGAGGGTTAGCCTACTCTATCACCCCTTCAACCTCCAATATTGGGGTCCCTGTATGAGTAAGTGTTGGACAGATTTAGGGCTGTGTCTCATTGCTGCTGTCTCGGCGTTCTCCCCAGGCGGGTAACCAGCTCCTGATCGTGCAGAACACCGGGTCAGGCCAGCAGCAGCTGGTGCAGCTGGTGCAGCAGAAACAGGAGCAGCAGGTGGTCCAGATCCCCCAGCAGGCCCTGAAGGTGGTGCAGGCTGCCTCCGCCACCCTGCCCCAGGTCCCCCAGAGACAGCCTGCAGCCAACCTGCAGCCAGAGCCCACTCAGGTACACACACAGGTTGTTAGAGATCATCAATTTAGCTCTCTCAGCAAACTGACAGATCTAGAGTAGTACGTTTGGATGTGAGGTGATTTGTAGATGAGTCAGTCTGAAGTTTCCAATGTAGTCATGCACACAAGGCCACATACAAAAAGCTCCTATAGGTGCTGCATGCACACCACCTCTCTACACTCACTACAAGCTACCCACTTGAAATGTAATGAAACCATAAGTGGAAGTGGGCCTTTAATACAGATGTGTCCTAATCTGACAGACTTGTTCCGTGTTAGTCTGACACCCCTGTGCTCCTCTCAGCTCCTGATCAAAACGGCATCGGGCGAATGGCAGACTGTGCAGCTCCAGGAAACCACCGTTTCCACGGCAACAACGCCCTCCAGCATGGTCACCACCACCCTGTCGTCCGTGGGGGCCACCAAGCGAACACTGGCGGGGGGCAGGAAGGAGAGGACCCTACCAAAAATAGCACCGGCGGGGGGAATGATAGCGCTAAACGCAGCCCAGCTCTCCTCGGCGGGCCAGGCCGTGCAGACTATAAACATCAACGGGGTCCAGGTGCAAGGAGTGCCCGTCACCATCACCAACGCAGGAGGTATGCATGTATGTGTGTGTATATATGTATGTACTGTGTGTTCGTGAAAAAAATATAGAAAGTGGTAGTCCGTATCCAAATCCACAAGTGCATATCCGTATCCTCTCTATTTTCATACTGTGTTCCTTTAAAAACAATATGCATTCCAATTGACTTTTAGCAAGCTAATGGAGGCCTGCATGTGTGTGTCAGTGGTCATGTGGTAGTATGTATGTGTGGATTGGGGTGTGCATGTTGGTGTAAAGGATTTGTGTGTGTGTATATATATGTACTGTGTGTGTGTGTGTGTGTGTGTGTGTATATATATATCAGGTGCAGCTCAATAAATTAGAATATTGTGGAAAAGTTCAATATTGTAGACTCAAGGTGTCACACTAATCAGCTAACTAACTCAAAACACCTGCAAAGGTTTCCTCAGCCTTTAAATGGTCTCTCATTCCAGTTCAGTAGGCTTCACAATCATGGGGAAGACTGCTGACTTGACAGTTGTGCAGAAGACAGTCATCAACACCCTCCACAAGGAGGGAAAGCCTCAAAAGATCATTGCTAAAGAAGCTGGCTGTTCACAGAGTGCTGTATCACAGAGTTTCCATATTCATGGAAAGTCGAGTGGAAGGAAGAAGTGTGGTAGGAAAAGGTGCACAAGCAACAGGGATAACCGGAGCCTTGAGAGGATTGTCAAGCAAAGGCCATTCAAAAATGTGGGGGAGCTTCACAAGGAGTGGACTGAGGCAGGAGTCAGTGCATCAAGAGCCACCACGCACAGACGTATCCAGGAAATGGGCTACAACTGTCGCATTCCTCGTGTCAAGCCACTCCTGAACCAGAGGCAACGTCAGAAGCATCTTATCTGGGCTAAGGAGAAAAATAACTGGTCTGTCGCTCAGTGGTCCAAAGTCCTCTTTTCAGATGAAAGTACATTTTGCATTTCATTTGGCAATCAAGGTCTCAGAGTCTGGAGGAAGAGTGGAGAGGCACAGAATCCAAGTTGCTTGAAGTCCAGTGTGAAGTTTCCACAGTCAGTGATGATTTGGGAACCATGTCATCTTCTGGTGTTGGTCCACTGTGTTTCATCAAGTCCAAAGTCAACTCAGCCGTCTACCAGGAAATGTTAGAGCACTTCATGCTTCCTTCTGCTGACAAGCTTTATGGAGATGCTGATTTCATTTTCCAGCAGGACTTGGCACCTGCCCACACTGCCAAAGGTACCAATACCTGGTTCAATGACCATGGGATTACTGTGCTTGATTGGCCTGATCTGAACCCCATAGAGAATTTATGGGGTATTGTCAAGAGGAAGATGAGACACGAGACCCAACAATGCAGACGAGCTGAAGGCCGCTATCGAAGCAACCTGGGCTTCCATAACACCTCAGCAGTGCCACAGGCTGATCGACTCCATGCCACGCCGCATAGATGCAGTGATTCATGCAAAAGGAGCCCCAACCAAGTACTGACTGCATGTACAAGAACATACTTTTCAGAAGTCTGACATGTCTGTATTACATTTCTTATGTCATATTCTAATTTTCTGAGATACTGAATTTGGGGTTTTCATGAGCTGTAAGCCGTAATCATCAAGATTAAAACAAATACAGGCTTGAACTATTTCACTTTTTGTGTAATTAATCCACGATATGAGTTTCACTTTGTCAATTGAATTATTGAAATTACTTAACTTTTCCACAATATTCTAATTTATTGAGCTGCACCTGTGGGTGTTCAAGTACAGTATATGTTAAAGTTTCTCTACTGTTCTTTCAGGCCAGCAGCACCTGACAGTGCAGACGGTACAGGGCGGGACCCTCCAGCTGGGCGGGGTGACCTCCCAGGGCCACCAGGTGCAGATGGAGCAGACTCTGGGTCTGGAGCTGCAGGGTCAGCCTGGGGAGAAGAAGCGCCGCATGGCCTGCACCTGCCCCAACTGTAAGGACTCAGAGAAGAGGCAAGTGGCTCTTACTAGCAAACTAGAGCCAGGCCTGAGCACCTGGTGGAAAAAAGCATGATACACAGTATAAACCCATATTTTGTTTTACCAATATAGAAAGTCTTGGTTGACGCAAACTGATACCTGTATGGGAAAAGTGTACCCTCTTGTGAGATTGGGGCAGGGAAACAACCACGATTGCTAACAACTACTTTCCATCCTCCTGCTATTAATATGTGCTCGTCAAACATCTCATTCCAAAATCATGGGCATTAATTTTGGAGTTAGTCCCCCCCCTTTTCTGATATAACAGCCTCCACTCTTCTCGGAAGGCTTTCCACTAGATGTTGGAACATTGCTGCTGGGACTTGCTTCCATTCAGCCACGAGCATTAGTGAGGTCGGGCACTGATGTTGGGCGATTAGGCCTGGCTCGCAGTCGGCATTCCAATTAATCCCAAAGGTGTTCGATGGGGTTGAGGTCAGGGCTCTGTGCAGTCCAGTTCTTCCACACCGATCTCGACAAACTATTTCTGTATGGACCTCGCTTTGTGCACGGGGGCATTGTCATGCTGAAACAGGAAAGGTCCTTCCCCAAACTGTTGCCACAAAGTTGGAAGCACAGAATCGTCTAGAATGTCATTGTATGCTGTAGCGTTAAGATTTCCCTTCACTGGAACTAAGGGGCTTAACCCGAACCATGAAAAACAGCCCCAGACCATTATTCCTCTTCCACCAAACTTTACTGTTGGCACTATGTACTGGGGCAGGTAGCGTTCTCCTGGCATCCACCAAACCCAGATTAGTCTGTTGGACTGCCAGATGGTGAAGCATGATTTATCACTCCAGAGAACGTGTTTCCACTGCTCCAGAGTCCAATGGCAGCGAGCTTTACACCACTCCAGCCGACACTTGGCATTGCGCATGATGATCTTAGGCTTGTGTGTGGTTGCTCGGCCATGTAAACCCATTTCATGAAGCTCCCGACGAACAGTTCTTGTGCTGACGTTGCTTCCAGGGGCAGTTTGGAACTCGGTAGTGAGTGTGGCAACCGAAGACAGATGATTTTTATGCGCTTCAGCATTCGGCGGTCCCGTTCTGTGAGCTTGTGTGGCCTACCACTTTGCAGCTGAGCTGTTGTTGCTCCTAGACGTTTGCACTTCACAATAACAGCACTTACAGTTGAGACACTTGCACTTCACAATAACATCACTTACAGTTGACCGGGGCAGCTCTAGCAGGGCAGAAATTTGACGAACTGACTTGTTGGAAAGGTGGCATCCTATGACGGTGGCACGTTGAAAGTCACTGAGCTCTTCAGTAAGGCTATTCTACTGCCAATTGTTGTCTATGGAGATTGCATGGCTGTGTGCTCGATTTTATACACCTGTCAGCAACGGGTGTAGCTGAAATAGACTAATTCACTCATTTGAAGGGGTGTCCACATACTTTTGTATATACACTGCTCAAAAAAATAAAGGGAACACTAAAATAACACTTCCTAGATCTGAATGAATGAAATAATCTTAGTAAATACTTTTTTCTTTACATAGTTGAATGTGCTGACAACTAAATCACACAAAAATTATCAATGGAAATCAAATTTATCAACCCATGGAGGTCTGGATTTGGAGTCACCCTCAAAATGAAAGTGGAAAACCACACTACAGGCTGATCCAACTTTGATGTAATGTCCTTAAAACAAGTCAAAATGAGGCTCAGTAGTGTGTGTGGCCTCCACGTGCCTGTATGACCTCCCTACAACGCCTGGGCATGCTCCTGATGAGGTGGTGGATGGTCTCCTGAGGGATCTCCTCCCAGACCTGGACTAAAGCATCTGCCAACTCCTGGACAGTCTGTGGTGCAACGTGGCGTTGGTGGGTGGAGCGAGACATGATGTCCCAGATGTGCTCAATTGGATTCAGGTCTGGGGAACGGGTGGGCCAGTCCATAGCATCAATGCCTTCCTCTTGCAGGAACTGCTGACACACTCCAGCCACATGAGGTCTAGCATTGTCTTGCATTAGGAGGAACCCAGGGCCAACCGCACCAGCATATGGTCTCACAAGGGGTCTGAGGATCTCATCTCGGTACCTAATGGCAGTCAGGCTACCTCTGGCGAGCACATGGAGGGCTGTGCGGCCCCCCAAAGAAATGCCACCCCACACCATGACTGACCCACCACTAAACCGGTCATGCTTGAGGATGTTGCAGGCAGCAGAACGTTCTTCACGGTGTCTCCAGACTCTGTCACGTGTGCTCAGTGTGAACCTGCTTTCATCTGTGAAGAGCACAGGGCGCCAGTGGCGAATTTGCCAATCTTGGTGTTCTCTGGCAAATGCCAAACGTCCTGCACGGTGTTGGGCTGTAAGCACAACCCCCACCTGTGGACGTCGGGCCCTCATACCACCCTCATGGAGTCTGTTTCTGACCGTTTGAGCAGACACATGCACATTTGTGGCCTGCTGGAGGTCATTTTGCAGGGCTCTGGCAGTGCTCCTCCTTGCACAAAGGCGGAGGTAGCGGTCCTGCTGCTGGGTTGTTGCCCTCCTACGGCCTCCTCCACGTCTCCTGATGTACTGGCCTGTCTCCTGGTAGCGCCTCCATGCTCTGGACACTACGCTGACAGACACAGCAAACCTTCTTGCCACAGCTCGCATTGATGTGCCATCCTGGATGAGCTGCACTACCTGAGCCACTTGTGTGGGTTGTAGACTCCGTCTCATGCTACCACTAGAGTGAAAGCACCGCCAGCATTCAAAAGTGACCAAAACATCAGCCAGGAAGCATAGGAACTGAGAAGTGGTCTGTGGTCACCACCTGCAAAACCAGGCCTTTATTGGGGGTGTCTTGCTAATTGCCTATAATTTCCACCTGTTGTCTATTCCATTTGCACAACAGCATGTGAAATGTATTGTCAATCAGTGTTGCTTCCTAAGTGGACAGTTTGATTTCACAGAAGTGTGATTGACTTGGAGTTACATTGTGTTGTTTAAGTGTTCCCTTATTTTTTTGAGCAGTGTATATTGTTGTTAAGTTTGTGTTTTCTGTGTTGTGCAGGCCCGGCGAGGTGGGGAAGAGGAAGCACATCTGTCACATCCCGGGCTGCGAGAAGACGTTCCGGAAAACGTCCCTCCTCCGGGCCCACGTGCGCCTGCACACCGGCGAGCGGCCCTTCGTCTGCAACTGGGTCTTCTGTGGCAAACGCTTCACGCGCAGTGACGAGCTGCAGCGGCACGCCAGGACACATACAGGTCCGTCCCCCCTCAGGAGACACACTGATACACACTGTAGTATGAATGTAGGTCAGTCTGCAACACACAGTGGGTCATGTTCAGTAAGGAACACCGTAGCAAAACATTTTGCAATGGATAGTGACAATCGTGGTTTTTTTTTTTGTTTAAAAAAAAAAGTCATTTAGCAGACGCTCTTATCCAGAGCGACTTACAGGAGCAATTAGGGTTAAGTGCCTTGCTCAAGGGCACCGACAACATTTTTCACCTAGTCGGCTCGGGGATTAGAACCAGTGAACTTTCGGTTACTGGCACAACGCTCTTAACCACTAAGCTACCTGCCGCCTGTGTTCTTATTGGACCAGTTCAGATAGTACCTCCCCTGTTTTCAAAATGTTTTCCACCTACTGAACACAACCCAGGACACACACACAGGAGGTACGTACACAGCAAGGTTAGCACAAGTCAGTCGACAGTGCGCCATATGCCAACTCATGCAATACACCATTGTGTTCACCACTGTCAGGACTCACGGAGATGATGCACATGTTAGTTTTGCAGAATTTGCCAGGACTCAGGCAGACACTCAGATCTGCAGCAGAGAAGAATGGTATTGCTCTGTCATAGTTTTGTGTTGTGCAGGAAAATTAAACCACTCATTTATTCTGTCTTCTCCTTGCAGGAGACAAGCGCTTCGAGTGCAACCAGTGTCAGAAACGGTTCATGAGGAGCGACCACCTCACGAAGCATTTCAAAACACACATGAACACCAAGAACTTGTGAGTTGTGCTGTATACCGACTGTATACATAGACATGTCCTGATGAACTAAACCCCATAGAGGGCCGCAGGAGAGGATACCAAGAAGGTAGTCCCATGATGGTTGAACCCCAAAAAGGTCACACAGGCCCACCCAAAGCCCTGTTTTCTTCACTCCCCCTCAGAGGCTTCGTATCCTGGTGTACATACCAATCCTCCCCCCACGGACTCAACTGTTCCAGTCAATTTATTAATGATAACAAATTCGTTTTCACTGGGTACATAGCCATATCATCTCCCCCAGGCA